TAAGACAACAACAAAGTTCAATCACCAACAAAACATTGAATCATGTTTCCTTTTCCGTTTCTAGGAAACCTTTGACTTCAATCCTTTGGCTAATCTATTTTCAATTCAATTTTCTTTTTAAAACTTTTTAAAAACTCTCTAGGTCGATCAGAACGATTTTTAAGCGCAACCAATTATTTCCTCTCATTTTTTTTCCGATTCTTTTGATAGAATTTCGCTCTCTGCATTCCAAATCCAAAAATTTTCGATTTTTGCTGATTTGCTTGATTTTTAGGCAAAGTTTTTTTACTGGTACTTTTCAGTTATAACGACAGCTTTTCCAGTTATAAAAATGAATAAAAAGACTTTTTGGACAGTCAAATATCTTCAGGATCCACTCTACTTGATCTAACAAGTACAGTCTGTTTTCCAAGTAAAGTTCTAATGTACAACAGTTCATCCATCTAAAATTCACATTCACTTTAATCTCGGCAAATCCAGCGATAGAGATATTCGAATATCATTTTCAAATTGTCATTTGCCTTTCGTTTTCCCTCTCAAAAAGTTGTACAACAATACAACAAAGTACAACATAAGTTTCTTAGCTCATTCGCTTCGCTTTTCGCGAGCGATTCGCTCATTTGATCTCGAAGAGTGGCAAAAAGTTTGATTGTTTTTTTCAGTTGCCGTAGACACAGAAATTTCCTGTAAATAACGAGTCAAAAAATGTGAACATCGGTATAAATAGGAATTGGCGCAAATGGGCATTTCCATTTTCCATAATTTTCCATAAATTTTCCACAATTTTCCCTAAATTTTCCACAATTTTCCCCAAATTTTCCACAATTTTCCCCAAATTTTCCACGAAATCTTATTCATCTTTATTCGTCAGTAAAAAAGGTATCAATAAAATAGAAAATAGATTGCAAAATTCGGTGAGGAAATCGCTGAGTCACTTTGTTTACGCGGAGAAATGTGGGTGAGTCAAGGCGATTTCTTTGAAGAATTTTTGAGGCTTGATCATTTGTAGGTTTTTCGATTTTTTTTTTTGGAAATCTCTTTGCTTAAACAGTAGTGAAGGGTTTGACTGAGCAAATAGAGCAAATAATAGAGTAAATAGACCCAAAGGGCTGGCACAGGCTGGCAATGAAAAGAAGCGTTTCCGTTTGGTTTCCCCATCCATTCCTCATGAAAATTTCACTACATTCTATGGCCAACATTGAATTTTTTGAGTTTTCCCGTTTTTCACCAATATTCAGTCCAACGGTCAAAGTTTACAATTTTGTAAGCAATTTTAGAGCCACTTTTCAATTCCACTGAGTTAAAGTTGAAGTTGAACGCTAAGCTGAACTGCTGGAAAGTTAGCTATGAGATTTTTGAGCTCTCCAGACTTTAAGTTTTGAATTTATTTCAATTTAACTTTAATTTTTAGTTAAATCAAGATCTTAGTTAGTTCTAGATCTTATTTTATCGATCTTTTCGAGGTTTTAAACCTAGTAAAACCAAAAGCTCTTTCATTTACCTTTTCATCTCTTTGACTAGCTTTCCAGACTCTAAGTTTTCAATTTATTTCACTTTAACTTTAGTTTTTAGTTAAACCAAAGTTCTAGATCTTATTTTATCGATCTTTTCGAGCTTTTAAACCTAGTCTAAAACCAAAAGCTGCTTCATTCACCTTTTCATCTCTTTGACTAGCTTTCCAGACTTTAAAATTTCAATTTATTTAACTTTAACTTTAATTTTTAGTTAAATCAAGATCTTAATTAGTTCTAGATCTTATTTTATCGAGCTCATCGAACTTTTAAACCTAGTAAAACCAAAAGCTCTTTCATTCACCTTTTCATCTCCATTCCTCTTGAAAATTTCATGTCTCATTGCATTTTTATTTTAACGATTGCAAGAGTAATGCAAAATTTTCATCTTATGCTCATTTTTCATTGATTAGGTAACTTAAACATGTACAAAATGAAGCTCAATCTAAATTAAATCTCGTTTACTTGTCCTCTTTCACCAAATTATTGGACATCTGATAAGCTTCGCCCCTTTTGCCATTAGCAATCTAACTTTGAGCTCAAATATCTTGATGTTGGATTATCCAATTTAAACATTCTTGGTATCATTCGATGCGCCAAGTCTTTCTCTGTCAATTGGTAAAAAAACTATTTCGATTGAAGAGACGAACACCAAGGAATTTGAGCTCAAAGTTGGATTGCCAATGAGGAAGGGGCAGGTATCAAATGTCCCACAACTCTTCGATCAATCAACCAATGCCATTCCATTCTTATTATGTCCTTGAAGTCTTTTCCATATCCAACGACCTCATGACCCGTTCTTTATAATCCCGAGTGGGATAAGAGGGAAATGGGGAGTGGCTTGGGGTAATCGCTTGGATCAATAACACAGCCAACGATAGGATTTCACAATATTCTCCTTTAAATTCTCAATACGTGTTCCATTATGTTTTGATTTTGCTGTTAAGTTCCTAAGCAAAATTCGTTCGTTCGTTTTGTTATTCGTTTCGTTTATTCGTTATATTCGTTTATTTACGAATCAATTCCCAACATTCAATCGTTTGTCCTTGAAGTCCTACCAAGACTCTCAAAAAGTACTTGTCTACAACGGGACTACTTGACTTTTTCGTTTTTGAACTATTGAAATGATTTAAAACGTTTTAAATTCAAGATAAGACTCAAATGAACTGTTTGAATGGCTTTTAATAACTAAAATAAATCTAGAATTCAAGCTTGATTAGCTTTGACTTTAGAGAACTTTTCTTAATTCTTTAAAACGTATCTATGCAATAAAATTTCTTATATGTTTAGCCAAAATTTTAATAAATTCAATACTTTCTAGCTATAGGATTTGCATTTAAAATCGTACCGTAAATACTGTAATAGTCCCCCACTCCCATAATGACGTTGCGAAGTGTTGCGTAGTCTAGCTTTGAACGAGTTTTTCTCGACACTGGTTTATGCTACAATGCGCGCTTAGGTATCAAAAAATAGCCCTGAATTTCAGCTATTTTTTGATACCAAAGACGCATTTTTGAAAGTACGGGCGCTTTGAAAAAAATGAAATACTAAAAAACCTTTGCGACTACGCGACTGTACGCGGTGGGTGGGGTACTATTAAAGTATTGACGGTAAGTAATTAGTGGAAACTTTAGATAGTGTTGATCGTGATTAAAAAATAAACTAAGCATTTATGGTTAGCTGAAAAGCTGGAGTCTTTCACTGAAATTCGTTATCGATCACACTTTCACTCATTCAAGATTTCAATGCAATTCAATTCAATTCAATTCAATTCAATTCAATATTTCACTCGATTTCCCCACAAATCTTTGCTCTATCCGCCTCTTTTCCACAAAATTCTCCATTTGTTTGAGAAAGGCTTTCTCACAAAAATTCTGTGCGAGAAAAACTTTTCCTCAAACATTTCCCTCTATTGAACCTTGAATTTTCAGAAAAAAGTCGTAAAATAAGTAAAATATTGCTTTTTAAGTTAAAGTGCCACATTTTAAATTCCTTTTTTGAATTCTGATGATTCCATGGATTTTTGCCTTGACTACCCGAAAGGGCTTCAAAGAATTTCCAATTTTCTCCGATTTCTTTTATTTCTTGAATTTTCTAAGCTTTCTTACTTGGTTTCAAATTGAGATTTTAGAGTTTAACAAAACAAAGCAAAGCAAAAGATGGCCCTCACCTGCTCCGATTTGCCAAAGTTCATCTGTGCTGTCCTTTTGCCGGTGAGTGGGATAAAGATTGAAAACGGAAAAGATTCAACTATTGAATGCGTTGTGACTTTAAAAACACGAGGTTACGCTTTAAAAAGCTAGTGTTCATAGCTTGAAACTGTAAACTGATAAGCAAAAAGTATTTAGACAATAGCTCTGCACTTTAGGGTAGTAATTAAGCTATAGATTAAGCAATTAGTGGATGTTTCTGATTCAAATCCTGTAGTGATACAAGACTGAGATTTACAGTGCTTTTGAGAATGAGAAATTTGAGAATTAGATCTTTGCCTAACTAGGGAACGGCGCCTAACTAGGGAACGGCGCCTAACTAGGGAACGGCGCCTAACTAGGGAACGGCGCCTAACTAGGGAACGGCGCCTAACTAGGGAACGGCGCCTAACTAGGGAACGGCGCCTAACTAGGGAACGGCGCCTAACTAGGGAACGGCGCCTAACTAGGGAACGGCGCCTAACCAGGGAACGGCGCCTAACTAGGGAACGGCGCCTAACTAGGGAACGGCGCCTAACTAGGGAACGGCGCCTAACTAGGGAACGGCGCCTAACTAGGGAACGGCGCCTAACTATGGCTTCTTTAATTTTTGTCTAAATATTCTAGATTTCTGTAAAAACGGATTCGAAATTTAACCTAAGCCTGTGCGACTTTGTAAGGCTACCGTCGCTCACCAAAAATAGTGACTGAGTGGTGCAGTGGTAGTGCCGCTGTCTCCCATTCTTTGGATCCCAGTTCGATCCCTTTAAATCATTGTTTTTAATCTTTTAAGTAGAGTTTGATTTTAAGTAGTTTTAGATATCTTTAGTTTTGATTTCATTCTTTTGTAAAGCTTTAGCAAAGCAGCTTTAACAAAGCGTTGTTCTAACAAAAAAAAAAAATGAAAAATGAACGGAATTCTGTTAGATCGAAGTTAGACCTGAATACTTTTTATTTTATTTCATTTCAGCTCTAAAATCGAACTTATTTATCTAAATTTATTTTCAATTTTCAAATTTCAGCCTCTTGGCGTTTTCTTCGAGAAGGGTTGCGACTATCATTTAGCGATTTGCATTTTGTTGACAATTCTCGGCTACATTCCCGGCATCATCTACGCTTGTTATGTGATCCTCGCTTATTAAGCAGTACCCAAAATATTTGTGATTCCAAATTTTCTCTTTGTTCCTAAAACCAATCTTTCCACTACTTATTTCTCTCAAAAAATTCCCTTTCCTAGGTGAGATTCAATTGCTTTATGTGAACAAAATCCTTGCCAAGATTTACAATATTTCCAATATCAATATTTTTCACTCAATTTCTAAAGCCTTTTGATGTTTTATTATTGCTTTTCAATAAAATATTGTCAAAAAGAATAAATAGAAGAAGAAAAAAGAAGAAGAAAAAGATAAATGCGAAAAAGAAACTAAGAAAGAAGTAAATTGGTTTTGTTTTCCCTTATGATTGATGAAACATTTATATTTGCCGAAGAGATCTTCTTTCATTTCATCGATTCGTATCTGTAGTTGGTGGCGGCCTTTTTGAGGAGAACTCTGAAAAAAAACAAGCCTTAAAGCTAAGTGATATCATAAGAGCTATTAGATGAGAATGATTGAGAATTTCTAACTTACAGTAAAGATCAGCTCCGTTTTTGATTCGCCATCAATGGTACACGAGAAATTGTCCCTATTTTGCGATCCCAAACGAAGTAGGAGAGATTCTTTGCCATCAATTTTTATCTCATCTCCATTATTTACAGAAAAAACTCGATTTGGAGGCTCTAAATTTGATTGGAACCGTATTAGATCAAAATAGGAAGCGTATTGGAACCATATTGGAACCGTATTGGAACCGTATTTGATCAAAATAGGAAGCGTATTGGAACCGTATTAGATCAAAATAGGAACCGCATTAGATCAAAATAGGAAGCGTATTGGAACCGTATTAGATCAAAATAGGAACCGTATTAGATCAAAATAGGAAGCGTATTGGAACCGTGAAACTAAAGTGAAAAGTGAAATTTGATTAAACCAAAGTGAAAACTAGACGTGTGCATTTTAAATCCATTCGTCAATAGGTGTACAACGGATTGACGTCTTAATTCCTTTCAAAATTCCTTTAAAAATTTCCTTTTAAACGTTTTTTGCCGTTTGATATTACTTAGTGGTGGAAAACTTTTGAAAAAGTCGATTTTAAAGAGCTCAAGACGTGATTTTTGGAGAGCTGATGAAAACAGCGCCGTGTACAAACAGCTTCGGTCAAAATAATGCGCTTGCGCTCAAGTTTATTTGTGTTTCTTGTTTTCATTGAATATAGCAAAAAAAATCTATCTGCTGAATTTTTTGAAGCCGTTTAGAACAAATCTGGGATGAGAAAATGCCAAAAAAAAAACGAGAAATAGCTCAAAAAGATGTTAACTGACAAGGGAACCTTCCCAAGTTACCCACGAGTTACAATATGAGGTAGGTGCCAAAAGAAAGGCCACAAAATGTACGTTCAGAAGCTGTTTTCAAAAACCGCTAATCGGCAAAAAGCACAAAGTTACAACCATTTGAATTTCGAAAAAATGAAGGCTTTTCTCGAATTTCTGGTACATTGATTTTTGCCGGCGGGCTGATTGTGAGCTTTTCTCGGCATCAATTCTGTTTTAAGTGGTCGCAAAGTATACAAAATATAGATAGTTTTATTTTTCATCTAATAAGAATAAGAAACACATAGAAACTTACCCGTGGAGGGGTTATTTTGCCATGGCGCTGCTCGTAAACGGCGCTGTTTTGATCAGCTCTCACTTTTCGCTGTACACCTATCGACGATAGGTAAAAATGCACATATCTAGTGAAAACTCTATGTGTATCTTTTAGTGCTTTCTCTATACAAAATTTTGAGTAAATTGTACGCCATTTAATCTTTAAAGATATATGGATACTTATCGATTACCGTATTCTCTCTAATAGTAGTGCGCACTACTATTTTTTCAACCCCTTCCTGGACCGCAATACTATTAAAGAGTGCACTACTATTAGAGAGAATACGGTATATTCCCACAAAATCTCCATTCTAAAAAAAAGCCATCCGATGAGAATATGTAAAATGAAAAGATTTTTAAGTTCAAAATATATGCAATTAAATCTCTACTATATATAAGCGAAGGATGTCCGTCCGTCTGTCATCTGATGGGATTGTTCCAAGTAAGTTTTCGAATCAAAGTTATTATGTCTGATTTAGAAAAAAGCGGCTGGAGTATTTTAAAAACACTGAAAAACGTGTCTAAACAAATTTCATGTAGTTGTGCATTTAAAAGAAATTTTGTAAAAAGTCAAAGTAGTTAGTCACGCGCGGGGGTCGAACCCGGGTCGTGTGCGCGTGAGGCGAGCGCATTAAATCCTATCTTAAACATGGTGGGATTGAATTTTTGGTAGTGCAATTCGTTTCTGGCAATCATTTTTACAATTTCTCAAGCAGTTCACCGTTAAGCGGGCTGTTCTGCTGGTTCAATTAGTCGATTGGACGATCCTCTTTGAGAGAAAGCTTATAAGGTGATTGGGTTGTTGAAAGAGGCTTACAACAGGGTTAGCAGAGAGGCTGTTATGATGACCACAAGTTATCTGAACTTATTTACCTATCAGTAATCTGATCGTCATCAAGAATAACCTTAAAATTAGTAGTTAGTCACTCGCGGGGATCGAACCCGGGTCGTGTGCGCGTGAGGCGAATGCATTAAACCTACCCTAAACATGGTAGGATTGAATGCTTGGTAGTGTAATTCGTTTCTGGCAATCATTTTTACAATTTCTCAAGCAGTTCACCGTTAAGCGAGCTGTTCTGATGGTTCAAACTACAAACTACAAACTAGATTTAACCGATTTGATGCATTTAATTTGATTTTGAGAAGCTTTTTGATCCAAAATCAAAACAAAATCCAAATTTTATGAAATATAGCCGAGAAGTACAGAAGATAAGCTCTTTTAAATGCTGAATAAGAAAAATAAACTTACTATAAATGACAGTAGTCGCATAACAGGCATTGCCGAGAGATTCCCGAACACAACACTCATAAACCCCAGCGTAAGAGGCTGAGTTCTTTTGAGAGCCGTTTGGTAGACTGAAAATTTCTGTAAATTTATTCTAAATCTTTTCAAAGCTTAAAAGAAAATCTATTAGTTAAGAAATTCTATGAAAATCTGAATAAATTTACATCAACTTATTCCTAGCAACTTCAATCTTCTTAGGTAGAATCGAGCTTCCATTAAATCTCCAATGAAATTTTCCATTGAAATGAGCATCAATATTTCCACAGTGTAACCATCTGACACCATTTTCGTGAATTTTCAATAGATTGAAAGAGATTTGAGACACCTGAAGAGTCAAAGAATGTGATAAGTGCTAGACATGGGCAGCGGGTCGGGTCGGGTTGGGTCGGGTCGGGTCGGGTCGGGTCGGATCGGGTCGGGTCAAAAGTGACCCGCTGACCCGACCCGCGACCCGGCTTTTTTCCCGGATGACCCGCTGACCCGACCCGGCAAAAATTTTGAGCTTGACCCGACCCGCTGACCCGACCCGGCCGCCAAAACTCGAAAATGGACATGTCTAATAAGTGCTTTAAAGTGTTTAACTCACATTGATTTTCACCCATGGATTTGTATGTTCAGAGATAATAACTTGAAAGAAAAAGGAAAAGAAAAGTTTCAAAGTATCACAGGTTGCTGGGGTCATAATCGGTTGACAACATCGTCTTTGTGAGGATCGGGTGGCTGGGGAAGAGGCAGATGGGGTGGAAGGGAGTGTTGACCCCCGAGGGGGAAGACCGGCTGACTGAGAGCTTCTACAAACAGTTCTCTCTCTTCACCTTTACCCAATGCTAGGTGGACATTTCCCCTTCTCTCCACTTCGATGACCGATCGGCAATTAGTCGATTGGACGATCCTCTTTGAGAGAAAGCTTATAAGGTGATTGGGTTGTTGAAAGAGGTTTACAACAGGGTTAGCAGAGAGGCTGTTATGACCACAAGTTATCTGAACTTATTTACCTATCAGTAATCTGATCTTCATCAAGAATAACTTTAAAATTATAGAGTTAAACAAAGCTAAATAGTTCAACAAACATCTCCGACTGTTTCAGTAATTACTCACTAAAATTAGCACTTTAATTTGAAAAACCTGCGTAAAAACGGGTTTTTCTGCGAGATCTTTCACTCTCTCTGTGGCGCAGTCGGCAGCGAAGTTTATTTCAGCTTGCACGTTCTGGGTTCGAACCCCGATAGTGTGAATCAATCCTGACTCTTCAACTTTTGATTTTGAATGACACAACTATATTATTTTTTAAGACTTTTAAATAAATTTGTTTGTTGGCCCAAAGACGGCTGAGAAAAAGCCCGTACAGATGGACGGACGGAGAGACGAACAAACACTTCTTTTTATATATAGTAGATTGTTGTGAAGGAAGAAAAGACAGCTATACCAGACTAGATAAAGACATACTGAAGTCAAAGTTTAATTTCCTTTCTGAAACTCTTTTCTTAACAATTTCTTGACAAGGTACAATGGTTTTTAGAAAACATTAGCTAACAGTAAGGTCTGTTAGTCAATTATTGATCAGCTATTGTTCAATGTTGTTCTCAATAACATTTTTGATAAAGAAAATGCTTGAATTCTTAATTCTTATTTTGAAATAACCATTGAATTTCTTTCAGTTTAGTTGATTATGCAAAGCAAATTTACATAACCAAACTGGTCATCATTTGCTTCCTTTGGTCTACTCAATTTTCGTCTCAAATTCTCATTTGCCTAATTGTTTCGTCTCAAATGATACTTGTCAGTTAGTTTAAAGAGAAATTTTACTCACTAAAGTACATCAAAAACTAAAAAAATCTTTATTATGGCTCAACAAAGGCGTTTATTGGAAAATCGTGAGTTTGAGAATCTGGCTAGAGGGTTGCCGTTGTCGAGAACAATCGCCGCTGAACATATTGACAAGGTTAGGGCTTTAAAAAGAATTATTAATGGAATTATTAAACGGAAAGATGTCCTTATTAACAATGTTTTCAGAGTACTATGGTAAAACTAGCTCTTTCATTCATCAAATTGCATCAAGTGATCGATTTTGATAAAGTAAAGCGTTATTGTTATCGTAATCCAACGAATTTCCCTCTCGATTCTTCGGAGATGTTGGATGTAAATATCTTTCTTTAAGAAAAGTACGAGAGTTTTAGATATTAGATGGATTTCTTTTGGTGTTAAGCGAGAGTGGAGATGTGCTTTACATTAGTGAGACTGTCAGTGTGTTTATGGGATTGTCACAAGTGAGTTTTCGAGTCAGTCAGTGTGTTTATGGGACTGTCAGTGTGTTTATGGGATTGTCACAAGTGAGTTTTCGAGTCAGTCAGTGTGTTTATGGGACTGTCAGTGTGTTTATGGGATTGTCACAAGTGAGTTTTCGAGTCAAAGTTATTATTTTGTTGATAAACATGTTTCAATTTACAATATTATGAGTAAAGTAAAAGTAATAAATGTGTTTTTTTAAAAGCTAAACTTTAAAACCGTGCTTTTAGCAAAAATTATTGCAATAAATTGACATGGAAAAATTCCGTGATGACTCTTTTTAAAGATATTCAGTCGTTTAAATGATTTGATGGGAAATTCACTTTACTTGACGTGTAAAAAGGGGGTTGGCTAATTTCCACAATTTTTTTCCGCAACAGGGTCAAATGACAGGGTTTTTTTTTGCGCAACTTGGTCATTTGCGTAACTGGGTCGCTTGCCCAACTGGCGTTTGCCCAACTGCCCAACCGTAACTGGGTCGCTTGCCTTGCTCGCCATAACTTTCTTCTAAGTCAGCTAATCTTTATGATTTTGGTTTCATTTTGTTGCACTTATTGAGATCTACAAAATGACACCAAAATCATAAAGATCGGCCCACATCGAAAAAAGTTATGGCTAGTTGCGGAAACTAGTCTACTCCTAATACCTCTAATCGTAGCGCCCCCTTATAAGCGGTCGAAGCGTCGCGTAGGCTATGTGGGCCGATCTTTATGATTTTGGTGTCATTTTGTAGATCTCAATAAGTGCAACAAAATGAAACCAAAAGCATAAAGATCGGTCCACATAGAAAAAAGTTATGACAAGTTGGGCAAACGGCCCAGTTGCGCAAATAACCCTGTTGCACAAAAAAGTTGCGGAAATTAGCCTACCCCGTAAAAAGGTTTCCTCGTAGTTATTTGACCAAAAAAAGTTGATTAATCGATTACTCATGGAATAGAATTTCATCATTTTCTTAAGATTTACAGGTTGAAATGAGTGGAACAGCTTTTCGTCTTTACATTCATCCTGAGGATTTTGTTTTGTATCAATGGGTGAGTACAAGATAAGAAAATGTGATTCTTTTTCGTTTCTCCACAAATCCGCAAATCCAAAATATTTAATCATTTAATAATAATCGATCAAATTAATCAAAATCAAAAAAAAAAAAAACATTAAAATGATCAATGAAGAATCTATGCGGTAGCAATTTGTTGCAACATTCATTCGAAGAAATCTTCCTTTCCCACTTCTTGTCAGATTATGAATTCAGCAAGATAGCTAGGAAATGACGTGCTTCTTGTTTCTCCATTCGGCAGATCCCCATAGACGCTCGATCGTCTGCGTGCAAATGGCAGTGTCATCCAGATTCAGTGATTGACTTGAGCGTTGATAAAGCCGGCTTTCCCCATCTGTTGAGTGTTGTATCCTCACCAAAAATCGCAGAAGAAATAGTAAAAGAATGAATTTTCTGTGGTTTTCTTTGTTCATTTTCATGAAAGAATTCAAATTTTTGAATGATTTTTCAAATTTTTGCGAAAGAACCGAAAATATTAATAATCTTATAAGAAATTTGACATCAAAGCCTTTGCCTTAATATCAAATTTTACAGGCCTTTACCACTTCAAAAGATGATGGTCAACCAATCGCTTTTAATCTCCGGATAATGTCCTCATTAACAAAGAGAGCCAATCGAGAGACCGCAAAAGCATCTCCTGGCTTTAAGGTGAAAGACTACTGCTCATTACTTACTGCAAACATTTGTTCAGGTGGTTCGCTTAGAGTTAAGATGCACGAATGGATGTACTCTTCTTTACATCACTCCTCTTCCACAACTCGTCCTTTCAACAGTCACTCTTCCCTCATATTCTATGTGCATCATACTAAATCTTGACTTCACAATCAATACGATTAATCCAAAGTATGTGCGTTTGATTCTAAGCCTGCTTAGCTCACTAGAATTTTAGTCATGAACAAAGAACAACTTTACTTTTAGTCATAACCATTAGCCATAAGTTCACTTTGAGTTTTGCGTTTAAAACTTTGCTTTGCTTTGCTTCTCTTTGCTTGGCTTTGCTTTGCTTCTCTTTGCTTTGATTGCTTCTCTTTGCTTTGCTTTGCTTTGCTTTTCTTGTTTTGCTTTGCCTCTCTTTTCTTTGCTTCTCTTTGCTTTGATTGCTTCTCTTTGCTTTGATTTGCTTCTCTTTGCTTTGCTTTGCCTCTCTTTTCTCTGCTTCTCTTTGCTTTGCTTTGCTTCGCTTTGCTTCGCTTTGCTTCGCTTTGCTTCGCTTTGCTTCGCTTTGCTTCGCTTTGCTTCGCTTTGCTTCGCTTTGCTTCGCTTTGCTTCGCTTTGCTTCGCTTTGCTTCGCTTTGCTTCGCTTTGCTTCGCTTTGCTTCGCTTTGCTTCGCTTTGCTTCTCTTTGCTTTGCTTTGCTTTGCTATGCTTTGCTTTGATTGCTTCTCTTTGCTATGCTTTGCTTCTCTTAAAGACTTCATTATTTTAAAGTTAAAGCTTTGACTTTTGTAGACGAAATTTCGGTTTCACGGCAACTTTCAGATTGGAAGAGCTCCTCTTATCCCCATATTTTCCTCAAGAAATCTCTTTGAAAGGTGAATCTCTCTATAAATTGATTCATATCGATGATGTTGAAATTGTAAAAAGAGCACATTTTGACGGTAAAATGAGGCTAGTCATCAAAATTTCAAAATTTCTTTAGCATTCTATTTGAGATCTCATCGAACCTCATATTTTCGCTTGATTCAACGCGGGACTGGGTTAGATACCAATGTCCAAGTTGGTTTAACATTTGCTAAAACATTTTTTAAAAGTTATATATAAAAGTTCTGTTTGAAATCCTTTTTTATTTAAGGCTACGGCTTTCCGATACACTTCTCAGACGCTACGAAATAACACCGATTCAATCACAATGATTATTTTGATTTTATGAGTTTTTCACATCATAAATTTCTCTTTTTCAGCATTATTATTGAATTTTTGGCCATTTCATGATGAAAAACTTTCAATTTCATTCTTTTCTTTTGATTTTATCAATCATTTTTCTCGATTGCTTTTGCCAGGAAGAGCCTTTTTGTAAAGTTGGACAAGTTCAGGTAATGATTAAACCATTACTGAAACCATTACTGCAGAGTAATACTTTTCCAATGATTCTTTTAAATATAATAAATTTTGGAAACCTTTAAACAATAAAAACTTTATTTTGGAACACTTTATCTCAATGGCAAATGTGCGAAAATGTGTCGATCGATGGGGCAATTGTGGCACCGAAATGGGTGAATAAAGGTGTGCAAGATGTGGAGGAGATTAACAATGACAATAGCTTGAGTTAAACTTTCGGTATTTGGTGGCTCAATTTTTACATAACAGAAATAACAGCTTTGACAAGGCACCTTTTTTTGGTCCAGATCAGATCAGGGATAACAAGGAGGTACCCAAGCTCGCCCTCGCCGGTTGGCTGATGACAAAATAGTTGTAGAATTAACAATTGTGTAAAAGTCAGCTGCTCATAAGCGAGATATTTGGTCTAGAATCTTGAGAAATCTTGCTTAAAAGGCTTTGTCAGATTCAGAAGCTAAGACTAGTGGCGCAGTGGATAAGTGGCCAAGGCAATCTATCTACTTTTTGCTTGAGTTTGAGTCTTCTAGCAATTCTTTTTTGCTTTTTTTGATTTTACGGCAAATAATTCATCGTTTTCAGCTTTAATTTGTAAGTAAATTTAAGTAAATTCTGCAAGTAAATACTGTGTTTTTAAACGCAAGAGAATCCTTTTAAGCGAGATGTCTTCTATGCCAGAAATCTCGCGTTTGCGAGCGTATCGGCAGCTGATTTTTGCACCATTTTTATCAGCATAGTCAATTCTACAACTTCTATTTTGGCATCGAGCGATTGACAAGAGCAAGCTGGGGTTTTTCCGTTGTAAGCTAGGTCCCAACCTAGCTTCTGACCTTGGCCTTACTTTCGTGCAGGTGTGACCTTACTTTATCATCAAGAGAAAGAGAAAGATATTTAGACACGAGAATTTCTTTTATAAAGATTATCTGGATAAAGTTCCTTTTACAGGCTGTGTCTATCCAAATCAAAGCCTTAAACGATACATTCGCATTGTGGATGGACAAACTTTTGACCAAGTGATGCTAATAATTTTTCATCAACAAAACTTTAGATTGGTGACAAAGGCGAGCGCTTTCAATTCCGTTTTCTTTGCTTTAAAATCGTGAATGAGAAATATGGAGATTATTATCGAACGAACATGACTCGTGAGAAGAAATTTGAAAGAAATTAAATGAATAATTGTGTTGAATGATTACAGATTGTGTTGTTGGAAAGAAAAATGTCGCTATTTTGCCAGGAGATCAAATAAAATTAGATGTAAAAGAATCGTTTAACTCATTTAATCATTTAACTTTGCTTTAGGATATGGAAAATGGGAAGAAAGTGACGAGAGTCTACAATTGCACGATTGTCAAGAATCGTTTCGTGATCAACGAGAGTACGATTGGATGATTGAATAAATCTTTGAATTGAACATTGAACACACTAAAGAACACAATATTCCTACAATCTTATCAGTTACTTCTTGTTGTCTAAACCAAAATTTGTTTGAAATTCGAGTTTGTCTCTTTCACAACAACGGACGGACGAACGAACAGACAGCCATCAATTATATAAACGAAAGTTTTTCGAGGTTTGGAAAAGCAGGGGTGGCGGAGAGGATGGCACGCCGGTCTCAAGATCCGGGGATCGTGGGCTCGGTTCCGGACTGAGAAGTAGTTTGCTTTTTTGTTCTTGGTAAAAGGAGTTCTCATTGCTATGAATTATGAAATGTTCGTCTGTCGGAAAAAAAGATCAAAGAATGGATTTTTCGGGCTGCAAATTTATATTGGGGTGCTTTCGACTATGCTGATGCCAAATCTATGCTGATGTCAGGGTGCTTTCGACTATGTTAATGCCAGATTCGAGGTCTGTGTGGCAGTTGGCAAACAGGTTTTCAATTAGATTAGCTCAATTTTTATATCATTGCTGAGCCTTGTGATTCTTGATTCAAAAATTGAGTTGATTGGATGTAAACTGGTGGTTTGACAATGGTAGTTTTCTCAGGTGAGTTTTAGAAAAGAAAACTTGAGAAGAACACATAAAGATTCTATTTTTTCACAATATTCAAGGAGAGGTTCTCTCGTTTTAGAAATTCCAGTCACCTCCAATAAATTTGTGTATAACTCTTTTCCAATAAGAACTGCCAGAATTTTGAATCGATGCCCCAGAGTTTTGAGAGAGTCCAATTGTCTCGAAATCATTAAATGATCTGTAGATGATCTCGATCTTGAAGCTCTAGTGGATTCTTAACGTTACCTGCGCTACCCATATATTACATTATATCGTGTTGCTTTTTATCGGCCCTTTTCGTGTTATGTGTATGAATTCATGTGTATTAATCTTAAATCTAGCGCACTTTAGTTTAGTTCTTGAATAAAGTATCTATCTAAACTAAAGTACTATGGCTTTTGCTGCTTTATTTTTGTTTACTAAGAACTTTAGCAAAGAGCTTTTATGAGTAAAAGATTCCACAGACTTCTCATCGACTCCATCATCAACGAGCTTTCATTTTAATCTTAGATATTGATTTTAAACCTTTTATATGATGTTACTAATTGCGTATTTTACAATTTACACATTTTTTAAATAATTCTCACTAGATAAGCAACACCAAAATGTAAATCGAAATGGAAAAAAGAAATCGTGTTGCTCTGGGTTAACCACCAAATTTGTTAGTCGTTTTTCGGTTGTTTTTTTAGTGTTAATTAAGCGGTACTATATCTAAAGAGAGTTAAATAACTTAACTTTTTAAATTAAAATAAAGTACTATGGCTTGCTTGCTTTATTTTTGTTTACTAAGAACTTTAGCAAAGAGCTTTTATGAGTAAAAGATCCCACAGACCTGATCTCTTTCTTTTAAACAATAATTGTATTGCCATCGACTCCACCATCGACAAGCTTTCATTTTAATCTTAGATATTGATTTTAAACTTTATATAAGATGTTACTAATTGCGTATTTTACAATTTACATATTTTTTAATAATTCTCACTAGATAAACAACACCAAAATGTAAATCGAAATGGAAAAAAGAAATCGTGTTGCTCTGGGTTAACCACCAAATTTGTTAGTCGTTTTTCGGTTGTTTTTTTAGTGTTAATTAAGCGGTACTATATCTAAAGAGAGTTAAATAACTTGACTCTTTAAATTAAAATAAAGTACTATGGCTTGTTTGCTTTATTTTTGTTTACTAAGAACTTTAGTAAAGAGCTTTTATGAGTAAAAGATTCCACAGACTCTCATCGCCTGCATCATCGACAAGCTTTCATTTTAATCTTAGATATTGATTTTAAACCTTTTATATGTTGTTACTAATTGCGTATTTTACAATTTACATATTTTTAAAATAATTCCCTGATCTCTTTCTTTTAAACAATAATTGCATTGCCGGTGGCAATCCTTTGACAGAAAAACACTTTATTCACTTGCTCATAAAGCAAATTTCAAATTTGATTCTCTTTTTTTTCAAAATTCTACGTTTTTAATTAAAAAGATAGGTTTTTATTTGTGAACTATCCACTCATAAATTTCCCCATTCTAGCGCCAACCCTTGACTCCTCTGCACTCCTCTCACCGCTCACAGCTACGTCACGTGTATTCCCGCAATCCCAACGGTTTACTTTACGAAATCGAAATTAATTCTAAATTTTTCTGTATAGGGATTTTTTTTTCATCAAAAATCTGATCGTCGAAAAGAAAAGAGGAACGAATGGGCGATATTGCCCGATCGCTCGCCGAACGCTATAAGAAATATGGATTATCGACTGGTTTGTTTTTTTTTGAATCACTATTAAACTATTTAAAAGTTCGTTTGTATCTTAGAGCTTTTTAAATTCACTTTAAGCTTTTTAAATTCTCAAGCAAGTTTGTCATTTTGTCGAGTAGAGTTTTCCCGCCAAGTTTGGCCAATGATCAAACCAAAAAAAAAAAAAAATCGATAACTTACTTGAATTCAAAATTTTATGCACTTATTTACAGATTTGTTTAATAGAAAATAATTGATATCTTTTATTTAATAGAAAATTGGAAAAGTAAATACGTAAAAACTAACTCTTTTTGAGAGGCAAATTATTTAAAATTTCACAATTTTAACCAACTTTTCCATAAATTTTTAAAGATACAAAAAATACACAAATAAACTTTTAAAACCAAAATCTAGGGAAGAAAAAGCTAAGCGGCGGGTTTGAATCCTTGAGCTGCTGACTAAGATACATCTAAACGAATCGGCTCCTAACCAATCGACTATCATACCAACTTTCAGACGTCGAAGAGGGTGAATATTGTCCTGGTGGTTCACTAGACGAGACTTTACCCGAAGATTATGTGCCAGGATGTCATTATGGAAGTCAAGATGACGAAGGATACACGGGAAGTCTCAATGGCACTGTGATAGGGTAAATTTTAGCTTATGAATATAATACTATAAACTGATCAAAACTGTAACTTTATATTCTAGAACTTACGACGAGGATGTTGAACATATGAATGAGGATTTTGATGCTGAGCAATACGGGTATGTTGAATCATTTTAAAAATAGCTCTAGATTCAAAAAAAACCTGATCAAATCGTTTTAGTTATGCGGAAAGCCAGGTCGAGCAGCGACATGTTCACTTTGATCAGTCCTACCAGCCCATACGGTAAGTGTTAAGCAATAAACTAACAAACTTTTGGAAATAATGTTGAATTTTTCATTTCAGAATACCCAATGGTCACTATGGAATGAACGGGTATCAAATATATGGTGGAATGAATGAATTATTGGCGAGTCCGTTGATTGTCGTTGAAAAAACGGATAAAAGGAGGTAAATAAACTTGAGAACAGTGGTTTGTCAAGCTACTGCGTAAATATTAATATAATAAAGAAGTGAAGGAATTAGAAAGTAGATTTCTGGAAAGGGAATTGAATTGGCAATTGCTCTAACCATTGAGCTATTTGTTACCTTAACTTGGCTAGAGAAAGAAAGAAAGACAGGAGGAAGAAGAAAAGAAAGAAAGAAAGAAGAAAATACCTGGATTTTCAGAATCGTGGGCTTTCTATTTGAAAATTATTGAAATTGAAAGCAGAACCACATTTATTAGTAATAAAGAAGTAAAAGAATTAGCAAGATAAAGTAGATTTTCAGTATAACATTACTGTACAACTCTAGCCAGTATTAAGCTATTTTTTTCCGTAAACAGACTGCAGCAAACTGACTATGAACTGACTTTGTTAGCTGACTAAAAGCTGTCAGATGCTAGAATTTGAAAATGAAACCCTTTCTAGAAGAGATGGTGTCGGAGATCTCGTCGAAGCCTTGAGAAATCCGGAGAAGAAAATAACCGACGACCAAATGGAACAAGAACAAAAGCAGCGCCGAGTATTAAACTCGTCTGGGCAACTCATTCGGAATGTGGATCTCCCTGTTTGTAGGATAGGTAATAGAATTTGTCTATAATATCTTAATCTATAAAAAGTTCACTAAAAGCTTATAAAATTGATAATTTATTTCAGTCGAAGTTGTGCAACGAGTGGCTTTTGGCGATGGTCAAGAGCCGTGTGATCTCCCCCTCCACCGCCTCATCCAACTGATGTCAACTCTGTGAGTTGTTACTGATTAAATCTGTAAATCAAATCAAATCAAATCAAAAAAAATCAATCTTTATAGAATTTACATCAATCTGTTATAGGTCCGAAAGTTGATCCGCTCAAAAATGATCCGTTGTAAGCGATGCAAGAATCGTTTTATTGAGAAGAACATCTACGAGCGTCATTTGAGAGACAAGTAAGAAGAAGAATAGGAAAACAAAGAATTTTTGAGATTTTAGACATCCAAAAGATTATGAAATCTTTATTGCTGAACAAGAAGCTGAAATGGAACAACAAAGAGCTGAGGAAATGGAAGCGAATCGGATAGAAGAGCTCACTTCTGGAGGTTTCATTCCACCCGCTGAGGATATTGCTGCCGAGACTTTTGAAGTAGAAGTTGAAGGGTTGGTTGACTAGCTAAAAATTAGTTAAAATGATCCGTTGTAAGCGATGTAAGAATCGTTTTATTGAGAAGAACATTAGACAATGAGAATTAGCTATTCTTATCAGTCTTGTCAAACACTAGAAAGCTTGGGTTTGAAGTTTAACGAGAAAACTGTTTGAGACTGACAAAGCTAAACTAGAAACTATATTATAATCAACTTTATCTTAATCTTAATAGATTTTTTCTTTAAGATATTCTTAAGATCTCAATAATTTTTATGTTTTAACATTACTATTCATTTTAGAATCCCTCTACCTGGTGAGAACAATGGCGGAATCGTACCTACATTTGATTCTTTCGGTGGTTTGCGGCAAATCAGAAGACCCTACAAGAAAAAGGTGAATTTCTTTCTTTCTTTCTCTTCCTTATCCTTCCTTTCTTCCTGGAGAAAGAAGGTTGATAGCTCAATGGTAGATCTGACATCTGCCCGGTAAGCAGAAGGCCGAGGGTTCATTTCCTCCTCCATTTCTTACCTTGCGTTCTTTGCCATTCATTTCTTTACTTTATTATTTATACTCTCTTCCCTATCTTTCCTATTTCTTCCTCGGGAAAGAAGGTTGATAGCTCAATGGTAGATCTGAAATCTGCCCGTTAAGCAGAAGGTCGAGGGTTCAATTCCTCCTTCATTCCTTGCCTTGCCTTCTTTGCCATTCATTTCTTTACTTTATTATTTATACTGTAACAAGCTTTAGTAACAATATATAACAATATATAACAATATTTGATTAAATATAACACTTTAATCAAAAGTTTCCTTTCAGATTTCCCCACAATGTCCATTTTGCGATAAACGATATCGAAACGAGTTCTCGCTGAAGAAACATTTCATCAAAAAACATCCAGAATATATTGATTTCAAGCAATGTATTAGGTAAATAGAAAAATAAGATATTTGAAAGTTAAAGTTGTAAAAAAAGATGATGAAAAAGTGTTTTTTTAGATGCTTTAAATGCTTACGAGATGATACAGAATTGAGGGATCATGAATGTGAATTGGTGAGAGTTTTTTTGAATAATAAAAATCATGAAATCTAATCAAAAAAAAAGCTAATTTTACATAAAAATCGACAAAATTTAGACTTACGTTTGCTTTGAGTGCAATCCAATTCGAAATCTCATCTCGGACATTCGTTTATTGAATCATCGAAAGAAATTCCATCGTGGAGCCAACTCTGGATTCAGATGTAATCAATGTAATCTCAAGTAAGTTAATAGAAAAAGTTTGTATAAGTTTTCGTATAAGTTTTCAAATGACTTATCATTAGCATAAGATGTTGATTAAGTTTCCCTAGAAACATAAACCTTTTGGTGCACTAAATCGAGCAATTTTGCAGTGATTGGTGTCCAAGGTTTAAAGAGTGTGTTTCTCTCTTAAAGAATACAAAAACCTAATAAACTTGAACCTCATATCTGACGACTGACTAGCACCCTTTAGGCACTGTAGTCGTTTGTCTTTTGTAATGTCTAATGAGTAAACTCGGTTAATTATAAAAAACAGTAAAACCAGGTTTAGCCGCAAAGAAGCTTGCCTGAAAATACTTTTAAAACAACGCTAGTAAGCTAGTAAGGCTAACAATTACTTTTCTACTATAATGAGTACAATAATTTCTTCATAGTAGTGTAATACATAGTCTCGAAGGGCTAAAGGGTACTGTAGTCGTTTGTCTTTTGTAATGTCTAATGAGTAAACTCGGTTAACTATGAGAAAATCTAAAGGTTTACATGAGTATCATGAAGTAAAGATCTTGAATAAATTATTTAAATATGCTTGAAAGAAAGTAAGAAGTTGTTGGGTCAGTCAGGTGTGAGTCTAGAGACATTCAGGTGTGAGTCTAGAGCTTTCCAAGTGCCCCACCACCTGATGCTATCTCGGCTTCCGTTAGAGTGAAATAAATTATTAAAGAGTGTGTGTTTCTCCCTTAAACAATACAAAAAACCTAATAAAATTGAACGTGAATTTAAAATCGAATAAAATTTACAGATTCCTCACTCCTCGTAAACTTCGAAAGCACAAAAAAATGGCTCACGTTTTCACAAAAACTTTTCAATGTCATTTTTGTGAAGAAATCTTTATCTCCGAAATTTCGGTATGATTAATTTAAAGTTTTAAATGAAAACAAAAAAGATTTCGTATCCGAGGTCGTATCCGTTTCGGATGATAGTTTTCAGTCTTCTTCTTCTCTTCTTCGTATTTCTAGTAAACCAATCCCAAACGATTTGCAAGAATGAGTCAATTGGTTGAACTCAAGTTAGCATTTGAAAAGCAATTGTTTCACTTTACGGTAGCTAATTGCCTATCTTCCTGTTTAAAATGGTTGAAATCCTTTCAGGGCTCTATCTTCCTGTTTAAAATGGTTAAAACCCTTCCAGAGCTCTATCTTCCGGTTTAAAATGCTTAAAACCCTTCCAGAGCTTTAACTTCCTGTTTAAAATGTTTAAAATCCTTTCAGAGCTCTATCTTCCTGTTTAAAATGTTTAAAATCCTTTCAGAGCTCTATCTTCCTGTTTAAAATTTCTATTTCTGTTTCGGATACGAAAAGAAATCTTTATCTCCGAAATTTCGGTATAAGTAATTTAAAGTTTTAAATTTTTAAAAAAAACAACTTTTTAGGTGATGACTCACGAGCGGGTGCACACAGGAATCATCAAATTTGAGTGTAAAATCTGTGACTTCAAATGCAATCGTTTCATTCAAATGGAAGAGCACGCAAAGGAAGAACATGGGTAAAAGAAAGACATCACTTTTTTAGATAATAAGATTTTCAAAACTGAATTTAGCTACATTTGTGCGATTTGTCAAGAGAAGTTCGCAGAATGGGCTGAAATCAAGAATCACACACTGCAAGAACATGGTGGATATCTGACGAGTGACTCGAATTCTGGTGAGTTTACGGAGGCTGTGCAATCAAATCAAACAAAGAAACTCTTGATTGTCGCACGCTAAATAGCAAAAAAGTATTACAATATTACAAGAGAACGGAAGTTCTGGCCAGGCAAGGCCGGGATTCGAACCGACGACCTTCCGCTTAGCGAGCGAACGCTTTAACAATGGGTTACAAGAACACGTATCCCATTGCCACCAGGGAAGGGCTTTAAGCCTTAATTCAAGATCTTTTTGTGGATCAGTCCTCAGTAAAACCAGGTTTAGCTTGTCTGAAAATACTTTTAAAACAAGCCTACCTAGCTAGTAAGGCTAACAATTACTTTTCTACTATAATGAGTACAATAATTTCTTCATAGTAGTGTAATACATAGTCTCGAAGGGCTAAAGGGTACTGTAGTCGTTTGTCTTTTGTAATGTCTAATGAGTAAACTCGGTTAACTATGAGAAAATCTAAAGGTTTACATGAGTATCATGAAGTAAAGACTTAAATAAATTATTTAAATATCCTTGAAAGAAAGTAAGAAGTTGTTGGATTGTAGAAGTTGTAGAAGTAAGAAGTTGTAGAAGTAAGAAGTTGTAGAAGTAAGAAGAACCACCTGATGCTATCTCGGCTTCCGTTAGAGTGAAATAGTTATTTGTACTAAGATTTCATTTCTTTATTCCAAGTCGATAGCTCTAACGGGAACCGAGATAGCATCAGGTGGTGGAGCACTTTGTGGAGCATCGTGGATGGGACACTCGGAAAGTCTAGACAAAGCCATCAATTGATTTTATATGCAATAAAATTTATTGCATATAAAGCCATCAATTGATTTACAATAATTTCCATTATTATTGACGACTTCTGCTCATTTTACAGGCAATTTGCGGATTCCTCTTTCGTAGTAGGATTTTGGTTTGTGTGTGAGACAAGTGTGAGACTCGAAACATGTGAAATTTGCATTTAAACGACTACCTGAAAACATAGCAGAGAACCAGAAAAGCAATAAACAAAACAAACAAAACAAAAGCAAATCATTCATTTATTTCTTATCATTTAGGTTACATCGAATCTCCACGAGTATGGGTGATGTTTAAAGGAGAATGAAAATTGCAATTTTCTTTCTTTCTTATTGCTTTCTGTGCCTCAAATTTTATTCCACTTTTTTCTTACGAGTATTGAAAATTTCTCAGATTGCTTTATAGTAAAAATAATAAAAGTTTTTCTTTAAGTAAAAGAAATCTCGTTAAATGGTTTGGTCTCAATAGGATTAGGTCAATTTTAGGTTTTTCTTTTGTATTTCTTTTGTATTTCTTACTGTACCCGATGCATTTTATAAAAGTGATTATTGTAAAAATTCTTTTGTTATTATTTTTTTTTCTATACTTTTCTATAATTTTCTGTGTGCGCTGTATAAATTTGTGTGTTGCGTGAGGAGAATTTTGTTGAGTTCGACCATCCAAAAGAAACCGCTGTTTCTTGTACTTTCAATTAAAAATACGGGTCAAGGCATCGAACAAAAAAAATATTCTTAAAATCAAAAAAAAGCTTATCTATTAAGCTTATCGATTAAGCTTATAGCTTTTCTATTTTTTATTTTCAAATTTAGCTTTAAAGATTAAACTTTAGCTTTCAGGAACAAACGATCGAATTGATAAACGAAAGAAGATCTTCATAAAGAAATATTCTAACATATTTAATAAATTTTTCAATTATTTTAACAATTTTCTTAATCAAAATTTTGTTTTTCAACTTGTTTCTATTAAATTTGATTGATTTTTAATAGTTTTGAGAGGTTTTTTGATAGCTTTAATATTCAAAAAATCGCTGAGCTGAGCTGAGCAAGTTGCTGAGTTTTTAACTTGTTAAAAGCTTTATTTCAGCTTTAGAAATCTAATATAATACTTGATTTTAGTACTATATTTATTGATATAAAGATATATAAAGCTTGCTAAGTCTCATTCGAATCAAATAACTTTGCTGTTTGCTAAAGAATGCCCAGCGGTGACGTCACTGGACGCGACGCGGTCGGCCCCTCTTTCCCTCTTTCCCTGCAAATGCCTCTTTTCTATCTCTTTTCCTTTTCCTATTTCCTTTATTATATTGGTCTCTCATCTATTTCTCAGTCTTCTTCCCCCCTCTCTCCTTCTTCCTTCTTCTTCCTTCTTCCTCCTTCCATCCTTCTTCTTTCTTTCCCCTTTCTTTCCCCTTTCACTCTATTTTCCCTTCAACCTTTTGCCCTTCCATAACTCTTTCTATAGTCACTTCCATTGCATCTGTTCTCTTGCATTTTCTCCGATCCGCTTTCCTCTTCTCTCCTTCTTCCATCTTTCTTCTTCCTTCCTCCTTCCATCCTTCTTCTTTCTTTCCCCCTTTCACTCTATTTTCCTTCAACCTTTTGCCCTTCCATAACTCTTTCTATAGTCACTTCCATTGCATCTGTTCTCTTGCTTTTTCTCCGATCGGTCAGACAGGGCTGCTTGAAGAAAAAAAAAAGGCTTTCAATTCGTCGCGTTCTCTCGCGCATTTCTCTCGTAAAAGATGAAAGCTGAAAGAGATGAAAAGTGGGCAAATCCTACAAACATCATCTGTTTCTTGGTCTTGGATGGTATTACTTGTTTTGATCCTTAGATTTATACAAATAAAGCTCATCTTTACAAGTATCATACTTTAGTTTTGATATTTTTTTTTGAATAATCACAGTTCTTCGATTCCAAAGCATTCAGGAATCAAGATAAATCTATAATCATTACTTAAAACTTACCCAAAACATAACCATTGCAGATTTTGAGCCTTAACTAACAATTATTAAACCAGTTTTATTTCTTCAAGCAATCCCATTATCTATTTATTCTTTTATTGTTCTCATCTAATCATTATTCTTGATTTCCGCTTTCTAAAAGGTACTTAATATTCCCAGAATCGTGAGCAGAGTCTTTTTGATTCACCGTCCTAAAATAGAGTATCCAGCTCGATTAATTCCTATCTCTTTTTCCATTTTTAACTTTAAATCATTCCAAATTCATTGTGATTTTGTAAATTTTGAAAAGAAAAATAATAATCTAAACTTTCAGATACAGGATCTCGTCTAGGGTTTATGCCCGTCTGATGGACACATCATGGGTGGCTGAGACAAGAGCCTCCACGAGTACAGCCACCACAAATGGACCGTGGAGTATTGAGAGTCGGCAGAAGCTAAAACTTGATCAGGTAAACTGTTTGGAAATCGAATCTAAGCGTTTGGAACTGTCATACCTGAGGATTTTAAGCAAACTAACTGGGCTTTATGCAAAAACTGCATTCTGCAAAAGCTAAATCCAACAATGTTGGTGTTAAAAATCTAACCAACTTTCTCGTTTCGTTTACAATTTGGTACTGCAGCTAACAATTTTCTTTGAAACTTTGGCTTAATTTTAAAAGCTGATTCTCAGGTCGGCAACTATCACATCGTGAAATCGATTGGTCGAGGAAACTTCGCTACGGTGAAACTCGCTAAACATGAAATCGCGAAGACAAAGGTTTAAAAGATTTTAAAAGAAAAAGAAAAAGAAAAAGAAATAAAGAAATAAAGAAATAAACAAACCAACAATTAACGTTTCAGGTTGCTGTCAAAATCGTGGACAAGACAACGATCGAGCCAGAGAATCTGATCAAAATCGAGCGAGAGATCGAGATTTTGAAGAGACTTGAGCATCCACATATTGTCAAACTTTATGAGGTATAAAGCTGAATATCTAAAGAAACTAATTTAAAGTAAAGGATCATAAGAATGATAATAACTGAAAAGAATCTGATAGTTTTTGCTTGATCCAAGTCTAAACCAAAGTCTGGCTGGCTTAACTGGCTGGCTGGCTGGCTTAACTGGCTGGCTGGCTGGCTTAACTGGCTGGCTGGCTGGCTTAACTGGCTGGCTGGCTGGCTTAATTTACAGAAAGCTGGCTTAACTTACAGAAGACTTTAACTTACTAACTTGCTTAGTTAACTTAAAGAAAAGTTCTATAGCAAAGAAAAAAAGCAATATCTGCTAGTGAATTTTTAAGTTTAACCCTATCTGTAAAAGTTTTCAGGTGATGCGATCGGATCGTTTTATTTACATTGTCACTGAGTATTGTTCAGGTGGAGAGATGTTTGGTGAGTGGATTTATAATCAAAAATACAATCAATTTATTAAGTAATGTAATAAAATTAATGGTTCTTTTGTATTTTGTTTAATAAAAAAAAAAGAAAATCCTCTTAAATTGACGTTTTTGATGTCACGGATTTGTACAATAAATCCTTTTTATTGAAGGAGAAAAGATCAAAGTTGGGGGAAAAGGAATAGAGATTAGATAATTTTTGATGAAAGATAATCTAATAAAACTAGAAATTCTATGCTTTTACTATAAAATTTAAGATTAAAATCGATTTGTTGCTAATCTTTAGAAAAAATTGTTAACTTGGATACAATGCACTTTCGAAAAGACAAAAAAAAGAAAAGCTTTTAAAAGTCTAAAGTAATCAAGCCAATAGTTGACATTTAAGCTCAATTTTTATCATTAACTAAGCCCTGATTCTTATAAATGATGCAAAAGCTGAACTCAAATGTAAACTGACAGTTATAATTAGAGTGTGTTCCTCGGGAGTAAATAATTACTTGAGTAAAATTTGCATGAGTAATCGTTAATCGTTTTATCTCGGTTAATCGACGTTTTTTGGTCGAGTAACTACGAGTAATCCTCTTTACACCGCGAGTAAATTGAATATCTTTACTTGTGAAGGGAATTTCCCACCAAATCAGTTAAACGACTGAATATCTTTAAAAAGAGTCGTATATAACGCGGCGCTCGTGATTTTTGCGTCAATTTTTTTGCAATGATTTTCGCTAAAAGTACGGTAATTTTTCTTAGCGTGCGTTTTGAAAAAGGCATTACTCGCGAGGAAAACACTCTAGTTTTTGCATAGTTTTTGAAAACAAGTGTCTTACAGGGCAATCTCTTTCAAATAAACTGATTCTTTTCTTTACTTTATTGAAATTTTGTGATGCACCTAATAATCTTGTGCTTTGAAATTTTAGTAAAATAATTTGATCATTTGATTTTTGATAAACGATAAAGAAAAATAGCTCCCTTGGGTCTGGGTTCATCAAGATCTAGCGAAATTCGCTAGTTTTATCCTTTAGTTTACAATCTTGGAAATAAGTCTTTAAGTTTTAACATTTTTTGCTAGCTATTTTGGTTTTTAGAAATTAGATTTAATTCTGCTTTTGCTCATACAAAAATAATGTGATTCCTATGAAAAATCACGAAGAAAAGACGAATCAAAAAAGCTAATAATTGCTGAAAGTTTAATGTTGTTTTACTTATTGGCCTGCTAATTAACAAAAATCATTTTTGTATGAGCAGAAGCAGAATTAAATCTAGTTTCTAAAAACCAAAATAGCTAGCAAAAAATGTTAAAACTTAAAGACTTATTTCCAAGATTGTAAGCCAAAGGATAAAACTAGCGAATTTCGCTAGATCTAGCGGTTAGTGAACTCGAATCCTGAGCCCGGGTCATAATGTCACGGAAAACAGTTGCGGGAAAAGTTTCCCTCCCGGAAATTTCCTGCTGACTATCATCTTTCTCGGAAATCAAATTTCCCGCTAACTTTCTTGCGGGAATTTTTATAATGGAAAAAATTTCCCGCGCAAATACTGCGGGAAACCAGTGGGAAAATTTCTTTCGCCATCATTTTTCCCGCGGGAAACTTTTCCCGAGAGAACTGCGAGATGATGGCATGATAAAGGGACAAGAAGGGGAACTATTTCCCGGACATTATGGCCCGGACATTATGGCCCGGACATTATGGCCCGGACATTATGGCCCGGACATTATGGCCCGACATTATGGCCCGGACATTATGGCCCGGACATTATGGCCCGGACATTATGGCCCGGACATTATGGCCCGGACATTATGGCCCGGACATTATGGCCCGGACATTATGGCCCGGACATTATGGCCCGGACATTATGGCCCGGACATTATGGGGAACTATTTCCCGGACATTATGGCCCGGGCTCTGGACTATGCCCGTTTGATACCATCTAACTTTTATCCAATCCAATTTTCTTGAATTCTAATTAGACATACCCGATCATTGTAAACCAGTTTCTTAATCTTTATCGAAAAACTTTAAAGATAAATGATAGGAATTAGACAATTCCTCAAATTCCATCTCAAACCTTTTCTCTTGATTCTATCGATCTCGACACTTTATCCAAAAGAATTCATCAAGGAACAGAGAAAGAGAGAGAGATTGTCTCTTTCAAAACTTTCCCCCATTTTGGTGTGTGAATGGTTGTGAGATGCTCACATGTTTTTGATTGATTGTCTCAAGGAAATTCTCTCTCGAAAAAATCCCTTTATCCGTCTTTAAAAGAGAAAAATCACATAGAAAAGCACAAAATCGGTGAGAAAATGTTTGTGTTTCGGCAGCGATTTTGCATGTTTTCGCCCATTAGCCGTAGACAGTCTATTCTTTTTTTTTCGGATCTCTCGCTTTGAACAATAAAAATTGCATTCGATTTGCAATAGCTTAGAGAGAAAAACTGGAAATACGGAAATTCCTTCGAATTAGAGACTTTGATCTTTCGGGAATGGAACTTTAATCGAAAACAAATGAAATATTTGAGATCTTGAGGTAACAATAGATGCAAGACACTCTAGAAAATCCGGTATTAATCAGTTTACTCAAAGATTTCAGCTAATGATCTAAATGCAAGGATTTTTACAGCTGTAAAGTATTCCTCATTCCTTTCAAAAAGCTATCAGAAACATTTCACTTCAGCTCTTGAAGCTTGAAGCTTGAAGTGAAGTGTTTTAACTCTTGAAGTGTTTTAACTTTTGTAATCTAGATGCCAAACATGAAATAATCGTTTTCTCCAGTCTTTTTATTATTAATTAATAGAAATTCTAATTTCCAGGCACCGGAAAAACTTAATCAATTCATATCTACTCATAAAAAAACAGCCTTCATTAAACTTTGCTAATTGGTCGATGGAAACTTGCGTGCAAAAGCTTTAAACTTACATAACGCTTCTGTGGGAAGCAAGCCGGAAATTTTGTACTCAATTTCGGCGAAAATCCGGTATTAATCAGTTTACTCAAAGATTTCAGCTAATGATCTAAGTGCAAGGATTTTTACTGCTTCGAAGTATTTCTCATTCCTTTCAATAAGCTATCAGAAACATTTCACTTCAGCTCTTGAAGCTTGAAGCTTGAAGTGAAGTGTTTTAACTTTTGTAATCTAGATGTCAAACATGAAATAATCGTTTCCTCCACTTTTTTTATTATTAATTAACGGAAATTCTAATTTCCAAACACCGGAAAAACTTAATCAATTCATATCTAATCATAAAAAAAAAGCCTTCATCAAAATTTGCTAATTGGTCGATGGAAACTTGCGTGCAAAAGCTTTAAGTTTTGTTTTCACATAACACTTTTGTGGGAAGCAAGCCGGAAATTTTGTACTCAATTTAATTGGATGGGAAAAAGAGAGATTCACAGTTTACCGCTTTTTATGATGCGTTTTGATTGGGGAAATTTTTTATTTTCGTAAAATATGAAAGCTGCAACGAAAGAGAGAATATGCAAACTTTAAATCAAAGCTTAAAGAACCGAAAGAACAGTGAAAATCTGACTATGAAACTAATAGTAAAGCGAAAAATTTAGCCACAAAGCTTGGCTCAAACTTTTGCCCTATTGTAAGCCTAAGCACAGCTCATTCTTGATTTCAAAATCATTTCAAAGTGATATGAACTTAATCTTTAGCTGTAGATGTTTATCTTTTTATTTTAGAAACTCTTGTCGAGAGAGGAAGGATCGCCGAGGATGAAGCAAGGCGATGGTTCTCCCAGGCAGTCTCTGCTCTCGCTTATTGCCATGAAATGGGTGTCGTTCATCGAGATCTTAAAGCCGAGAATGTTCTCATTGACAAGAACAATGACATCAGAATCATTGGTTAGTGAATGGCCAAACTAGTGCTTCTTAAAGTCTACTCAAAAGAGATCATCAACAGATCCAGCTCACTAAATGAAATGAGTTATAAACCAATTTCACGCTAATTCCGCAAGAAATTTGCAAGAAAAATTCATCTTTAAGAAGCCGATTGCATGTTTCATCCGGTTTCACCACCATTTTACGACGGTGTCTTAAGCCTTTTTCTTGCGACACTGCTGTAACAATTACGACAGTGTCGTAGACTTTCTCCACTTAGGACACCATTTTCACCATCAAGTTACGACACCTTAAATTAACATTCAATTTTTTTCTGTTTCAATAGCTGTTTCAAAAGTCTTTATAAGAATTACGTGAACGAGATGCAGAGAGCTGCGTGGTGTAGTGGATAGTTGGTTAGTATACGGTTTGAAGTTTGAAGGGTTGAGAGTTCGAATCCGCTAAGCTTCTTCTTTTTGCAAATACTTTATAGTGTCTCTCATAGCTTCAAGTCTCTCCTTTGCTATGTGTCACAAATTTATAACATAAGGAGCTGAATCTGTTGACAATCTCTTGTCAGAATAAAGATTTCTAAGTTTTTACTAGTTAACCATTTCATTTCATAAGCTTTTTGGCTTTAGATTTTGGCTTTTCGAACTTTCAATCAGCGGGTCACTTGCTCAAAACGTCGTGTGGATCACCTCCATACGCTGCTCCAGAATTGCTGTTAGCTAATGATTACGATGGGACCAAGGTGAGTACTGATGGGACTTTATTCTAGCCTAATTTTCTAGAGTATTCAAAAGACAAGTAGATAAAGATTTCTTTTCAGGCAGATATTTGGAGTCTTGGCGTTCTTTTATACATCATGGTGACAGGCGGGTTTCCATTCCCGGGAGATTCTATCGACAAATTGAAAAGAGCCATCTTCTCTGGACCCTTCAAGATACCATATTTTGTTTCAGTCGGTAAGTGAATACTGTTTGAAACACTGAAACTTATAACGGTAGTATCCGTTTCTACCTCTCCATCCGCTTTTGTATACAGTTTGGGGTGCGACCCGCTTTAACCTTATCAACGAGGATAATTCTGCTTAAGAATGGCCGAATAGCACAAAAGATTAAAAGGGTTTCCCCCAAAAGCGCTTACAACGTAACAAAAACACGTAGTATCCAACAATAGATTAATACTCTTGAGAAGAGTACAGATCGGTTTGATACTACGTCGATGGTGACACAAATGTTAGTAAAACCAGTCTCTCTACAATGTTAAACCAGTTGTCTAAACAGGATTTAAAACCTGAAGGGTAGCATAAAGTAAAGTGAATTTATAACGTTACTGTTTATTAGTACAGAACCGAAATGCAACAATACCCATTACAAAAACAGGATGCCATCAAAAATGAAACAACAAAGTCCCCCGAGAAAGAAGGCAAAAACCCGCAGACCAAAAAAAATAATTTCGGGAAGGGAGAAAAAGGACGAAAAATGCGACGCGAATAATTGCAAAATAGCAGTGCAAATAGGAAGGAAACGGACGAGACCATACTATATTCAGATCATTTTAACATGATATGGCTATTTTAAGTATTAGATATGTTTAAGTTATAGTTTCAGACAAAATAAACATATTAGATTAGATAAACATACGTATAAAGTAGATTAAAGAATATTGTAGGACTAAACAATCTTTGTATGCGGAGGTATAACCGGAAAGTACCCGTATAACTTATAAACTATAAACTTCTAAACTTTTAGAATGCTCTGATCTTCTGCGAAAGATGCTCGTTTTGACACCAGCTAAACGATACAACATTCAACAAGTGCAGCAACATCGGTAACCTTTTAAAAGAATACAGTTCAAGTTATACTTTAGAGTTAATTATTTGTGTTAACATCAATTTCAGATGGCTAACGACAAAATGCGAAGACTCTCTCTCAGCATCCACCAACAATTTGCCTAATGATCATTTATTGAATACGAAGATTTCTGAGAAGAAAAAGTTGAGTACAACGGTGCTTCTCTTCCTTCAACAGCACTCAAAATGGGCTGAAGAGCAAATTATTGAGGTTAGTGAAAGAGCTAGCTTGTAGTGACAGTATTGAAAATTGATTTCAATAAAAGTCCAATAAAAGTCCAATTTTCAGGATGTTGACAAGAAGAACTATGATGGACCAATTTATGCAGCTTATGAGCTTTTGTGCGAGAAATTAAGAGCCGCTACTGAAGACGAAGTAGCTGATCAACCGAGGAGAGGAAGTCGAGGCAGTATTCTGTCGGGTGAGTTCGCGAAACCATAAACAAATGTTCCAAATTCAATTCTGAATTGTTGAAATTTCGTAGAAGGATAAAGTAATGGTAGATCATTTCAACAAAAAGCTAATTTATTCTTTTAGGCAAAGCCAATGTTGACCCTGAACCAGCAGCGCCGACGATCTCCGCTCATCACTTGGCTCAGCTCAGCTTGTTGTCAAGTGCAGAATATGTAAGTTATTCAGTACTTAAATATCATTGTTTATCAGTACTGGATGTAACATAGACTAATCTTGTCTGTTTTTAGGAATCCGACGACTCTTCAGCTTCCGAAATGTGCGATGACTCTCCATGTTCATCATCAAGGCGAAAAGATAATCGGTGAGCTGATAAACGCTCTAAAATCAATCAAAACTATCAATCAAAACTATCAAAACTATCAACTCATTTTCTATAGTTTGTTTATTCTTTCTTTATCATATGAAATGTGATACATTGTGGAGACGAGGTGTGGACTCAATGTTTCGTGTGTGCAATCCGATCCCCTCACCCCTTACTCCCCAGGAAATTACGTCTATCATTGATTTGCACCCCAAAAAAACATTAGGGAAAAATGAGAAACTGCACGCAAAACATGAAAATTGAAAAATCAAAAAAGATTAGAGAAAAAATGAAATGTTTTAGGCAAAAGATCTCCGAAGCTATGCCAAACAATCAGAATCGAGAGCAGAGAAGACACACACTTTGTGCAACCGAACCACTGCTACCACCGGAACTTTTGGCACAGCTTGGAGGCGGTAAGAACATATTAAAGATCAAGGTTATCTAAAAAGTAGGCCAAAACCAGGCCAAAACCAGGCTAAAACCAGGCTAAAACCAGGCTAAAACCCGGTCAGATCAGGCCAGGCCAGGCCAGGACAAGTCAAATCAAAGCCAAAGACAAGGTCACACTGTAGAATCTCCTTTGGCTTAGTGAATTTGGAAGCCAGACCAGCAAATGGCAAAACCAAAAGCTAAACTATTTCCTTCTATAGTTGCCGGTCTACAAGCTGCAGCCGCTCTGCAACTTCAACAAACGAACATCCAAGCTCTCCTTGGTGGACAACCACCGGGTCTCGTTCATCCATATGGAGGATTGCTTTCTGGATTCTCTCCATTGCCTATCAACGAACATCCGACTCTTCATATTCCATACAGTATGTAACAAGTAAACTTTGTTTTACACAATCTAATAGAACCAATCTATTTATCCACATGACACACTTCATATTGGCATTTGAAAAGTATGATCTTTTCTTAACCGAAATCACCGAGCAATCTTGCGTTTTGTTTTTCCGACAGCATCATTATATTAAACCAATAATTTAAAGCAATACTTGAAAATCTTATCTATAAAAAATCAACTATCAAGTGAACTTTTTTACACAATCTATTTATCGATATGACAATTAACTTTAAGAATTGCTTGCACTTCATATTGACGTTTAAAAAGTATGATCGCTTCTTAATCGAAATCACCGAGCAATCTTGCGTTTTGTTTTTCCGACAGCGTCACTGTATTAAATCAATAATTTAAAGCAATTTAAACAAACAAACAATAACAATAATAATTTAACAATTTTAAAATCTTATCTATAAAAAATCAACTATCAAGTGAACTTTGTTTTACACAATCTAATAAAACCAATCTATTTATCGATATGACAATTAACTTTAAGAATTGCTTGCACTTCATATTGACGTTTGAAAAGTCTGATCGCTTCTTAATCGAAATCACCGAGCAATCTTGCGTTTTGTTTTTCCGACAGCGTCACTGTATTAAACCAATAATTTAAAGCAATTTAAACAAACAAACAATAACAATAACAATAATAATTTAACAATTTTAAAAGCTTACCTATAAAAAAAATCGATATTTAATTGTAGAAACCAATCTTTTTCAGTGGGTGAACGTAGAGCAAGTGCTTCTGAAGCTCTATTCGCTGCTCATTTGATGAGCGCTCAAGGGGCATTCCCGACTGGGAGTGAAAGTCCGACAGCATCGGGAAGTGGCACAAATATGGGAATTGAAGAAGAAGGAAGGAAGTGAGTAGCTAACATTCTGATCTGATCAAAATCTTATCTAACTTTCAGGTACTTGAATCAACACGGGTCCACTAAACGAAACACGGTTCATGGAATGGCCTCACCGATACCGAGTGCTTTAAGCAATCAGCGGCATTTGAGGCAAATTCAAAGTTGTTAGCTTATTAAATGTCATTCAGAAGTCCATACTCGAAAACGCCAAATGGGGAACGGAGAAGCAGTTGGGCGCCGAGTCCAGTCACCGCCTCGCAGCAAAGTCAACTTGAAAAGCTTTATCTTCAACACATTCATAAAGGAGGCAGACACATGTCAGCAGGTTTTCTAATAGTGGAAATGGATTCAATTGCTAATTTAGGCTCCGACTTGTTTCAAATCAAGCAACTTCAACGGGAATTCCAGCAACTTGGAAAATTGGCTGCTGGAGGAGCATCACCAACGTGAGAAATAATATAACTTAAATTTTAAAAATCCAAGTTTCAATTTCAGACACGCACACTCTTTGGCCACTGATTCATCCTCGTTTTCTCTCAAATGCACTCCAAGAATCTCGATCACTGATGAAAACAACAAATTGCTAGGGCCACCCGTTGGTCCAAGCTCATCCGCCACTTTTAACCCTGTTGCAATGTTTGATCAAAAGGTGAGAAATGTTTTAAGGTGAGAAATTTATCTTCAAAATTTTAGGCAAACGAAGTGCTGTATGGAAGTGAACGACCAGCCACCGTGATCGGTTTCACGACGAATCAAGCGATCAACAGTGGAGCCTCTACACCAGATCAATCACATTTCCGATCGGAGAGTCGTGGAACGGTGAGAAAAGATTGAGAAAATGCAAGCTTGGAAACTAGTTCTTAAAATCGTCTTTTTTAGACGCTAATTTGTGCAGCCGAACCGGTTGAAGTGGTGCACGAAGTGAAGGTTTTCTTCGATGGTAAAAAGATTCAATACGAGGAGTCAGCTGATGAGAAAGGTAAGTAAAGAGGCAATGAATGGAACTAGTTTAAACTTTCAATATTTACTGACACATTAATTTAGATGGTTGCTGGATAAACACTCCAGGGATTCGTCTCTTCATTCGACCAACCGAGGATCGAACGCATGTGGAGCTGGTTTTGTTACAGGTAAGAGGCAAAAGCTGTCGAAATATTCACAACAATACTGGGCTAACAACAATACTAGGCAATAATACTAGGCAACAATACCAGGCAACAATACTATGCAACAATACTATGCAACAATACCAGGCAACAATACTATGCAACAACACTAGGCAACAATACCAGGCAACAATACTATGCAACAATACTATACAACAATACCAGGCAACATAACCAGGCAACAATACTATGCAAGAATACTAGGCAACAATACTATGCAATAATACCAGGCAACAATACTATGCAACAATACTATACAACAATACCAGGCAACAATACCAGGCAACAATACTATGCAATAATACTAGGCAACAATACTAGGCAACAATACTAGGCAACAATACTAGGCAACAATACTAGGCAACAATACTAGGCAACAATACTAGGCAACAATACTAGGCAACAATACTAGGCAACAATACTAGGCAACAATACTAGGCTAACAACAATACCAGGCAACAATACCAGGCAACAATACTATGCAACAATACTATGCAACAATACTATGCAAGAATACTAGGCAACAATACTAGGGTACAATACTATGCAACAATAGCAGCCAACAATACCAGGCAACAATACTAGGTAACAATACTATGCAGCAATACTATGCAACAATACTAGGCAACAATACTAGATTTTTAAATCATATCTAATTCTAAATTCTAATAGAAAAAAGTCTAAACTCTTGTAACAATTAAAGCAATCTAGTAGTCTTCATATTGCTACAAGTTTGAATCTATTACGTAAACATTTAAGCTTCTAATACCACAATCTAACCATAAAAACTAGATAACATTTGAGAAAACACTAAAATAAACCAAATAAAATCCAAAAACAAACTCAAAGCCATCAAAAAAAGCGAATCTTTTCCAGGAATTCTCTGAGCGCATCGCTGAAGAGCTCGTCTATCTACTCAAAAATCTAGATTACATTTAGTTAGTTTATTTTTAAAAATTCAAAAAACAAATTAAAGAAAGACATAATTATTTAATCATTTAGAAATTTATCGATAAACTTTGCCTCCAAAAAACGTTTTTTTTTCTAGTCTTTGCCAAGAAAATGATTCCAATGATTCCAATAATGTTTGCCAGCCTAAAACTAGTCTAACAAATTGTAATTAACCAAAAAAAAAACTGTAAATTTTGTCTAATTTTTCTAGAATTTTTCATTCTGGTCACTATTTTTTTTTTGTTTATTTTTGTGTTCGCATAACTTTCGGTTGTTTGTTAGCGCAAAAACGTGTGATATTTGACAGTATTCTTTTTTTTGTTTTTTATGATTTTTCTTTAGCCGATTCTTTGCCAAATTTGTTTTTAAACCTATAAGAGAAACGATTTTTAATAGAAAAACGATTTTTCTTTTAAAAAAAACAAATTCGATTCTTTTAGGGTAATCCCCCATTCCAGGGTTTACACCAAGCACATTGAAATGAGCTTTGTTTTGTGAAATGTAAATGTTGATTTATGAAAAGTTGAAGAGTTTTGAGTTGATTGGGTATAGAAATGGCTTCTCTATGACTTTATATTGTCCCTTTCAAGCATGCGGTTGTCGAATTATCGAATAGAAACAAAAATCGCTTATAGTTACCGTATGCTTAAGGAGCTTATAGTTACCGTATGCTTCACAAACAAAGCAATCTAGTAGTCTTCATATTGCTACAAGTTTGAATCTATTACGTAAACATTTTAGCTTCTAATACCACAATCTAACCATAAAAACTAGATAACATTTGAGAAAACACTAAAACAAACCAAATTCTTTTAGGGTAATCCCCCATTCCAGGGTTTACACCAAGCACATTGAAATGAGCTTTGTTTTGTGAAATGTAAATGTTGATTTATGGAAAGTTGAACAGTTTTGAGTTGATTGGGTATAGAAATGGCCTCTCAATGACTTTATATTGTCCCTTTCAAGCATACGGTCGTCCAATCATCGAATAGAAACAAAAATGGCTTATAGTTACCGTATGCTTAAGGAGTCTAGGCAAAATTTTCAGACAGTCTGCCTCGTTCTTCGATTTTTTTACTGCCAAAAGCTCCTTCGAGCATGTAACTCAATTCCCCCACAAGCCCTTATTCTAAGCTTCATTTTGATACTAAACATGACTAGGTTCTGTTTTGTCATTCTTTAGATTTCAATCAATCTTTCGCAGGACTCGATAAGTTTAACGATTCCAGCAAAATTTTTATCTAAAACCAGCAGAACAGCCCGCCGAACGGTGGGCTGCTTCAGAAATTGTAAAAATGATTGCCAGAAACGAATTCCTAGTGTTGGAAAACCCCGCCGTGCAAATTCCAGCGTAAAATGAAAATTGCACCCATGGCGCAGTGGATAGCTCACTTCGTCTCACGCCTCACATGACCCGGGTTCGAGCCCGGCCAGTGACCACCTACTTTGACTTTTTGTAAAAATTTTTTTAAAAGGCGGAACTAGATAAAATTTTATTGGCACGTGTTTTAGCGTTTTTTAAAATACTCAAAGGAGACGCGCGTAGTGCGTGCAGAGACAGAGAGAGATTATTTTTTTAATATGTAGTAGAGATGATCGAAATCTAAAGAATGGCAAAACAGAACCTAGTCATGTTTAGTATCAAAATGAAGCTTAGAATAAGGGCTTGCGGGGGAATTGGGTTACATGCTTGAAGGAGCTTTTAGCAGTAAAAAAATCGAAGAGCGAGGCAGACTGTCTGAAAATTTTGCCTAGACTTCTTAAGCAGGTCTACCGTATACTCTTTTTGGTTAGTGTATTATACTTAGCTATTGTTGAAGTGTGCTTTGTGCTCGTTTTCAGGCAAACGCACCTTTTCTGGTGTACTTAACCTTCTAATTTACGGCCTTAAACATTTAGAATGAGAGTTCAGTTGGCGAGAACTAATGCGTAACATTTTGAGCACAAAGTACGCTTTTCAGAACTCTAATAAAGCAACCCAAATAGTACAGAGTACAGGAATCCAATGGAAAACTTTAAACTATAGAATTTCTTGTTTTTATTTGATACCGTATACCGAATCGACTCAAATCTGTCTTTTATTTCATTTCCGTACTTTATTCTTTTTTTTCTTTGCATTCGATGTGATAAAATTCAAATAAGTGGTAGCTTTTTTATGTTTTTCTTTAATATTTCTGAAATTTAAATATTTCCTTTCTAGTTTTTTTTTATCAAATCTCGTTTATATAATATAGAGCTCTTGCCAATTCTTTTTATATATTTCAATGCGCCAAAAAAAATCCCAGAAATGATTGGGTATAGATTTTGGTTGATAATTTGAAAATTGAATTCCTCTAAATCATTTTCATCGTTTTATTTTTGCTTTTTGAAATAAAATAATGTCAAAAAAATTCGCCGGAACAAATTTTTGACGTCAAGATTGCTGAATATCTAAAAAAAACTACTAAATTTGCGTTATAAATTGAAGATTTGATCTATTAAATCAAATTTCAGATAACTCATGTAAGAACTGAAAATTTTTAAATGCTACCAACATTTCCCGATTTGCGCATTACTTGGAAAGAAGTTTGACAAACGGGCTCTTGCGTAGTTCCTCGGTTTTTTTTAAACGGCTCGTCACGCTTTAAAGGCCTATAACTTTACCCAGAAATAATTTTTTTGTTAACTTTTTATATCATTGTACAGGGGACATTTCAGGCTTTCAAATGATACTAAATAGAGCTTGACTGGATTCTTCATTCCCATGCAAACCAGGCGACACAACACTCGAGTTGGATAGGCCTTATTTGCTCTGAGTTGGCTCTGATTTTCTTGGACTGGGTGATCCAATTAAGCTCTATTTGGTATCATTTGAAAGCCTGAAATGTCCTCTGTACAATGATATAAAAAGTTAACAAAAATATGATCTCTGGGTAAAGTTATAGGCCTTTAAAGCGTGACGAGCCGTTTAAAAAGTCCAGGTTTTTTTCAAAATACGTGGAAACGACGCAAGAGCCGACAAACGTAATCTTCATTTGCCTTTTTAAACTTTAGAATCGTTTGAAAGTTGATGATTCTTCAAATATATCGACTTCACAACAAGAAAAATCACTTCACTTTTATATAATCACCGATTCTAAACAAGATTTCATTCAGACAAGGAGGATTTATCGAAAAGCATTGAATGCAGGTAAACTTTTAGTTCTAAAAAGCTTTCTCAAGCAGATTTTCGTTACTTTATGCTAATTCTATAGCACTCAAATCGATAAAGCTAATTCTATAGCGCTAAAGCTAATTCTATACCGATAAAGCTAATTCTATAGCACTCAAATCTTTAGCTAAAATAATGTGAATCAATAAAGTGCATTGCCAAAAAGTTGATTTAGAAAAAGTTTGATATTTAGTCAAAATTGCTCAATGGTTACTTGGAGAAAATCTAAAGACATTCGAAGGGACAAATTTCACATTTTCGGTAAGAAAAGACTCATCAATCAAACCATTAAAGTTTAGTATATCGATTCTCGAAAAACTTTTGTGATACCACTGATTCGAGCTTGGATTTCTGACTTCTCTGATATAGAATTGTACAAGAATTTGAAAGAGACACTGAAATTCGATGATCGAAATGGACATTTAGTTGTTTATGCCAACAGCAACAAAGAAAAATGGTCAGAAACTCAAAACTGTTAAAGAAAAAATTGTATTAGAAGCAATTTAGTCCAAATCGTTTCGTTACTTTGCAAAATTTGGCTTTTATTTGTGGTGATGGACTCATTTCTGTACCGACAAATCTCGCTGATCTCAAGGATTTCCAATGTGGCTCAAATTTTATGAATTCTGATAGAGTGAGAGCTGCTTCTCATTATATCTTGGCGATGCTACACGAAATTTTACATGTGGTAAGTGATGAGGAAAAGGAATCTTCTTTGAGTGTACCTTGCGCGAAAATGGAAACTTCCCCTATTTGAAGCACTTAAGGAACCCCAGAAATGGTGTGCTTTTAATTTTAAGCTCAAAGTACTCTGAAGAAGCCTTTAAATCACTTTTTTGATCAAATTTTGGCAATTTTTGCTCAATTTTTGGCCAAATTTGGTCACTTTTTTGTCACTTTTAAATCAAACCATTTCCAGTTTCTGATCCCTCATTCAAATACGGGTTTGATGAACCAAAATGATGTCTGTGATACGATAGGGAATTATTTATGCGACAAACGGAATTGCTCATGTTTTACCGATCTCAATAAGTATGTGTAGTCTAAAGTTTTTAAAGAAGAAATCGATTTATCACTGAATTTTTGAAATCAAAACAGTTTAAATACTTACAAGCCAACGGTCAAGCCAACGGTCAGGCCAACGGTCAAGCCAAGGTCAAGCCAACGGTCAAGCCAACGGTCAAGCCAAGGTCAAGCCAACGGTCAAGCCAAGGTCAAGCCAACGGTCAAGCCAAGGTCAAGCCAACGGTCAAGCCAAGGTCAAGCCAACGGTCAAGCCAACGGTCAAGCCAACGGTCAAGCCAACGGTCAAGCCAACGGTCAAGCCAACGGTCAAGCCAACGGTCAAGCCAACGGTCAGGCCAACGGCCAAGCCAACGGTCAAGCCAACGCAAAACTTTGTTTCAAATTTTAGTTTTAAAAAACTGGCTACTTCTTTGAGGGATCAAGATAAGATATATTGAATTATAAAATTGCAAAAGCTCGATATAAGCTCGAGCTTCAAAAACTGTACAATTTCAGGCTTGATTCCTTATCGATAGAGCTCGCAAGACGATCATCTTTCATTAACGGGAGAAATTCGGATCTCAAAGTTACTCAATTTGCAGAGGATTCAAAATTGCTTATTGAATGTTTATCTGGTGAATCGATCGATTATTTGTTAGAGATTCGAAAGTGAGCATAACTTTTAATCGATTTACCGTATTCTCTCTAATAATAGTGCGCACTACTATTTTTTCAACCCCCTCCTGGACCGCAATACTATTAGAGAGTGCACTACTATTAAAGAGTGCACTACTACTAGAGAGAATACGGTATATTAAGTTTTCAGTTCCGATTCATCTATTCGAAATGTTCAAAAATGCGCAAGTCAAAAAGTGGAAGCGAAAATTTCAGAAAATTATCGTCTTCTTGTAGCCACCGCTGTATCGTTGCACCATATTTCATTGAGAAATGGATAAAACTTTACTCAATAAATTGTTGTTGGAAAATTTTGCAGTTCTATTGTAACAAGCACAAAGATTTAACTCTAAAATATCAGGTTTTCAATGATTGATTTTCTATTCCTCTTTAGGTAATCTATAACTTTGAGTTTCCTTTATGGGATTAGAGAAATTGGTGCGAGTGGTCAACTACAGGGCCAACTACAGGGCCAACTACAGGGCCAACTACAGGGCCAACTACAGGGCCAACTACAGGGCCAACTACAGGGCCAACTACAGGGCCAACTACAGGGCCAACTACAGGGCCAACTACAGGGCCAACTACAGGGCCAACTACAGGGCCAACTACAGGGCCAACTACAGGGTGGGCCAAAATCACCGTTACAATGCTCACTCACGCGCAAATGCGAAAGCGAAATGGAAGAAAGCGAACGGTAACAACTTCAGCAAACGTCAAACGTCAAAAAAAGTGAGGAATCGCCTGTTGGAAACGCCAAACTAATCGGTGCGGAAAATGTCACAAAAAATGGGGATACAGAGCGCACATCCCTTTGAAGAATCATCAAAAACAAGCTCAAGTTAAAGGCCTACAAGAAAATTAAATCACAAATGCTATCAACGTTGACAGCGTTGACGTTGATAGTTGAGTTTTAACTTTGAGTTTTGAGACTATAACTTTGAGTTTCCTTTCTGAGATTAGAGAAATTGGTGCAAGTGGCCAACTACAGGGTGGGCCAAAATCACCGTTACAATGCTCACTCACGCGAAATGGAAGAAAGCAAACGGTAACAACTTCAGCAAATGTCAAAAGAAAATTGAGGAATCGCCTGTTGAAAACGCCAAAGTAATCGCCAAAGAAAATTTCACAAAAAATGGGGATTAAGCAAAAATCCCTTAGAAGAACCATCAAAAACAAGCTCAAGTTAAAGGCCTACAAGAAAAGTAAATCACAAATGCTATCAGTTGACGCTATCAACCACACAAAACTGTTGATAGTTTGAAAAAAGCGCTTGAAAAGGCTTGGGAAGAGCTGGATCTCCAATACCTTCTCGCCACGATCGACACTTTTCTACGACGTTTGGACGCCTGTGTAAAAGCTATTGGAAATCTGTTTGAAAAGGAATAGTTTTTATGAATTGTTATGAGACAATAAAAGTTATTTTTAAGAAAATCTTTAACCTTTTGAGTTGCTTTTTATACAGAGACTTTTTTTATATGTAACGGTAATTTTGGCCCACCTGTACTGGCGTCTCGTTGTGGTGTCATCGCTAGGAAAGTTGCCCGGTAAACAAAATCTCGTGGGTTCGAGTCCTAGCGCCGCAGGAGTTTTTGATCTGCCCCAGTTCCAACTGATCCTTATACCTTTGTGCCACTTTAAACTTTTCTGGGCTTTGCTGTGTCTTATTAGATGAGAAGACGACTTCAACATCTTCAAAAAAGCCTAATCGAATCCAATTCAAGCTATTCAGATTAAGATTTTAAATCTTTTTCCAGATAAAAGCTATTGAAAATCTGTTTGAAAAGGAATAGTTTTTATGAATTGTTAATAAAGTTGAACAATAAAAGTTATTTTTAAGAAAATCTTTAACCTTTTTGAGTTGCTTTTTATACAGAGACTTTTTTTTATATGTAACGGTAATTTTGGCCCTCCCTGTAGTAACTGCACTTTGATTGAACAGGAAAAGAAACAAGAAAAGGAATGGGAAAAGTTTTGAATCGTTGTTTATCGTTCAACTCACCGATGAACTCGATATTTCGTCTCGCAGCTAGCCTGTTCCATTTGATGCATGATCACATATCCATCACTTGTCCCAACCACTTGTCCCAACTTGTAATTTTGGCCCACCCTGTAGAGTGCTCTTTGACTCACAATCTAGAGAATATGGGTTCGATTCCGGCGGGGAAAACCTAAATTCTAATTTTAACAAAGTTTTATGCCTTTTACTGCAAAATTCTGAATAAGATAGTGTTTTTAAAGTTGGCAAGTCAAGAAATACATGCATATTTCTTACGTATTGACTCTTGCTCAAGAAATTTTCTCAAAACTATACGGTTAAGGTTGAGTTATTTGTTTAGATAACTAATAAGTTTAAGCTCATGACAAGGAGAGGAAATTCAGTTATAGGGCAATTTACGAACCTACATTAAATCTAAAAGATTTATTTTTATTAGAATCTTCATGCTTTATTGTATTTTTATGGAAAACTTTAAAGAATTTAAAAGTTTATTTAAAAAGACGATGAAAAAGATCAACAAAAAGAGCATATTTTTAAGAAAATAATGTTTGAAACACTTTCTTCTGCACTTTGTTGAAAGTCACGAGGGATTTGGAGTTGATGAGCTTAGAATTAGCTTGGAATTAGGTTAGAATTAGGTTAGAATTGCTCCAAGAAATACGGATCCGGTTTCTTAATCTCTTTTGAATAAATTTATCCTGTTTTTTAAAAATGGTATTCATTTCTTGAAAATGGATAACTTTATCAGGTCAACCATTATCTACGAGATCGATTTCGATCTGTTCACTAATACCGGGGAAAGCTTACTCTAGTTCGAGTCCTTTAAAAAGCCCAAAAAGTTCAACTCCAATTTCAAGCATCGGCCAAAAAAGCTCTGCAAATGTCTAGACTTTTCACTGACATCTATCAAATGTGATGTGTTCCATCAAAATGTTCTGTTGTAAAGCTTAGAATTAGGTTAGAATTAGGTTAGAATTAGGTTAGAATTAGGTTAGAATTAGGTTAGAATTAGGTTAGAATTAGGTTAGAATTAGCTTAGAATTAGCATGGAATTAGCTTAGAATTAGCTTAGAATTAGCTTAGATTTTAGCTTAGAATTAGCTTAGAATTACATTCTTTTTATCCACCCAGCTTACACACACTTCGAATCCTTTGAAAATTGTTTCGTTGTATTTTGTTGTCAAAAAAAAAAGTTTTATTAGAAGTTGAACAAGACGAGAATTGAATTTATTTCGAGTATTTGCATCCTCTCTCAAAATATCCAACAACATCTTCACCGTAATAATCAAGATGATCCAAAACATTTGTGAGGAGAACAGGCACTCCTTCAGAGCATTTACTAAAATGTCACTATTACAGAAGTCTTGTAAAATGAAGTTTTACTCTGTGAGCATTTTCTAACAATATTATTTTAATCATTGGAAAAACTGACTGGCTCTCATCTCCAACACAAACCGTGAATGGTTTTCCTTTAGCCATAGTGTTTGAATAGTAGATCTAAAATTCTTATAAGAAAATATTCTTGTAAAAATAGTTTCCAGCATTACCTCAGTCCTATGATGTTTGTAATTCTCGATGCCGAATGGAACATGGGGAACGGGATCGTGATTGTGAACGACTCGGTAAGAATATGGGAGCTGTAAACAAAGTGTAAGTAGAGCTGATTCTCAGAAGATCAGCAGCCAGTTTGACTCCGTTTTACGAATTCAATCTTGTAACTCTCCGTATCATGGCAGCTCTTAGGGGGGTCTCAAACTACTTTTGTGTGATATTTTCGTGTATATTGGCTCATCCTTTGTTCTGTGGCCTAAAATAGTTGTTGCGTTTCTTGTCTGTTAATATTTTGGGAAGCCGGGGAGTTTTTTTCTTGATGAAAGTAGCCATTTTTGAAGTTAAGCCTTTCATTTCTTGGTGGTTACAGCTGGCTTGGTTTTGGTTTGATTAGAGAATTGATTCTAATAGTAAGAACTTCAACCAACCGAATCAAGCAGAGCAGCATAGGTAGAGTCACCAGTTCTTGGCTCTCCGAAAGTCATCAATTTAATCTTAAAGTCATCAATTTAAGTCGAAAGTTAGTGCCAGTACATCAATCTTATTTGCTTATTTAACCAAGTTCTCAACCTGATTCGCTGGCACTAATCCCAGCTCGACTAAATATGCAGCACAAAGACCAGCCATTGCTGCTCCAAGAGAATGCCCAGTCACCTAAAAATGGTTTGCTATTCTTTGGCACTATTTTAAACCCCACCCAAACTTCGTAGTCAGGGTATTGTTGTCTTAAAGTGAAAAAGTCATCCTTGATCCCAGTGTTCCACAGATTCAAGAAAGCATCGTAGAAGAAGTCGGCTACTTTAGCGCCACCAGGAAAGACACGCTGAATAAGATTGTGTTTGGATAAAGGTTTGTGAAATCTCATTTTCTATAAGCGGAATTGAACCAGAATCTTTGGAATATTAGTCAAAGCTGTTAACCACTTAGCCAAAATGCTCTTACCTGCTTTCCGAAGAGAATGTCGAGCACTTCCATTGGCACCTCGCCATTGATTTGCGAGCCTCTGAAAAGAAGGGGAAATTACTTACACGCGATGAGTTAAGTTGATATTGTTGTTTGTTTTCTTGTTTATTTCTTTCATTTCTAACTATCATTGTTTTCTCTCACCTCCATGCCACTATGACAGCTTTCTTTGACTCGGATGAGGCAGTGTATGCAGAGCATTTCTCATCCAAAATATCACAGTCATATTCGAGCTTTCTTTTCAGCTAAAAACTCAAGCATTAATTTGCAAAGCTTATTAGCATTGAGCTTATTATATAGACAATGTAAGACACAGACAATTGACTCTGACTCAGCTTAGCTTGACTCAGCCTAGCTTATCTTAGCTATAGCTAAGATAGCTTAGAAAAAGTTCGAGAACGAAAAATTGTGACTTTAAGCTTAACGAGAGAGCAAAGAAAGTCATTGAATAGTAAAGATTTTCATTTTTGACACATTCTTTATCATTGCTTTACCCACTTTTCCATCACCGGTGGCACTTGTGATGCATTCTTGTTGATGATCGATGTAGGCTCCAGCTGCTAATGGCCACATCACCTACAAAATAGCATAAAAGTCTTCTACAAAACTTTTCAACACTCACATTTCTTGCAAAATCATCAGAATACTCTGAAACCGTAGTTGAAAATAAAAGACACGGAAGAAGCAACAGGAATCTCATTTGGACTTTGCTTTGATCCCTTGTGATTTACCAAAATGAAGCGTGCAAACAGCATTGGATCCTTTTGTTATCACAAAGGTTATCAGCCGTTTTTGCTGACTGATCGATCCTGGTTCTAACCTGGTCGTAAAATCGGGTGATTGTAAGAGTTCGAAAAGCACAAGATCAGAACCTCGGAAATAAAAACCGAAATTCTTTTTGTCAGCATTGTTTGTGTGAATAGTTGATCGTTTTGTTCAAAACAAAAGCTTTGCTTAGGCCAGTAACAATCTAAAGGCAAAAGCTAGCGTACTCTGGCATTGAAATCACTATAAGTAAACCATTTACTAGAATCTGTACTGAAAAAAGCTATCGGACTCTGGTTGTCTAAGCCAACTATTCACCGCTCCAGTTTTGAATAAAGCTTTATTCAATAAATTCTCATTGTGCTAACTTGTTGTAAGCTTAAACATTGAAAAAGATTTGATTTAAAAGTCGATTCTTTTATCTAAAGCTCTTCACTCTCATCCGACACCGATGCACTCCTTTTCCGGTACAAAAGATAACGGCTCAGGAATGCTTTTTGGCTTTCAATCTGAGAGCAATTCCCGCCAAAGGCAAAAACTGTTCTGTGATCAGTAAATGATTCTAACACTGTACCAGAGCTTAAACCCTGACTTACCCTGACTGAAGATTTCGATAAAGCTTGCTTCACACGCTCTAACTGCTCACTGTAAAGTTTAGCTGTGACAGTTTGACCCGGTTTGAGCAGTTCAAAATAAACCAATCCACAATAGTTCCACCATACACACAACATCACCTTCTTATTCAATAAATTCTCATTGTGCCACTCGTTGTAAGCTTAAACATTGAAAAATATTTGATTTAAAAGTCGATTGTTCTGTTCTGTGATCAGTAAACTGTTCTGTGATCAGTAAATGTTCTGTGATCAGTAAATTGTTCTGTGATCAGTAAATGATTCTAACACTGTACCAGAGCTCGAACCCTGACTTACACTGACTTGAGATTTCGATAAAGCTTGATTCACACGCTCTAACTGCTCACTGTAAAGTTTAGCTGTGACAGTTTGACCCGGTTTGAGCATTTCAAAATAAACCAATCCACAATAGTTCCACCATACACACAACATCAACTTCTTATTCAATAAATCCTCATTGTGCCACTCCTTATAAACTTAAACATTGAAAAAGATTTGATTTAAAAGTCGATTCTTTTAACTAAAACTCTTCACTCTCATCCGACACCGATGTATTCTTTTTCTGGTACAAAAGATAACGGCTCAAGTGGCTAAGAGGAATGCTTTTTGGCTTTCAATCTGGGAGCAATTCCCGCCAAAGGCAAAAACTGTTCGGTGATCAGTAAATGAGTCAGTCAAATCAGTTCTAACACTGTACCTTTTGTCATAGCACAGAGCTTGAACCGTGACTTACAATTAGACAAATTAGTACTGTAAACTAAACGAACTCCTAACCAATAGACCAAATTCAATGAGTAGTTGAGTTCAATGAGTTAAAAGAATAATATTAACTTTAATGTGTTAATAGTAAAAGTTAAAAGTTATAAATAAATCTCTGTATCACTGCATTCAATACAAAACATTTATTAATCATTAAAGAAAGCAATAAATTTAGTAGAGAGTGTAGTCTTGATCTAAATATTTCATTTACAAAGATTTACAATCTTTTATTTCCTTTCACTAACCAAATCTTTTCCCTCGCATCCATCCAGCGAAATTGGGTAACTCATCAGTGGAGGCATGATAAGCTCTCTTTCCAAATGTTCTCATCATTGCGCCAATGTTCGGATACTGAAAGAGAGCATTTTAAAAAAGTCTTGGGATCTTGCTATATCACAGTCTAACAAGATGATGTTTTGCCATTTAGACTACCGTATTTCTTCGAATAGAAGACCGGGTAAAGAGTATCATCGCTGCTCCTGCGTAGCAGCCCTTTTTAAAATTTCTTTTCTGCCTAAAAGCTTTCAATCAAGTGCTATAGAGCTGGAAAATGGCTCAAAAATCTGTTAGCGCATGTGGTATTTTTGAGCCATTTTTCAGCTCTATAGCACTTGATTGAAAGCTTTTATGCAGAAAAGAAATTTTAAAAAGGGTTGCTACGCAGGAGTACGCGATGATACTCTTTACCCGGTCTTCTATTCGAAGAAATACGGTATCATCCGAAAAATCCGCTTAACGGCTGATTTGTCTGTGGCGTAGTCGAGAGCGCGCTTGTCTACGGCCCACATAATCCGGGTTCGACTCCCCGTGATGCCATTGAGTTTTGATTTTTTAATTTTTTAGTTTAAATGGTATAACTATATTATATTTTGAGACTTTTTAAAAGCTTTGGCTTAAAGATGGCTGAGAAAAAGCTCGTATAGACGGACGGACGGACAGACAGACAATGCTCTTTTAGATCTAGTTGATATCTTGTCAATTTTCGAACCGAAAGATAGCTATTTATTTTTGAATTCTAAATATTTTATATTTAATAGAATTTAGATATAGTAAATGCTTTCAATAAAACGAAAACTAAAGCCAGAATTCAATAAAACTGTTAACAAGAATATTTTTCAACTTCCAAATCAGAAAAAGTGTTTTATTGGAAGGAATTGCTTACCGTAAATACTGTAATAGTACCCCACCCCCCTCGTACAGTCGCGTAGTCGCAAAAGTTTTTTTAGTATTTCATTTTTTCAAAGCACCTGTACTTTCAAAAAATGTGTCTTTGGTATCAAAAAATAGCCCTGAATTTCAGCTATTTTTTGATACCAAAGCGCGCATTGTAGCATAAACCAGTGTCGAGAAAAACTCGTTCAAAGCTAGACTACGCAAAACTCCGCACCGTCATTATGGGGGTGGGGTACTATTACAGTATTTACGGTAGGAATTGGTAATGTTTTAAATCTAGAAGCTAAATACCATAACAAGTTGAATTCTAAAGCTTTATTTTAATTTTTAATATCACCAACCTCATAAGCTCTCCTTTGTGGCAACGACTCATCGCGTGATCGAAAAAAAGCGAATGTGATTGAGATGAAAGCGAGAAGATATAGAAATTTCACCAAATCTGAAGGCATTCCTGGAAATGTTTTTGAAGAAAAATTGGGAGTTTTTGAAAATAAAATAACACAATTGAAAGAATTGAAAGTTTTTTTTGAAGAAAGATACTTAAGTGTTCTTAAAAGGACACAAAAACAAATGACAATGGATTAAGGGAAACTGATGGGGAATTTAAGAGCTCAAATCTTTCGAAATCTTTGTTTAGGAATTGAAAGTTTCTTCTTTATGACACTAGAAAGCTAAATTTACTTAGGTTTTAAATTTTTCAAATGAAATAAAAGAAGAATAATAATAAAAGAAGTTATTGTGAACATTTGTGGAATAATTGAGTAAGCTTGAGTAATAATTGAGTAAGTTTCTTAAAACAAATTCTAGCTATAGAGCTTTTTTTTGCAACTTTTTAGTTATTATATTGTTTTTGGCTTATTATTATACAATATTGATAGCTTTTTTTGTAAGTTTTTAGGTTTGAATTTGAAGAAAAACATGGGAATTAAAAAGTAGCATTTGTTCTCTCAAAACATTCTCAAGAAGTTAAATTATGCAAAAGAAATTACGGAGTTTTGACGTAAAGTGGTAGAAAATGGTCAAAAAAAGATAAAATTCAGTATTATATTTAATCCCAAGATTGACTTAAATATACCGTAAATACTGTAATAGTACCCCACCGCCCTCGTACAGTCGCGGAGTTGCAAAGTTTTTTAGTATTTCATTTTTTACAAAGCACCCGTACTTTCAAGAAATGCGTCTTTGGTATCAAAAAATAGCTGAAATTCAGGGCTATTTTTTGATACCTAAGCGCGCATTGTAGCATAAACCAATGTCGAGAAAAACTCGTTCAAAGCTAGACTACGCAACACTCCGCACCGTCATTATGGGGGTGGGGTACTAGTACAGTATTTACGGTAATTAAATTAATAATAGCTTAAAAAGTAATGTTATTAACATTCTTGATCATCAACAACAGCTTTGAAAGAAGTTAATTTTAATTTCAAAATGACATCAATTAGGGTAAAGATCGAAGTGGCGAATGAAAGGAAAAATTGGGTAAAATATATAGGGAAAATTCTGGTCAAAACTGAACACGCAACGTCTTTCTTTTTTTAGGTAATGACTAGAAATTCTCGAAGCGGAACTCGAAAAAAGGAAAAATGTTAGTTAAAGAACAAAAAAAAACTATAGCTAGAAACGTTCGAGTTCGAGAACGAAAAATTGTGACTTTAAAAATTCTATTCTCATCAAATGATTGTAAAAGGGAAAGCATTTTCCCCGTTTTCCCAATTTTATTTCAATCCCGGGTAATCTATTCGATTCACGTAGGCTCAAAAAAAACAAGCAATTTAGGAAATTGGTCGTTTTCGTGAAATGTTCAAAAATTAGAGATTTACTGAGTCATTTATATATATATATATATATATGCTTTATTCAGTTGAATAGCGACAAAACAAAATCACAATAATTACCCGGGACACCACTCAAAACACACCCAAAAGATAAATAGATACCTCAAGAAAGAATCACAGAGCAGTCAAATCAATTGCCGAAATTGCGGCTTTAAATCTAGCCAAGGTGGAAATATCACGAACATGAGGGGGTAAAATGTTCCAGAATTTAATAACTCGATTAAAAAAGAAACTGTGGGGGCTTTTAGAGGAAACGGAAGGTTGGCGTATGAGAAAAGGCCCCCTTCTGGAGGCGCCCCGTAGAGAGCCGAATTCAAAAAAACCAGAAAAAATGGGGTCCGGATGAATGCCTTTAACAATTTTAAAGCATTCCACTAAATCGATGATAAGGCGGCGTTGGTGTAACATTTCAAGACCAAAGAGTTGCAATCTATCAGAATAAGTAAAGGAGGAGAATTTGCCAAAATTATTGGATTGGTGAATTGAAAACTGCCGGCTATTGTCATATGTCACAGTTTGAGCCGTCTTGGACCCGTATTGGAACCGTATTAAATCAAAATAGGAACCGTATTGGAATGGTATTAAATCAAAATTGGAACCGTATTGGAACCGTAAAAAAGAAACTGTGGGGGCTTTTAGAGGAAGCGGAAGGTTGGCGTATGAGAAAAGGCCCCCTTCTGGAGGCGCCCCGTAGAGAGCCGAATTCAAAGAGACCAGAAAAAAGGGGGTCCTGATGAATGCCTTTAACAATTTTAAAGCATTCCACTAAATCGATGATAAGGCGGCGTTGGTGTAACATTTCAAGACCAAAGAGTTGCAATCTATCAGAATAAGTAAAGGAGGAGAATTTGCCAAAATTAATTTTATAAAGAGCAATTCTGGTGAAGTGCCTCTGAACACGTTCTATTTTTTGAATAAGATTTAATAGGGAAAGAGACCAAACCAAAGAAGCGTATTCAAGAATTGGGCGGACATAAGCAACAAAACACATCCGATAAGTTTTGATGTTAGGTATGGTAATTTTTCATTAAAAATGCTAAGAAATTTGATTATGGAATCATCAAAAGATAAGTAAATCTGTTTTATGGGTAAAAGGTCAAGTGAGTCCACCAAATAGGGTGCGTTTGTGTTTTAACTACGAAGTACACTTGAAAAAACTATTATAAAACAGCCAGTAAAGCGCTCCTCTTGGGTAATACGTTCTTTACAGGGTATCCCAAAATTATGGAGCGGTTTCTGTTTTGATTTATTGTTTTATCTTGTTCTTTTTTATTATTTATGACTAAAATTCTTTTGTATTGGTTTTTTTCAGGATGAAATCACAATTGGATTTGCTGACCAGCCATGGTTCGACTCTCACAGGCTGGTAAATCGGTGATGGAGATTTCACAGCTTTTGCACTTGCCTCACCAGACAGTTTCAAAAGAAATCAAGCGCCACAAAGAGAATGGGAAATTGAAAGATCGAACAGGACGAAAGAAGATTACCAACAATCCAATCAATCGTCGAAAGATCTTTCAACGAATCCAAAGAAACCCGAGATCACAGAAAAACTCTATCCGAAAGATGGCTGCTGCAATTAGAATCTCAAAGACCACAGTGCACTGAATGAAGATATGAAAACACGGAATGAAGGCACGAAAAGATGTAGTCGAACATTACTTAAACGATCAGATAAAGCAAAAGAGAGTGGACCGTTGCAAGAAATTTTTGAGACGCTTTGAAGCGAATCGTCATCGTGAGATCCTCTACCGATGAAAAGTGGTTTGACATCGAGCAAACTCATAGCCATCAAAACGATAGAACTTAACCAAAGGATCCATTCTCGCTTGTTCAGCGTGTTATCTCACAGCAACAGAAACCGCAAAAAGTGATCGTATGGGCGGGTGTTACGTACACCGGGAAGACATCTCTGATTTTCATCCCAACTGGAGTCAAAGTCAACAAGGATGAATATCTGAACATGTTGAAAACAGGAAATTTTACCTTGGAATCAGCAGCACTTTGGAAATAAGCCCTGGGTATTTCAGCAGGACGGAGCTCCATCGCATAAAGCTCGAGAAATCGCAGATTGGAGATTGAATTGGATTAAGATTGGATCGCAAAAATTTTTCTGATTGGATCACCGTTGACATAAGCGCGCAAAATCCAAGAGAATGGTCATCCAACTCGCCGGATTTGAATGTTTTGGATTACAGCATTTGGTCGAGCTTGCAGTCCAAGGCTTGTTGCAAGCCTTACACATTAATTCAGTCTTTGAAGAAGGATTTGGAGAAATCTTGGGACGACATTGGGCCATCAAAAAGGCTATGGCTGATTTTCCGAAACGATTACGAAATATATTCAAGCTAAAGGAGGCAACTTTAAAAAATAATGTTATATTTTTGTTATGTTCAATAATTGTAAAATGATTTTTAAGGTATCTAGAAAAATTTCTCGAAAATTAGCATAAGATCAATAATCGAATTTCCCGATAATTTTGGGACACTCTGTAATTGTAAATCATAATTGTAATTAACGCGTCAACTTCTAAAAGCTATTGTAATCTTTCTCTAGTTTTATCAAATCTATCAACCAATTTAAAACGCGAAAAAGCTCCCGTAATCGTGTCTCTGATTATCCAAGCTATCTACTATTATAATCGTTATTTAAAACGCTCACAGCACAGCTCACAGCTAATCTTGTCTCTAGTTATTGTCGTTTAGTTATCGTAGATTTCAAATAAAACTTTATCTCAACTGTAGTATACTTGTTATCAGCTATAAAAGACTTTATTCTTTCACAAAGGCAATCCAATAAAGCAGCATTTGTTTAGCACACCCGTACATTTCAGTAAAATGAAAAAGTGAACTGAATGTGGAGAGAGAATTTTCAAAGAGATTGAGATTATGACAATGTTCAAAGCGGCACCAGGGAAATGACAATACGGAAATGTTGTACTTAATTAGAACCGAATTAGAATTAGAAGCGATTCTCACTGGAACCAAATTAGGTACGTGATTTTATAGTATTAAACCTTTTTAGATCAGTTTCAGTATTTCAGCTAGTTTTGATTTCAACAGAATGTTGAAAAATAAAGCCAAAATTAAGGCAAAAATTGTTCCCAAAAAAAAAAACAGGTTTGGGCATATTGTTGTCCAAAGCGGCAAATCGATTGAAGCTATTTTTATCAAATCTATTAGCTTTCAAATCCAAGTAAGAATCGATTCTAATTCAGATTTTAATATAACAATGTAGTCTGGAATCTCAAAGACAACAACCATTTCAAGTAAATTTGAATACAGAGAAAGCTTTAGTAGAATGATAAAAATGATAAGAATTAAGTCATAAAACTTCTTTACAAAGACATTGTTCATCATTTTGAATGATGAGGATTCCGATGTGGGGGAATCGGTTGTTGTAATGGGATTGATCCATTTGTTTGAAGACGAGCTCCACCATTTAAACCCTTATCGCTCACAGGACCCTTTGATTGTCCATTTAGGCTTGTTGTTTGATGAAATGTTGTTTTGAGAGGAGAAGTTGAGGATACAGCAGGAATCGTTCCATTCAACGGTCTACTTCTCGTCTCTCTTTGATCAGGTCTTGGGGCGATTCGTTGAGGGCCAGGCTCCAAGTCGACCAATTGTCGTGATGTGCTGGGTTCACTAAAAGGTTGAAAAACAATGTTGGCTATCAGAAAAGCTTTCTATAGTTTACAATGAGATGAAGGATTGAAAACAATGTAGTTGAATCTATTAGGCTGTCCAGAAAGTCTTTTCGTTGATGAACTTTCTGGATAGCTTATTATTTGAAAGATTTTAACAGTATCAAAGCTGTAGCCTATTTGTTTTACCTAGATAAATTTTCAAACTAACCCATTGTGTAACAAGTTTGCGTCATGATCATCTTTCTTTTTCCTTCCTTTGATTTCTTTCCACGGCGCATTGTCAAACTTTCCACCCTCACCGCGAACCCGGCGTTGTGCATGTAAATGTCGAGATTCGTGAAGATAACCCTAAAATATTAAAAAAGCTATTTAAACCTCTTTTCCCACTCACCTTTCTCTTTGTTCCGATTCTCGGGATTTTCCCAGCCGCTTCGAGTTTTGCTCTCATCACTCTTCTCTTCATTATCCTATCATATTGCCGTGGGTTTACATAAATCGTGTTGGTAGGCGGTCTAAAAATAAAGCTTACAATAGTTTTACAACATAGCTAGGTGCTGTATAAAGATTTTATATGCTAATTCCTTGGTACGCTAACTTTTGTTTCCGGTTTCACATCATAAAATTGCTTATTTTCTTTTAGATCAAAACATTTATGAATTAAAATTAACATTTTCAACAACAATACAAAAGACAACTTAAGTTAGAGATTAACGATCAGCAAAAAGTGCCCAGAACTTATACATCAAGCTTTGAGTATTATGCTGTCACTTGTACAAGGCCCAAAGCTCACTCTTTAATCCGTTTTGCCACTTAATCTGATGCTTAAGCTGAAATAAACCTAGCATAAAAAAGCGAAATTAGCATATAAAACTCCCGTCACTCGTAGCTTTAATTTACGAAATAGAGAACTTTGACTTACGGTGGTGGAGCCTCTTGAGCAATGTAGGCACAATGAATGACACCGTCTTTTGCGAGTTCGGGTGGGAACTAAAAATAAAATAAATCTCGATCTATCTACAGTTCAATTTAAAGTTTTGCAAGATTGTCTAAGAAAAAATCGAAAACTTACATGAATAACTTCTTGTTCATTGCTAGCAGAGGCTTGAGAAGTACCTAAAAGGGATTGATTGAAAGCAATTGTGGCAGGAAACTACAAAATGTGTCAAAGTTCTTACATTGAGGCACATACATCGCTGGTGTCCCTGGATGAGAGTCAGTTGATGGAGTCGTTGTATGGATTTGACTCGTTACTCCATTCATCTCTCCACCATTTTCTCCTTGTTGTCTCAAGTGATCAGCGACGAGTTCTGGAGCGTACATAACCCCAGAGGAGAGCATCTAAAATGAACCTTGTGGAAATTTACAGCTTTGAAACTAAGCTTTGAAACTTTAAGCTTTGAAACTAAGCTTTGAAACTCTAAGCTTTGAAACTAAGCTTTCAAACTCTAAGCCTTGAAACTCTAAGCTGTCAAACTAAGCTTTCAAACTTTAAGCTTTCAAACTAAGCTTTTAAACTCTAAGCTTAACTCTAGAGATTTCGATATTCAATGCAAGAGCCGCAATACTTCGTACACTGTTAAACATATTTGTCCTAGCACAGTTTTTAAAATGAAAATAGGATTCTAAAAGGTTTATCTTTACACAGCCCAGTTTTGCTATGCCAGAACATGCTTGAAAAGCTATTTTCTGTAAGCTATAGTTAGTTTCTATACCAAATCCCCACCTGTGCTCCTTCCGGCATTTGCAGAATGTATTTCCCCTCTTTATCCGGCGCCAGGGCAAGAAAAATCTAAAGAAAACAAGAATTAAACTTTGAAGAAAACCTAAAACTAACTGTATTTGTTCCATCAGTGACTGGAAATTGGATTCCCTGTGTCTCAGTTTCAACCACAGCGGTCCTAAAATTTTTCACTGATTAAAGAAGATCCAATACTAGTATTGTAGATAAAAAAATTAACTTTCTAAACTTACATTTCGTTAATTTGGTGTGGTGATGGTGGGGGATTCGGTTTTTTCGTTGAAAGAGAGGAGTTGTGATTGGCTGTATGCGATGGGCGCCAATCAATGCCCCGCGTTCCTCCCCTCAACAAAAGGGAAATGATGGGCGAAATGAGAGATGAGAGATTGAATAAGAACAAGAAGAATGGAGAGATATTAGAGAATAAGAAAAAGTTCGATTGGAAAGGAATGGTTGAAGATTGTGAGAATTGAGAGACTTTGACTAAAAATCCATTAGCAAGTTGGATGATTTAGAGAAAGGAGTGATGAGATTGGGAATAGTGAAGGAAATGAGAGAGTCAAAACTGAAGAGATGAGAAAATAGGAAACATTTTGAGAAACGAAGACAAGAGAAGAGATGGAAAATGGATCTTTTTGAGAAGAAAAACGGCTATTTTTTTCCTTCAAGACTAGTTAGAGATTCTCTGACTCTGTCTCCTTTTTTTCTGATTTCGAGGCAATTAAGACAAAAGTCTATAGTTCTATATTAGTCTTCAGTTCTGTATTGATTCAAAATTTGATATTTTTACAAAATTTATAGAACAGTTAATCTGTTAAATATCCCAAGTCCAATTCTCTCATTTGTATGAATAAGGTTTAGGATTTCGGATTTTGATTTGTTGATTTTGTCAATTTATTAAAGCTAAAATCAATGTCAATCTAAATCTATCAAAACTTTGATAGAATTGACAATTGTTTCCAAATAAACAACTCTTTATATTTCGTTTGATGAAAAGGGAAATGCTTGTGATTCCATTTGCTGTGTAGGTTACAGAATTGAACCAGAAAGGGAAAGGAAATTAGATGAGATTGAGAAAATGAAGAGAATAGAAAGAAAGATGGGAAATGATGGAGAAAAAATGGAAAAGAGGAAAAGAATGAAAGTATCAGAAGCAACGAAGAGGTGGAAAAGAAAGAGAAAAATCTGGGGCAGGCTGGGGAGAGGCTCGCCACTCTGGGCTCTCTTTCCAACCGCCACCCGTTCTTTCTCTCACTCTTCCCCCTCCATCCCCATTTCCCCTCAGTCTCGTCACCCGTGTGCTCTTTCTCTACATCATATTTTCATTTAATATCTTGCATTTCTTCAACTTCACTCTCCTCTATAGTTATTCCAATATTTTCTTGGTCTTCATGATCTCTTTCCCTTTTGAACCTTTTCTATTAACTCTAACCTCGGTTTTAGTCTATCTCTATGTCCCAGTTCTTCTCTGACATCACATTTAGACTTTCCTATCTTTTCATTGTCGATCTCTACTCATCTGCCGATTCTATCTCTCTTTCTCTGCTTCTCTCTTGTTTCTCTGCTTTAAAGCTCTTCCAAAGCACTCCCTTTCTCCACTTACTATACCCATCTCTAAACGCCATCCCACTCTTATTCCTTCATTTCCTACTTCTCTCCAGTGCCAGTTCACCTCTTATTCTTCATCTCTTTCCAACCTCTATCCCGTCTTTCTCTCACTCTTCGATCTCATCCCCATTTCCCCATTTCCATCTCCCCATTTCCATTCTTCCGTTTCCAACTCTCTTTTTCTTCTCCCAACTCTTCATCTCACATAAACCCAACCCAAATTTCAACCAGCTTATCGTTTTGTTTGATTTTTCTTAGAAATTTCTTGTCATTTTTGCTTAAGTTAAAGTGATTGCGGTTGTCTGTTTAATCGACTATTGTCTTTCGAGAACAGTTTTGTAATTGTTGCTCGTAAACTGAATACAAATGCTTGTTTATTAGCTTATTTTTACTTTATCTTTACTGAATCTACATTGTTTCTGCAACAAAACTTTCAAGATCTTGAACTTAAATTGAATTTTATTGACTTCTTGGATAAAAATCATTGTGCGTTCAACAATTTGATTTTTGCTTTTCTTTTTATTGATCAATCTATTTTAGAATTCATTTGCGTGATTCGTCGATTTTATTTCACTAAATTGACTGTATGAAAACCGTGATATGATAAGCGAAAAATAGAAATGGAAACGAAGAGATCAACAAGAAGAAAAGTTGAAGAAAAGAAACGATTGAAGAAAGAACAGAAAAAGAAAGTGAAGAAGTTGAAGAAACCGTCGGTCGATCGGAAGAAAGAGGTGAGGAAGATTGGATTGAATCGCTAAATAATAGAAAAGATTTTTAGCTATTCAAGATCAATTTCGCTTATTTCAATTCCCAAGTTGTTCCAAAATCAATTCTTTTTTTATTTTAGTATGAAGAGAACAATTATTCATTGGAAAAGAAAGTGCGACGATTAGCAAAATGGATGGAAGACGCCGAGACGACACTTGTTTATACAGGAGCCGGGATCAGCACGGTAAGTATTCTTTTAATATAACAAATACTTATACTTACCGTAAATACTGTAATAGTACCCCACCCCCTCGTACAGTCGCGTAGTCGCAAAAGTTTTTTAGTATTTCATTTTTTTCTAAGCGCCCGTACTTTCAAAAAATGCGTCTTTGGTATGAAAAAATAGCCCTGAATTTCAGCTATTTTTTGATACCTAAGCGCGCATTGTAGCATAAACCAGTGTCGAGAAAAACGCGTCTAAAGCTAGACTACGCAACACTCCGCACCGTCATTAGGGGGGTGGGGTACTATTACAGTATTTACGGTATCTATGTATACGATATAGCTTTTAAAACTATAACTATTCAGCTTAAAAAAGCAAAAAGCTTGTAGCAAAAACTTTAGGCTGCCAACATTCCTGATTATCGAGGCCCGAACGGAGTCTGGACTTTAGCTTCACAAGGAAAAGAAATTATTCGGTGAGTGAAATTAAGATGTTAGCAAAAGGGCCAGGTTTTTTGGGTTAAAATTCTTCGCCAAAAATTTTTGCCCTACATTTCATTTGCGCCAAATTTACCCTTATGAAAATCATCATGACAAATCACTTTTTTTCAACTTCTAACCAACTTTTTTTTAGTTTTCTGCTTTAATTCCCAATGTTTTCAATTAAAAAACACGTTTAAATACATATATTTCCCTATAAACAGTGACTCTTCTGTCATCGATTGGGCTTTTTGTTTTTTTATATCGATTTTATGCCATTTATAGATCCAGCAAAGGCGTCAAAGTAGCGAGCATAGTAAAAGTAGTAAAGAAAGAAAGAAAGAAAGAAAAAGTAGTAAAAAAAATTAAAATAAACAATCAGAATTGGTAGAAAAGTGTGTTGAAAAGCAAAAAATTTGACGTAAATGATACGTGGCACAAATAATTTGGCCCTTTTGCTAGCACCTCATGTAATTATGTGAATTTTGATATAAATCCAGATTATATATTATGTTTTATTTATATTCTTTTATATTTATATTTGATATTACTTTTATATTCCAGTTGTGGCAACATCATGTCCACCGAGCCGACCACTTCCCATATGATTCTTAAAGAATTGCATCGACAACGCTACATCACCCACATTTTGTCACAAGTTCGTTGAAATTACACTAGAAAGATCTTATTGTATCAGAATATCAATTCGTCATTTCATTTTTCTTTTTAGAACTGTGACGGTCTTCACTTGAGATCCGGTCTCCCGCAAACGGCTCTCAGCGAAATACACGGAAATATGAATATTGAGGTGGGAAGTGAAGCTGTGAAACAACAGCTTTTTTACTATTTTTTATTTTGATTGACATATTTGCTAAAAATATGGTTTTCTTTTAGGTTTGCTCAAAATGTGAACGGCAGCACATCCGAGCGTATGATGTAACGATGAAGAGCGCTTTACAGTAAGTTGATAATTCTTCATTGTTAGGGTTTAATTAGTTAATATGAAAAACTTGCAAATGTTAATGATTCAGAAAGCATGGAACTGGCCGTTTTTGTGATTCTTGTAAAAACGAGTTGGAGGACACGATCGTTCATTTCGGAGAGTGCGGAAGAGTGAGATGGCCGTTGAATTGGGATGGTAGGTGTTGTTGTTGTGATGCAAATATGTAAATAGGTTCTAATAAAAGCCAGTAGTAGAAAATGTTTATCTTAAGCAATAGTTGGAAACAATAATTTGTTTGATAGTCAATTTTCTAGGTACTCGAAGACATCTTCCCAAGGCAAATCTCATCATTTGTGTTGGCACCTCGTTGGCTGTGCTCAAAGCATACGGAGAGTTATGGCCGGAGAAAGATCAAGAAACAAAAGTGAGCTAGAGATTTTTATAGATGACTTATAACTTCAAATCTCTAAAACTTAGAATGTAAACTTTTAAGCATGGTTGATATTTTAGGTGGTTATCGTGAATCTCCAATGGACAGTGAAAGACAAAGAAGCTGATATGAAAATCCATTCAAAATCTGATAATTTCTTTGAGAAATTGGCTTATTATTTGGATATTCAACCGGATCCATATTGCAGGTAGAATTTAAAAGATCATTTTCTATTTGAAATCTTCTATTTAATAGTTTTCTATTTGAAACCTTTTATTTAAAAAGATAATTTTCTAGATCCTGTGATCCTGTGTTGAATCACATTCCAATAAAAGAGAAGTTCGACAAAAAGAAACGAAATGATATCATCAGAAAGATTTCAACGTGTGATTGTGATGGGGTTAAAAGGTAAAGCTTTTGGCTTAACTTAAAATTTTACTAGTTACAATTACCAATCTACTAGATCTTGTGAAACTATGAGAAATTCTAATGTTTCAGAATCGTTGACTTACCAACAATGCCGACTCTTGATCAGGAAGAGGCTTCAACAAGCGGAGAAATGCCCGGATGGTGGGCATATGGATTGAAACAGCAAATGAGTACAGGTTGGTATGTTATCATAAAGATAACATTTTACATGCGTTTGGTACTTGATCACATAAATCTTTACCCGATGCTAAAGAAAATCGATGCGATTCAGGGAAAAAGAAAGGACGAGTCGCTAAATTGAAGAAACACCGTAAGGATTCCGAGCAACAAATCGTGCAACAAGTGTTGAAGGATTTGCTGGATAAACTGGATCCACAAAGTAAAGGATATTTAGAAGTTTTCGTTTTTGAAGAACTACTTGAGTAAAATTTAGTCACAATTCTGAAAATGGTAATGAGTTTAAGTACTCTAGTTTTAACTTTAAATTAAATTAAATTTAAAATAAATTTAAATTCAATTAACAAAATAGAAACTTGAAACTGAAGGTAGTGTAGTCCTTAAAAAGTTAAATTGTCAAATTTTCTGCAAAATGGAATGAAAAGACGTTATTTCAGGATCACCAAGAACGATTCCAAAAGGAGAATTGAAATCTGATGAAGCGACGAATTCAGAGAATTCAGACAAAGAATTGGATGAAGTGAAGATGAACGGAAAACGAAAACGAATCACATCGATGAAAGATCGGAGAGTGAAAACCCCGGAATTGATGTCGAGATTGGGGATTGAGGCCGGGGTTTTGCTGGGTGATTCGAGCAATGATTCGGATTCCGACGATGATTACACGATATCAAAGGTTCTTTACTTAAGTCAGATACAATAGTCACTAAAGTTTTATCGAACTGAATTCTTTTTAGAATTATCTATAATTCTTGCACTTTAGCAACAAATGGGCTCCGATCATCGACCGGGTCTTCGAGCTACGAGGCGATCTAGCAATACACAGTCAACTCCATCATTATTGGTACTGTTTTGTGATGTTTTTTAGTATAAGATTACGAGCTTAACAAATAATATTTAAGGACGGTCTACCGCCAAGAATTAACAAGAATCGTGGTCAGACAAGGAAACGAAAATCGGTGAAAGAAGAAGAGAATGAAGATGATGAGATCACAAAGAAGAAATCATTGATGGAAACGTTTAAAAAAGAGAATTCAATGGAGTTTACATCAACAAGTGTCTCAACTCCTTCAATGGATTCACAAGCAGAAGAAGTTGAAGTATTAAATCGAAGACAAGGCAAGGGATCTCCTTGCTCATCGATATCTGAAGAGATTGGAGGATTGGGAGAAAAGTCTTTAATACCAGAGACTGTAATTTTTTCTCAAAAAGTTGAACCTAAGACTGAAATGACTGTTCGCGAATTCATCTCTTCACAATCGAGTTCAATTGGTGGGTTAAACTCTCTGAAAATGGACAGTTCAGCTAAGAGCAAACTGTCGAAGCTGATTCAAGAGGTGAAATTAGAGATGGAAAGGAAAGAGGAACAGAAAAATGTTCTAGAAAGAGTGCCGGCTCATTTGAAAGATTTGGAGCCAACTTTTAGTCTGCCAAATAGTAAATCAGATCTGCCGATTCAGCTGCAGAATATGAAAGTTTTATCTTCACAGATGTCAGTGGGAGAAGTGCTGAAAATGTTGAAAGGAGGGCCAAAGGGAAGAACTTTGAAAAATCAAAGAGTTCAACCAGTTTCAATGCCATCAAATTCTTTATCTCATGAGATAAAAATCGAGCCACAATCTGCTTCTCATCAAGTAATGATCCCAAATCAAGAGCCATCATTGAGACGAGAGCCTAATGAGTCGCTGGACGATTTCTTGGCGCGGACTCTGCCTCCAGAATACTATCGACAAAGTGAACGGGTTTGTGTTGAAGTTTTAAAAATATTTGTATCTGAGCGCCTAGCTAAAGTTAAGAGAATGAGGCTTTTTCAATTCTAAGGATTAAAGTTGAGCAAACGGTTGATTCTGAAAACTTTAACCTTTAATAGTTTTTCTAGGATTTTGCTCTAACAATTTTGGTCAAAGGTTTCAACAAGTAATCAAATAAAAACAAAGATTAATCGACAATCATTAAGCTAATTAATTTTTGATTTATTCAGATCGAGACTCCAAGAGGTGATCCAAATCCCTTGTCCACTTTCGATTCGCCGGGTGTTTTCGCCGAAATGGTTCAATTGGCTGAAGAAGCGTTTGTGTTGGCCAGTCGAATCAAAAGTGATCGACCGGAGAACTCGGAAAATCAGAGGTAAAATCAGAACTTATTAATAGTCTTATTAATTAATAACGATAGGTTCCAGTAATGAGAAAATAAAAGTAAACCATAATCTCAAAATTTTCCATTTCCAGACCCAAGCCATCCATCACTTCACCTAAAAAAAAGTCTCAATGTACCTCAGTTATCCATTAAAATTTGCATCTAATACTTCTATTTTCGTCTTTCAATTTTTCCTCTAGTCTTCTCCTTGTTCAAAATTCCAGCCAAATATTGTATAATTTCCGTAAACGTCAAAAATTGCCTTTTTTTTTCATTGATCTCTTTATAAAAAATTTGAGAATTTATTTATTTACTTTTTAAAAGGCTCTTTTAATAAATAGTACCTATCTTTTAAGAATCATAATCACAAAGGGAAAAATTAAGTGAAATAAATAGGCAACCTGAGGATAAAGCATTAAATTTATTAACAATTTCTTATTGTACTTTTATCCAAATTGTTTCAAGTACTTGTAGACCTCGTCGTAAACGACCAACATGATTGCACCACCTGAAAAAAAGAGAAATCTACTGTTATTGCAAGAATTTGGAGATTTGTGTCTAACAATAAATACAAAGTACGTATTCTCAATATTGTTTGAGCTTTAGAATTTTGCTTAAAATCTCACCTGGCCCAAGTCGCATGATTTTCGGCAAAAGTCCCTTGTAGAGAGCGAAGAAGCCTTCTTCTTTGTAAACAAGTCCCATGCTTTGGAGGCAGCCGTGATATTTTCGAGAACCCGGAATTGGTTGCGGACCCTAAAAGGAGTTATTTGAAAGGAATAGACTAAGAAATTCATAGCTTACCTGTATCCGACTTTTCGCCACATCAAACGGGATATTCACCACCGAGGCCAGCGATCCAGCAATGAAACCGAGCAGAATTCGATAGGTTAAGTTGAGTGACGCGGATTCCTGGAATGGCAAAAAAAGGATAACAAGGACAACGAAAAGGGATGTACGAATTCCAAAATAACACATCAAAAAGATGTTTTTGATTCTTGAATTCAAAAAAACCCATTAGAAAGCTGTTTTTGATATAAATTTGATATAGAACAACACAACCAAAAAGCCTTTTTAGTACCTTTGCATCTGGGATGTAGACTTTGACATTGTGATAGAGACCGAAATACACCATGTTCCATGTGCCGTTTCTCGCAACTGTTGATGTTAATCCTGAAAAGGATATTGATATGATATTTTGGATATTTTAGAATATATTTTAGAATAATCTAGTCAATTAATCAATTCCCATACCTCGAAAAATTCCCTTTGTGCCCATTCCCTCGGCTCTAATGATCTCCCGCGCTAGTTCCATCGATGTGGGCACCTGAAAGAATGATATGTTCAATTTTTAGCTATCTTACAACTTAATAATTACAACTAAGTTTATTAAGTAGCTAATTTCTTTCAAAAACAAAACCTCTTTAGGATTTGCATTTTTCATCGACTGTAGTCGAACTTTAACCGTCTCAAATGGGCACACCACTACTGCTTCGGTCATTCCCGAACAGAGACCAGCCAAGGAGAGAGTCTAGAAATTTATATAGGAAATAGATTTGATTTTAAATTTAACAATAGCCGGCGAGATGCCCGGTGTGCTAAAGATGTGCTTGTATTGCTCAAAAGTAAAGAATTTTGTGGCTCTCTTCGGCGTCTCGGCGAGAATCGGCGGCAGGATTCCCTAGAAAATGAGAAGATTTAGATGTAGAACTTATTGAAACTAGAAAATATACATCTAAAATACATCTAAAATCAAATTCGGTATATTCTTACTTTGTAAAACCCGCGTATTCCTTCATCTCTTAATGTGCTTCTCACACAATCGGCCATTCCGCGGTTTGATTGATCGATTTGGAGTCGAGTCTTGATCAAGTCCAACGGATGCATGATCAACACTTCCACTAAGCCTAAAATTTGGGATTAACAAGGGTTTACTTGTAGTTTATTGATCTAACAAGAGATGAATAAGGATTTGCTTATAGTTTACTTGTTTAACAAGAGATTAACATGGATTTAACTAGAGTTTACTTGTTTAACAAGGGATTAACAAGGGTTTCCTTATGGTTTATTGATTTAACAAGAGATTAATGGGGATTTGCTTATAATTTACTTATTTAACACGAGATTAACAAGAATTTGCTTATAGTTTACTTGTTTAACAAGAGATTAATCAGAGTTTACTTATAGTTTACTGGTTTAACAAGGGTCTACTTATATCTCACTTGTTTAACAAGAGATTAACAAGAGTTTACTTGTTCGTGCCCTTCAACTGATCTAGAAACTGAATTACTGAATGATTTTGCGTAAAAACAAAGTGTTTTTAAGTGATTAAGCATACTTTAAAAGTACTTTATACTTAATTTTTAAAATTTTTGACACATCAAGTTATTATTTATCATTAAAAACCCTACCCGCCGATCCACCGGCCAAAATTTGTCGGCTTCCCTCTTTCGCATGTTCCATCACTGAAACAGATTTTATAAAAAAGAACCATTCACTTTTGGTTTTGATTTTTAAAATAAATAAAATAAAAGAAAATTTTAAAATCCAACAGCAAGCCAACCTTTGCGAAGAGAAAAACGAGGGAGAAATCATTTTTTTGTGAGGTTTTTGCTTGAAATACAAACCCTCACTCGTAAACAAATCGATAAGTAATGCAAAGAGAGAAAAAGAGAAAGGGAAAAGAAGACATTCAATATTTTTCTCAATGTGACCTGCAAAAAAAAAGAATGGAAAAGGAAAAGAACAGATGAGAGATCGAATGGATGATAGAAATAATAAAAATAGATTATTTATTATTTACTATCCTTGCATTGCTCAAAAATTTAAAACTATTGATAAAAATGGATGATATTTTGTGAAAAAAGAAGCCTAAACTGAACTCATTTTAGTCAATAAATTTTTGCCTATTTGGTGTTAAGCCTCGAAATTTCAAACATTTTTTAATTGGTCGAGAGTTTTTTTTTTTTGAAGGATTCTCCTTTTCTCTTTCGCATTTCTACAATTTGTTGATATGCTTTGTCAAATTGTCAAATATACTTGTCAAATCAGAACCAATTGCTTTCAATGACGTACCCAAGATTTCGCGAATTTCAGTCTAAAAGCCTGAGCTTCTCAAGGCTAGAAATTATATTTTGTAATTCGAGGGACTCGAGAATTTTGCATTTTAGTTCTTTCATTTTAGTTTTAAAATAAAATAAAGTTTTAAAATAAAAATTTAAGATCTTTATAAAACTAATGTTATGATTTTCAGAAAGTAGAGAAAATTAGGGGAAGCTAGCCAACAAGCTGACCAACTAGGGGAAGCTGGCCAACAAGCTGACCAACTAGGGGAAGCTAGCCAACAAGCTGACCAACTAGGGAAGCCGATCAACATGAAAAACAGTTGTTCAACTAGTTTTCGAGATTTACGCGATCAAAAATTGAAAAAACTAAAGAAAAAGTGAAAATGGCGAACTTCAACTTTCTGAAAATCAAACATTAGCTTTGTAAAACCAATAATTTATGCCTAAAAACACTTTTTATCAAAATTTTTGAACTAAAATGCAAAAATCTCGAGCGCCTCGAATTTTTTCAGAAAACTTTTTAAGACAGTTTTGTAGCCTGAACTTTTTACAAAATATAATTTCTTAGTCGAAAATTGACTGCGGGTAGCCTCGAGGAGCTCGGGTTGTTAGACTGAAAGTCGCGAGATCCTGGGTACGCTACTGATTGCTTTATATTGATACTATACCTTAAAATTCATAGTGTTCCTTGAGCTTCGAGCAAAAGTTTTTTTGATTAGGTTTCATTTGTATTAGCTTTGTGCATAAGCCTTTACAATTTTTTTTTCAAACTTTTCTTTCCAGAAAAAAGAATCCTTTACCAAATTTGTTACTGTTAATTTGAAAAGAATCCTTTACCGTTACCTAAACTATTTCGAAAGGCTCTTGCGTAGTTTCCGGGTTTTTTTAAACAAGTCGTCACGCTTTGAAGGCCTATAACTTTGTCCAGAGATCATGTTTTTGTTAACTTTTTATATTATTGTACAGAGGACATTTTAGGCTTTCAAATGATACCAAATAGAGCTTGACTGGATTCTTCATTCCCATGCAAACAAGGCGACACGACACCCGAGTTGGATAGGCCTCATTTGCTCTGAGATGGCTCTGATTTTCTTGGACTGGGTGGATCCAATTTTGACAAACGGGCTCTAGCGTAGTTCCCGGGTTTTTTTAAACAAGTCGGCACACTTTGAAGGCCTATAACTTTGTCCAGAGATCATATTTTTGTTAACTTTTTATATTATTGTACAGAGGACATTTTAGGCTTTCAAATGATACCAAATAGAGCTTAATTGGATCACCCAGTCCAAGAAAATCAGAGCCAACTCAGAGCAAATGAGGCCTATCCAACTTGGGTGTCATGTCGCCTTGTTTGCATGGGAATGAAAAATCCAGTCAAGCTCTTTTGGTATCATTTGAAAGCCTGAAATGTCCTCTGTACAATGATATAAAAAGTTAGCAAAAATATGTTCTCTGGACAAAGTTATAGGCCTTTAAACGGTTCCTTCAAAACACCCAAAATATAAGAAAATGGCTGGACGGATCGTTTTCAAATTTTACAGACTTGTGTAATCAAATGAGCTCTATCTTTTTTACTTTGGCATTAAAATAGGTTTGTATTGAAGAAAGTGTCCAAATTTCGATTTTAATAGAGAGAACAGTTTCAGTACAGTTTTGGGTACTCGCCTTTGTGTATTTGAAAATCCACAAAAACAATGACTTTCAAGAATTTCTTAAAAGCCATTTTGCAGAGAAACAATTAAGTTTTTTAATGGTTTAAATAGAAATTTTGTTAGTGGCGGTATTATTTCTTAAAGGCGATTGGAAAATAAATTTGTAAAGACTTATGCAACCTAATACGTTACTGTTTAAAAAAGTGAGATTTTGTGATGTTAAGTTGTTTGCCTTTCATACTCTTATTCATTTTTATCCAAAAGTCAACAACCTGGTCGTTAATTGTCAACGATCTTTGTGTGGCTGCTCCATGGCAACAGACCGGCCTAGGTAAAGAAAAGAGAAAGAAAAGAGAAACCCTAAAATCAAATAAGCCAATCGCAAAATTATTGCCAAATCCAGCACTGATTCATCGCTTAAATGGTTCGATCTCAATTCGATGATCCGCCTCCACCAAGACAATATTATCAGAGAAGAGAAGAATCATATCGATCAAGGAATCAACCTGAGGCTGAAGGAAGAAATTCGTACTACAATCTGCCCAGCTCTTCTACTCAATATCAGCAACAAGTCACGAATCCGAGCTATTCTCAATATATGAACTATGGTTGGTTTAAACCTGTGTGGGTTCAGGAAGAGCAGTGAATTCAATTCGTCTTTCAATCTTAAGTAGTATCTTAATACTCTCCATAATGATGGGGTACAGTCTAACTTTGAGCGTCCCGTTCTTCAGTGTTGATTTAAGCTACAGTGTGCTCATGATGTCAAATGATAACCCTTGAAATCTAGTATTTTTTGGTATTAAAAGTGTAGTTGGGAAGAATCTAGGGGCTGAGAAAAAAAATGAATTTCTAAAAAGAAGTTAGTACGATGGGGTGACATTTTAAAGTATTTACAGTAATTTGTTTTTTAAAATCTCTATGCCTAGGGTTGTTTCTAGACCAAGTTTTCAATAACCTACCGTAAATACTGTAATAGTACCCCACCCCCTCGTACAGTCGCGTAATCGCAAAAGTTTTTTTAGTATTTCATTTTTTGCAAAGCGCCCGTACTTTAAAAAAATGCGTCTTTTGTATAAAAAATAGCTGAAATTCAGGGCTATTTTTTGATACCTAAGCGCGCATTGTAGCATAAACCAGTGTCGAGAAAAACTCGTTCAAAGCTAGACTACGCAACGCTCCGCACCGTCATTATGGAGGTAGGGCACTACTTACGGTAACTTTTTGCGCTCTATCTTTTAATCATTGACAACAACTGGTTTCTCTGAAATCAAAATCAAAACTATTTCAGGTAAAAATCGTACTTATCCAGTCGCTTTTCATAGTTTTTACTTAAACCTAGTTTGGCTTATGAATTGAAAAGCCTTATCTATGATATAGCACAAATATTTACAAAGCTCAATTTATTTTTGTCATTCAATCGGTTAAGATTTTGAATAAGAGAGTCAAAAAGGATAGCTTTCGATGAATTTGCTAACATAATATTAAATCTTTAAGCTTTCAAAAGGTTCTAAAATCTTTAAAAACTTAAGCTCTTCTTAAATTCTTACAATTACCATCATCCACTACTATATTCTGTTCTTTCAATTCTTTCAATTCTTTCATGCTTGAGTGCGAATCATTTCTACGAGAAATTCTTCTTAAAAAGCTCAAAAAAGAGTATTTCTGTTGGTGGTCTGGGTTACCTAAAGAGTCCAAAAACGTAGTTCTTTCTTCTTTTGCTTGCTTGCTTTAGTCTCAAGAAGAAAAGCCACTATAGTCACTTTTTTTCTATATAGAATGTATATAGCTATAGGATGGGAAGTAATTTTTGACTTCAGATCAACAAATTCCAAGTTTTCCCTATCAGCAATATCAACCATTTGGAATGGGGAATCCGATTGGTTCGATCGTTGGCTTAAGAGTTATTCAACTCGATTCTGGACTTGGGTAAGCTGAAATTTTAAAACTTTATTTTAATCTAATTTTATGGTTAATTCATTTTTAAATCTAGTTTTAGTTTTTACTCTTAAAAACACTTACAAAGAAAGGTCAACTGGCTGAGCCGACCTGAAAAGTTAACTACAATCAATGTACCCGCATTTGATCCAAATGCTATACGATCTATACCGTTTTAACACAGAATTTTATGCTGATTTCAAATATGTATTCCGTTTTTGTTAAATGACAATCCGCGAGAGGTTATAAGCGTCTAAAGTTTTGTTAGAACTCTGAAAATGTGATCATTTGGATCTTAGCGGCCTTCTTGTGGACAGTAGCTTGTGGAAAAGTTAACTGCAAGAGAATCAATATACTAAGAGAGATTTATGAGTATCGGAAAGCTTTAAAACAAGGTGCATCCATCTGTGAGTAGACTATAGACACAATTTTGATAAGAGAATCTCTTCAATGAATGAAGAAATCAAGATCATTTGCCATTGTGTGTGTGAGAGCATTCTTACTTTGTGTAAATCTTTCCACAAGTCACAAGCAAGAAGGCCGCTAAGACCCAAATGATCACATTTTCAGAGTTCTAACAAAACTTTAGACGCTTAAAACTCTTGGCAGATTGCCATTTAGCAAAAACGGAATACATATTCGGAATCAGCATAAAATTCTGCGTCTATATAGATTGTATAGGATTTAGATACTCAGTTGACCTTTCCTTGTTATTAGTTTTTAAATGTCATATTTCTTTTCAAATTTCCAATTTTAGTTACATTCCCGTTGAGCCTCATATCAACTACTTGATCAATCAGCAATTCGGCAGAGTTTGTTTTATTATTGCATCAACAATTTCTACAATTTCTTTAATTAATTTTAATTGAAATCAATGACTAATTTGTAAGGATCATTTTCAGAATGAATTTAAAACATTTAGGGACCAATTCAAGCAAATACGCCATTTCATGGACCATCTGTTGGCAATTTTCCATCATCACAGGTACCTAAAAGCTTTGTTATCAAATTTTTTCTTCCATATACAGGGTGGCTGACAATTACGTGCGCGCAGCATCAGCATCATAGTTTTAAACAATGTATAAAGCATTACTACTCATCTTTTTGTGTTTTAATATTCTTTTTATCGTGGTCTAATAATTTTTTGTTAAAAAAGTTGTTTTCTAGGTCATGACAAAGACGTGCGCTAGTCGGGACGCAATCGCACAGCTGGCGACGAGCGGCATGAAGAACTCGTCGATCGCATCGAGGCTTGGGGTGGCTCTGAGGACCGTCCAGAAGATCGTAAAGCAATGGAAAGATGAGGGGCATGTTCAGTCCAAGCCCGGAAGAGGACCAAAGAGGACCGTTAACACCCGAAAGATGCGTGGGATCATCAAGAGGAGGATCGAGCGAAAAGACGATCGTAGTTTGAACAAGATGGCAAAACAGCTTCAAACTTCGCGTTTCTCGGTTCAATCGATAGTGAAAAATGAGCTCGGACTTCGAAGTTATCGACTGTTAAACGGGCAAGTGCTCACCGATCAAGCCAAGCAAAACCGGAAGGAGAAATGCAAGAAATTGCGAGCTTTTTTCAAGGTGCGGCGCATTGACGATGTTCTTTGGTCAGATGAGAAGATTTTCACCTTGGAAGTGGCTAAAAACTCACAAAATCACCGTCAACTTCTCAGTCCAGCTCTCAAGAGCACTCGTAAACGAAAAGTCGCTACATAAGGTCTGTTTCCAAAAAGTTTGATGGTTTGGGGTGGCATCAGTGCTTCGGGCAAGACCCCGTTGGTTTTTATCGATAAAAATGTGAAGATTAACGCAAAAGTCTATCAAAAGAGATTCTCGAGAAAGCTGTGGTGCCATGGAAGAGGAGCCATCCCAATTTGACCCTTCAACAAGATTGGGCGCCGGCCCACGGAGCCAAAACAACAATTCGCTTTCTCGAAACCAAAATTGGCTCTTTTTTGACGAAGGATCAATGGCCTGCAAACAGCCCGGATCTCAATCCGTTGGACTTTTCGGTTTGGGGTTTTATGGAAGAACAATTGAGAAATAGAAAAATCACCAATTTGAATGATTTACGTCGAGAGTTGATCAAAATCTGGAACGACTTAGATGCAAATTATCTCCGCCGCACCGTCGATTCTGTAAAGAAACGAATTGAAGCCTGTATCAAAGTGGATGGAGGCCACTTCGAAAATTTCTTGTGATTATTAAATGCTTTTGTTACAACTATTATATAAATAAAGATTTTTACATTTTCTTTGAAAGAAAATTAAATTATGGCGTTCTCTTTGGCGCACGTAATTATCAGCCACCCTGTAAATTTACCTGCCGTAAATACTGTAATAGTACCCCACCGCCCTCGTACAGTCGCGTAATCGCAAAAGTTTTTTAGTATTTCATTTTTTGCAAAGCACCCGTACTTTCAAGAAATGCGTCTTTGATATAAAAAATAGCTGAAATTCAGGGCTATTTTTTGATACCTAAGCGCGCATTGTAGCATAAACCAGTGTCGGGAAAAACTCGTTCAAAGCTAGACTCTCCATAATGATGGGGGTACAGTCTAACTTTGAATGTCCCGTTCTTCGTGTTGCTTTAAGCTACAGTGTGCTACATAATGTCCAATGATAACCCTTGAAATCTAGTATTTTTTGGTATTAAAAGTGTAGTTGGGAAGAATCTAGGGAATCTGAGAAAAAAATTATTTTCTAAAAAGAAGTTAGTACGATGAGGTGACATTTTAAAGTATTTACGGTAATTTGTTTTTTAAAATCTCTATGCCTAGGGTTGTTTCTAGACTAAGTTTTCAATAACCTACTGTAAATACTGTAATAGTACCCCACCTCTCTCGTACAGTCGCGTTTTTTAGTGTTTCATTTTTTTCAAAAGCGCCCGTACTTTCAAAAAATGCGTCTTTGGTATCAAAAAATAGCCCTGAATTTCAGCTATTTTTTGATAACTAAGCGCGCATTGTAGCATAAACCAATGTCGAGAAAAACTAGTTCAAAGCTAGACTACGCAACGCTCCGCACCGTCATTATGGGGCTAGGGCACTATTACAATATTTACGGTAGCTTTTTCTACATTACAAATATAAACTAAATTGCTGTTTACATTTCAAATATGTCAATTTCCTTAGAACAAATCAAAAGAACCAAAAAAAGTTCATTTGATTATGATCAACGCACTTTAAACGATGAGTTGTATCGAAATTTACGTGAAAAAAAAGTTGCAAGTACTAGAAATTTGTTTTATTTTGTTTTTTTTATCAGATTTCATTTCTTAGAATGTTTTTAAAACGATTATTTTAGACAATAACAGCTTCTTCAACTCCAGCTTCAATTCCACCCGCTGATCCCGGTCCTCATCGATCACAGCAAAGAACTCAATCTCAAGATCCACCAAAACGACAGCAAAAAGAGGTTTTAGTTAATAAAAAGTTAATAAATAACTTAATCCTTACTTTAAAGGATTAATTTTAATATTTAATATTTAATATTCTAATATTGTAATATTGCTTTTCGCGATTTTCCTTCGTTTTTCTCGTTTTTTTTTTGTTTTGTTTGTGCGAACTTTGGCTGGACAACTTTTTTAAAAACAAAAAAACGAGAAAAACGAAGGAAAATCGCGAAAAGCGGCGGAAAGGCTATTGATCTGAGGGTCGCTGGTTCGACTCCCACCGGTGACAATATTTTTCAAAAATTTTTTGCTAAGATTCTGAAAATGCGTGTATAGGGGTTATTTTTGACGCTGATCACGAAACACATGTTTTTAGCCTAGTGTTCTGCACGGAAAACTAACGAAACGTGAAAACAGCCATTTTTTGGCTCTGCTGCCCTTTACTAAAATAGCTGTAAAAACTTTTAGAAAAGAGATATCTCAAAACGGTTTTTGCCAATCGATCCGTCTTGAATTCAGCTTTAGGATAAGCTATGAAACGTCAAAATTGGACAAATTTAAGGTACTCTCCCAAAAAATCGGAAAGGACTTTTCCATCAACCCAATAGTTTTAAAGCTTCGAAAAGTCTTCTGAACTTCTTAAATTAAAATGACATTTCGAAACTCAAATTTTCATCCGATTTTGAGCATTAAAATAAAATTACCCTCAAAAACAAAACAATAGAAAGTTTAGTTGTTATTATTTTCTTTGTTTTTGTAAATTCTCACCTTGTTTGTTCCTTGGCAACCCGGAGAAAACACAAATTTCGTCAGAAAAAGTCAGAAATCCGGCCATTTTTAAGCTTTCTTCTGGATATTTTTTGAAATTCAAGTTTTCTATTTAAAAAATGATTGAGATCAATATTCGAGAAGTTTGTCTTTGATTTTAAACTCTAAAATGAACCTTTTAGATTGAAGATAATTGGTTTAAGCCGACTCCACAGCCGAAATCGGGTGTTCGGCGATCAGCGCAATGGAAAAATGACGTTTGTTTCAATTTTTAATGTACAAGTTTAATCATTTAAGCTTTAAATTTATTCTTTATTTTTATTAGCTATTATTTTATAGCAAGAATAGTGTCAACTTAGCGATTGGTCACTGTCTAATGATGGATTTTGAAGTTAGGAGAAAGCTAGAAAAGCTGATTCTTAAGAAAGTTAATCTTTCTTTAATACTTTAAACGTTTAATATTTTCTCTAATAGTAGTGCACCTCAGCGAGCCGAGTTGATGACTATTTTTACGGTTTCCAAGCTTTTGCAGAAGCTCAACACTCTAATCCTCCACAAGATCTCATTGTCAGCTACATTTTCCGACCCCACATCGATAGGTTCTGATAAGCAGCGGTTCTCGAGATTTTGAGGAATTTAGGCGACACTCTGGGTGCACTACTATTAGAGAAAATACAGTAGTTTAGTTTATCTAGTTTTCAAGAGGAGATTCAGGGCTATTGAATGATTAGAATACCGTATTTTCTCTAATAGTAGTGCACCCCAGCGAGCCGAGTTGATGACTATTTTACGGTTTCCAAGCTTTCGCAGGAGCTCAACACTCAAATCCCCATTAGATCTCATCGTCAGCTACATTTTCCGACCCCACATCGATAGATTCTGATAAGCGGTTCTCGAGATTTCGAGCAATTTAGGCGACGCTCAGGGTGCACTACTATTAGAGAAATTACGGTAATTAATCCCTTAAAATCCTTGCTTTCATTATTGATTTAATAACTAATCACTTAAAATCCTTGCTTTCATTACAAGCATTAGGAAGATTACGATCCATGGGGCCGTGGTGGGGCGGGTGCTCCGATGAGAGATTCACTTGGAAGAATCGTCGCCGATCGGGGCAAATTGAGAGCCGCTTTTCGGAACAGAGTAAAGAAAAAAAACATGAAAAATCACTTTATCAATCACTTTTTTGTTTGAGTGAATTTGATTTGAGTTTATTCACTGAAATCAGCACTCATTACAGCTCTCAACTCAAAGAAAACCCTAATATTTACAAATCGTGTCTGAAAAACGGCATAATTGCACTATAAATCACTCTTTTTTGTAAACATTTATGAATTAAATGTTTTATGGTTATATTTTGAACTTATGAACGGTTTTAAAGTCTGCTCTTTCTTTAGTTTTTTAATCTTTCTCCAAATCATTACGATCAAGAATTCTTTTGTTTAAAAAACGATTAAGGAGCTTATTTTGTTTTAAAAAACCAAGAAAAACGATCAAGAAGTTTATTTTGTTTAAAATTTTTGGCACTGTTAAGTTGGCTTGCTGTTTTTTTTTTCATAATCAATAGATTCTAAATTGGAAAATTTAGGCTGGCTCACTGGCGAATCTCTCGATCTCCGATACTCCTCAGACTCTAACGAGGCAAACAATAGTAAGAATTGTACTGTAAACCTATTTAAAGCTTTTAAAACCTAAAAAAACATATCAGCCAATTTTCAGGACCAACCACTGAGCTCTCAAGAACTTCACAAGCTCGACTTAATAAAACAGATTGAAGAGAATAAACGCCGACGAGAAATCGAAAGACAACAAGAGCTGGATTTCGAAAGAAAAGAAATGAGAAAGTAAATAGAAATTGATTTAAGAAACTAAAAAATTCTTTTCAGATTAGAAGAATATAATTTAAAAATTCGTCGGGAAGAGGAAGAAGAAAGAAAAAGAGAAAAAGATCGAGCTGCAGCTATGGAGAGAAGAGCGGCCGTGATTGCTGTTTGTTTTTCAAAGTTTCTTTTTTATATTAAACTTCGGAAAATGTTAAAAGTTAACTATAAACATATAAAATAAGCTTTATAGGCTGAACAAGATGCTCGAGCGCGTCAAATTCGGAGAAGACTCAGTCCACCAGGTTTCAATAAAATAGTTACCGTATTCTCTCTAATAGTAGTGCGCACTACTATTTTTTGAACCCCCTCCTGGACCGCAATACTATTAGAGAGTGCACTACTATTAAAGAGTTTTATCATTTACCAAAGTAAGACAGATATAAGATTTGTTCCAAAAATTCTTGCAATCCTTTCACGTACTCCTTTGGCTCCTTTTGACATACAGTTGTGGGCCGGCGAGTTGACAATTTGTGTCTTGACAAACAACAAAAAGATGTTTTTGCACTTTGCACAACAATTTTAGATTTTTTGCTAACTTTTTCATGTGAAGAATAGTTAATAAATGAATAAAAAAAGCCTCACTTTTGCTTGCTTGAATAGCTTTAGAATGTCACATAAACATAAAAGTCAAAAAGGTTTAGATGAAAAAGAAGCAAACAGAAATTCAAATTTTCGGGGGTGCACTACTATTTTTTCAACCCCCTCCTAGACCGCAATACTATTAGAGAGTGCACCTCTATTAGAGAGAATACGGTATTCAATATAATAGTTATTCTAGTAGAAAGGCTACTAAATAATCAAAAATTAAAATTTAATTAATTAATTTGAAAATTTCAATAACTTTTTAGCTGAGAATGTTGAACCGCGAGGTCGACGAGGCTCAGGGCCAACTCATCGAGCTTCACCTTTAGCTGATGATGAAGAGCTGCCACCAAAACTTGAATGGTATTTGATTATTGAAACTGATCAACTGATGATAAAGAAGAGATTACAGTTTCACTTTGTCAAGAAAAATCTTTTCTTTTCCGATCTTTTCCGGATTATAGTCCGATTCAGACTTTTTTTCTTAATCAATCCGAAATTTCCAGTTTTCTGGACAACTTCAAATATTCAGTTAACTAACTAGGGAATGGTCTTAACTTATCGTGGCTTTTGACTCGGGAAATAGCCGATCTGATGCAGTTTCGAGTTCTTTCAATGAAAATTCTTTTAAAACCCAATGGTCCTCTTTAGGACCCCTTGTGGCATCGACCGCAAGGGCGGAGAGTGTCCCTACCTCCGCGCGGTTCTCCTCGGTAATTGCCTTAACGGGTAAGCAAACAGGGACAGCTTTGGCTTGATAGGAAACAATAAAACTTTAAAAAACAAAAATTCTCATTGGAAGGACTCGAACCCTTGGGGTCCAGAAGCGCACACGCCCGGTAGGCGGGCGCACCAACCACTACACTATCGAGACCGCTGACTGAAGGCAGTGCGTCGTCCATATAAAGAGACCCCAAAAACCTGTATGCCAAATATCTGGCGATAAAGAAGCGTTTGGCAGAAACTAATTGCAGATTCGGAATCAGCGTGAAAAACTGCATCAGATCGGCTATTTCCCTAATAAGCAGCTAAAATTTATGGTTGAATAACTGTTTTGAAAGCTGAATTTTCTTCTTCTAAACTTTTAGTCTATCTACAAGTTGTAATTTAATTAAATAATAAACAAATGTTTGCATTTTTTCAACGCAACTTTAAGGTGGGAACGCAAAGCAAACTATGATGATCCACGTAAATCCGCTGTAATCCCAACAATGCGAAATGGACAAGCAACTAGACCAGCTTCAAGGTAGAAAGTTGAATTAAAAATTGATACTTCTGACCTTTAAAAAGCTAAATTCAAGCTAAATTCAAATTTACCTTTAAAGTATATTTGTAAATTTACAATTTAAAAGCTGACACAAACAATGACACAAATATATGCTCATTTTATACTCCCCCAAAATCACATTTACTAATTAAAGGCTTATCTTGTTATTTAGATAGGCTTCAACTAGCAATATTGATGTTATTAAAGTTATAGAAACTTTCAGAAATGGTCGTCATGCCTATAGTCCAGCTGAATCGGTTAGACAACACCAAAGTCGAGGCCAAAGTCGCGATCAACCTCGATCAGAAAATACAGGTTTGATTAAAGAACTTTAGAATACTTTCCTGTTATATTCCTGACAAAATTTCCATTTCAAAAGCTTCAAAACAACTGATTCCAGTATGCGATTAAACTTTTGAATATATTCAAATTTTAATATTTCGAATTTTGCGGGGGTAATGAATCGACTTTTATAGAATGGCTTCGTTTCGGTGAGAGAAAGTTGAAATGGGATTGATGTAAGGACATAAATATTTGATTGTATAACAAGATTGTACAATTCTAGCCTTGTACATTGTTCGAAGATTCTCTAGAGCAAGTTTTGCTAGCAAAGTAGCCGCATCACTTGCAACAAATCCAGCTACTATACTTTAGCTTTAGCTACTTTCAGTTAATCCAATAAACGAATTGTAAACTTGTAATATAATAAAACTGTTAGAAATTTAATTTACTTAAAACTATTACTAGTTACTTAAAATACCGTATTTTCTCTAATAGCAGTGCACCCAGAGCGTCGCCTAAATTCCTCGAAATCTCGAGAACCGCTTATCAGAACCTATCGATGTGGGGTCGGAAAATGTAGCTGATGATGAGATCTAGTGGGGGATTTGAGTGTTGAGCTCCTGCAAAAGCTTGGAAACCGTAAAATAGTCACCAACTCGGCTCGCCGGGGTGCACTACTATTAGAGAAAATGCGGTAGTTACTTAAAACTAGATTTGCGGGGGTAAAACAGGATTTTACTAATTTTAGTAAAGTCTTGTGGAGAGTTTTTCTAATTCAATTTATAAATTATTTACAATAATTTTTAAAAAGTTTCAAATTCTTTGAATTCTAGCGACAAGAGGAGTTTCGTCGAGGCCAAGACGAGCCTCAATTCCCGCTCACAATCAACGCCCACCAAATCCCGATGATGAGCGCCCGATTCGACCATCGGGTACAAATCCTCCACTTGATGGTAAATTAAAAGTTCCTCCTTGAGATTTTCCAGCTTTAGATTCGATGCCAGGATGACTGTTCATAAAGTTTACGAATTTTATCTTTTAACAAATAAACTTTAAAAAAAAAACACAAAGAAGACTTGAACCAGTTACACAAGCAAAACAAAAGCTTTTTTCAGAGTTGTGCTTTAATTGAAAAGCGTTTCTCGTTTGTAAATGATAACAACTAAAGAGATATCCCGGTTTTTCCAATGACAAAGATTTGATCATTTTATTTTTTCAAAAAAGAATCTCTCTCAAAAAGAGAGAGAATAAATTTTGCAATTTAGCCAATTGATATCTTGGAGTTTCTCCATTTAACAACAAAAAGAAAATCGATTTTCAATTTGATTCACTCTAAAATTTCAAAGTTTTCATTTCAATATCCTTCTTTTCAGATAAAATGCTAAAGTTTTTGATTCTATTGAGCTTTTTAACTGTCGTCTATTCCTCTAAACAATCAGTGACTGCTGAGGGAAAGGTTGTCTGTAATGGAAAAGAGTATAAGGATGCGAAGATCAAGATCTATGAAGAGGATCCATGTAAGTCCCTATGTTCAGTCGTGAGAATAGAAACTATTCAAAATAAATTTAAATCTAGACTAGAAGAGTTCAATGTTTATTTCTAGTAGATAACTAGGTTTAGAGCTTATTTTTTTTACAAGTTTAATGCTAAAAAGGAAACACATCAATAAACCCAATGAAATTGTTAAATTGTTTAAATTTTATGTTACTTTGCGCTTGTCTAGAAACGCTTGAAATGTCTATTCTAGCCGATAAATTGAACTAGCATAGATACCGTATTTTCTCTAATAGTAGTACACCCAGAGCGTTGCCTAAAATTCTCGAAATCTCGAAAACCGCTTACCAGAACCTATTGATGTGGGGTTGGAAAATGTAGCTGACGATGAGATCTAGTGGGGGATTAGAGTGCTGAGCTTCTGTGAAAACTTGGAAACTGTAAAATAGTCATCAACTCGGCTCAGCTGGCTCACTATTATCAGTCTAAGTCTAAGCTTGAACTTTGCCTAAAATTCTCGAAATCTCGAGAACCGCTTATCCAAACCTATCGATGTGGGGTCGGAAAATGTAGCTGACGATGAGATCTGGTGGGGGATTAGAGTGTTGAGCTTCTGCAAAAGCTTGGAAACCGTAAAATAGTGACCAACTCGGCCCGCTGGGATGCACTACTATTAGGGAAAATCCGGTATTTCATATTCTCTGCTTTTTAAAATCTCAATCACACTCTAGAACTATTCTAGAACTTTTAGAAAAGTATTTGACAACTCTTTTAGTTTTCTTTTAGTACATGATGACGAGTTAGCTAGAGTGTACTCCGATCGTGATGGTCATTTCAAACTTGGCGGCTCTCAATCAGAATTCCTCGGTATCAACGCTCATCTCAACATCTACCACAAATGTGGAATGCCTTTAGTGAGTTTTTAAATCAATTATTGATAACTATTGAATTATACAAAAGATTTTTAGTTGAAAAGACTCATTCCCACCTGTTACTACAAAGCAAAGTTCCCAATTCCAAGCCGATTTATCTCAACGGGAACCATTGCTCAAGATGTGAGTTCACTTAAAAGTTAATATAATACATAGTGACTAAGGAAACTTATTTTAATAACTGAACAATTCAGGTCTTCAACACTCAAACGATTGAGCTTTCTCTCTACACAAAGGATACTGATTGTCTAAATAAATAAATGAAATTTAAGAAAAATAAATGTTTACAAATAAATCCAATTTTTTTTCTTAAATTCATCAGTCCATTCTGCTGTTTTTCCTCCTCTAACATCAGAGATTTTTCGCTGTTTTTTCAAATTCAAATTCGGCATTTTTCCGCCAGTAACGTTCAAAAATTTCGCGACGATCAGTCTATTCTCTAAACTTTTATTTATTAAAGAACACATGAACGGAACTAACAGAGAAAGAGGATAATGCCATCATAAAAATTGTGACGATGTTTAAAAGATAAAGTGTGAATGCTGTATATGTTTAAAACGATGCAATATAATTTAAAACATGGCATATTCAAATGGAAAACACGGGTTTAGAGAGGATTCTTTGATTTGGCTCCATATCTACCGTATTTTCTCTAATAGTAGTGCACCCTAGCGGGCCGAGTTGGTGACTATTTTACGGTTTCAAAGCTTTTGCAGAAGCTCAACACTCTAATCCCCACTAGATCTCATGGTCAGCTACATTTTCCGACCCCACATCGATAGATTCTGATAAGCGGTTCTCGAGATTTTGAGCAATTTAGGCGACGCCCTGGGTGCACTACTTTTAGAGAAAATACGGTTTGAAATAAAATCAGCCTTTAATAAACTTAATAGCAAATTTTGCCTGAGCCTTAGCCTAAGCCGAGCCTAAGCCTAAACCTGAGCCTAAGCCTAAGCCGAAGCCTAAGCCTGAGCCCAAGCCTAAACCTGAACCTGAGCCTAAGCCTAAGTCTAAGCCTAAGCCTGAGCCTAAGCTTAAACAATTTCATCTTTCAGCTATTACCTGCTGATCGATTTGGCATGGATCTTCTCGATGAGCGATTGACATGCATTGTCCATTGATATATAAAGGAGTCGGCTCTCTGAAGTTATTTATTTCCTCTAATAGTTCCCGAACCGAGCTGAGTTGGTGAGTATTTTACGGTTTCCAAGCTTTTGCAGGAGCTCAACACTCAAATCCCCCACTAGATCTCATCGTCAGCTACATTTTCCGACCCCACATCGATAGGTTCTGATAAGCGCTTTTCGAGATTTCGAGGAATTTAGGCGGCTCTCAGGGTGCACTACTATTAGAGAAAATACGATATAGATACTTTATTCAGGAACTGAAATAAAAATTGATTTAAGATTAATACATGAATTCATACACATAACACGAAAAGGGTCGATAAAAAGCAACACGATATAATGTATTTTATGTGTAGCACAGATAATGTTAAGAATCCACTAGAGCTTCAAGATCAAGATCATCTACAGATCATTTAAAGATTTCGAGACTATTGGACTCTCTCAAAACTCTGGGGCACCGATTCAAAATTTCATTGGCAGTTCTTATTGGAAAAGAGTTATACACAAAAATTATTGGAGGAAAAATGAAAAGACTTTTGAGATTTTTCGAGGATACAATCCAAACTATTCAATTTTCTAGACATTATAATTTGAAAAGTGAAAAAAAACACATCATCCCCTTTGTAAATATTTTGCCAGAGGAACTGCTTAGAATTTCTTTTTCGCTTATGTTAAAGAGGACAAACATCAGAAGTACCAATTGATCCATCTTCCGGGACGTGGGGCTTTTCACGTTTGTCAAATTTGCATACAAGGGTGTGGTCATATTTCTCCGACATTTCACCGACGTTTCTCCGACGCTTTTCCAGTTTATTTGATATTTGACATGGCTAGACTCTTCAAATTCTATTATTTCTTGGATATATTGTCATTTATTAATTGTTTGCATAATTTAATAGTGGAAAAATCTTTGTACAAGCAGCCAGAATGGTAGGATTATTCAAGGTTTTTGTTAAAAGTTGAATTTTCGTGATTTCCCGGGAGAAATCGAATGTGCACCAGTGTTAAATTTCACATTGGGAATCCCAGGTAAACAGATGGAACAAATTGATAAGTTTATTGATAAGTTTAAGAGCAAATTGTGAAATTGGCGTTTCGAACAAGCTTTGATGGTGGAGAGACTTTTGAGATTTTTCGAGGATACAATCCAAAGTTTGTTGATTGAAAATTTTCGATAACTATTTCATTTTCTAGCTATTATAATTTTAAAACGGATTCATTTTCTAATGAAATAACATAACGATAAAACAAAATTAATTGGGAAATTCAAGTACAACTATCTAGATGCTACATTGAATTTTTTAAATGCTATAATAAGTTACTAGACCATTTTAGAATTCACAATCAGAGTTGGCTTAAATTTGGTTGTATTTTTGCGACAATTTTGTATTTTGTATTTTAGATCTATTAAATAATCAAGACTTCTTTTGAACAATAGAGATTTAAAGAACTTTCTTTTAACTCTTCATAGTTAAATTAATTTTAAGGGGGTGGAACAAATGCGACCTGTTTTTTGCGCATCTGGACATTTGCGCACCTTTTTTTTGCTGGAAAAGGCCTTAGGAAAGGTCGTAGAGCTTCGAAAATATTTCCATATAAGGGAATCGTATGCGTAGATTCCGAATTTCGACAAATCAGACCTCGCTGACACGTCAAATTTGGGCTAAAAGGCAAAAACTGCGGAAAAGCGTTAAGTTGCGTAGTTTTTGCCTTTTAGCTCAAATTTAACGTGTCAGCGAGGTCTGATTTGCTTTGATTTGTCGAAATTCGGAATTTCCCCAGTATGGAAACATTTTCGAAGCTCTACGACCTTTCCTAAGGCCTTTTCCAGCAAAAAAAGGTGCGCAAATGTCCCACCCCCAACTATTTCATTTTCTAGATATTATAATATTAAAGTAGATTTGTTTTCTAATAAAATAACATTTAGGCAATCAACAACATTTCAAAATCTTACAAAAGGAAATGAAACGACTTTTACAGAATGGCTTCGTTTCGGTGAGTTCTAAATCTGAATCTAAACTTTAAATCAAACATTTACATTCAATATTAATAATAAATATTAAACAGTAAATAGTAATAGAGTCATGGACAAAAGTCTTGTTTTATTAAAAAGTTCATGACACCTGATAAATTGTTAAATCCATCTTTTTGTAATGTTAAAATTAGAGATAATAAGCTCTTTAAATCTTTGAACCGTTTGCAGATAAGGAAATAAGAGATAAGGAAATAAATTTAGAGAGATAGGGAACCAAAGTTGTAGAGTAAAAGATAAGAAACCAAATTTAGAGATAAGGAACCAATTTAGAGAGATTGGTCGGATTTGGATCAAGATATACAAAGAACAAACTTCTAAAAACCAACGTTAAAAGACTTTTGTCCATGACTGTATTATAAATTAATATTATAAAATTCTGAATTTAGGTGGTGAATTGAGAAGAAATTTCACGTTTCATCTAGCCAAAGAGGACGATCGAATCGAGAGTTCCGAGGGGATTTTTATACTCGATTATCGAAGATCTGTAAGTGTTTTTTTTAGATAATTTTAACTACATTTTCGTATTTCTACATCCTTTTAAGCCATTGTGACATTCAAATACTAATAGAATAGTAAAACTTTAGAAAGAAATTGAAACCGAGGCCACACAAATCCTACCGATGCTCCTTCAACCCGTTTTCACCATTTATCTCAATCCAAAGTACATAAAAATCTTTCAAACTAACCTCAAAGACTTTTAGAGTAAAAAGAAACAATGCTGAGTTAGGAAAAATCACTTTTGGATCGAATAATGAAAGAGATTGTGGCTATCCGAATCAATGGATTCAAATTCAACCACCAAAGTCGGAGTTTGGTTGGAAGGTTGCTTTGAAGAGGTAAAATCTTGCTTGTCTTGCCAAATATTCATTTTATTCTTAAAAATAAGCGCTTCTGCTTACTTTTTAGTTTTCAGTGCGTCGGTGGGCTGCGTAAAATTCGACAAATTGGAGGCGGCAGTGATTCACGTTGAGAGAGACAATATTGAGGTGAGGATTGTCAGAAGGATAATGATTGCTAAAAAAACTGATAACTATCTAATCTCAAAGTTCAATACTAATAATGGCCATGCAAATTAGTTCTCTAGGTTCCACCAGAGCTCTTCCGAATCATCCTTGAGAAGACTCATTCTCGCTACAAGAAATTCCGTTTCAGGAGAGGGCTTCAGCAGGTAATTTTTGATAATATTGATAGCAATTGATAAAATTTCACAGCTTATAGGCTTATAGTTTAACAAGTATCATAAAGTTTTTGTCTAGTGAACCCGATTTGGACCATAACGATTGTGAGACATTTGACCCCCTCATTTCCCATTGGCAACCCAACTTTGAGCTCAAATATCTTGATGTTGAGTGGTCCAATTTAAATAGTTTTTATACCAATCGATAGAGAAAGTCTTGGGGCATCCAATGATATTAAGAATATTGAAATTGGATAACCCAACATCCCCGCCCTGTTTGCCATTGCCAACCCAACTTTAAGCTCAAATATCTTGATGTTGAGTGGTCCAATTTAAATAGTTTTTGTACCAATCGATAGAGAAAGATTTGACAAATCCAATGATGTCAAGAATATTAAAATCGGATAACCCAACACTAAGAAATTTGATCTTAAAGTTAGATTGCCAATGGCAAAGGGGCGGGGCGACGGACCTTTTATACGCGCTCCGCCCCCTTTCCCATTGGCAATCCAACAATCCCAAATTTCTTGGTGTTGGGCTGTTGAATTTAAATAGTTTTTATACCAATCGATAGAGAAAGACTTGGGGCATCCAATGATTTCAAGAATATTGAAATTGGTTGACCCAACACCAAGAAATTTAAGCTCAAAGTTTACGAATGGCAAAGGTGCGAGGCGACGGACCTTTTATACGCGCCCCGCCCCCTTTCCCATTGATTTAATTGTAAGTTATTGTTGTTTATCGGATATTTGATGTGCGCAATTGGCAATCCAACTTTAAGCTCAAATATCTTGGTGTTGGGCTGTTCGATTTAAATAGTTTTTATACCAATCGATAGAGAAAGACTTGGGGCATCTAATGGTGCCAAGAATATTGAAATTGGTTGACCCAACACCAAGAAATTTAAGCTTAAAGTTAGATTGCCAATTGCGCACATTAAATATCCGAAAAACAACAATAACTTACAATTAAATCAATAACAGTAATATGATTAATTAGTTTTTTTAAGTGAAATGATCAGTTTTCTAACTTTTTTCTATATTTTTATATATTTCTTTTCAGCACATGGTTCCTTGTGATATGAAAGAGATTGGTCCCTCTCTCAATTTCACTCTTGATCAAACAATCATCTCGATTCCTCCACAACAGTACATTCAAGAGGTTTTCATTCCTTTTTGAAAACCTTTTCCCAAATTATCTTAGAAAAAAGTGTCACGAAATAAGATTTGCAAAAAAAAAAAAAAATTTGAAAACATTCCTCCGTCACAAAGTACATTTTGAAATGCAATTAAAAGTCTGGAAATCGGAAAGTTTATGAGACATTGTAAACAATGAAAAGTTCAAAAATACAATTGTAAATAGCTGCAAACTATTGTTATATTTGTCTACTACAATTTTCAGAGCGGTTTCTACGATGGTTGTGCTTTGAAGCTGATTCCAGGACCGAGAAAGTCAAAAATTGTGCGTTTGGGTCGGCCATTTCTCAGACAATATTGCACGACTTTTAATTATCAAGGTAATTAGTTTAAAATATGTTTTAAAAACAAATTACAATCCTTTTCTTGAGCTTAAAAACAGTTATTTTTGGCTTTTTTTACAAAAATACTGCTCAATCTGGTAGAAAGCTGATAGAAAAACATTTTTTCTGGTGTTCTTTTACATCAAATTCTTTTGAATAGATAAAGAGATCTGATTTTTGAAATCTCTTGCATTTTTAGAACCAAATTCAAGCAAGAGAATTAATATTTAGCATTCTTGACGTCATTCTCCTCGAATGGGTTAAGCATTTGGCTTTGCCTCTTGGTTTTGTTACGATCGACTGAAAGCCATTCCAAATGGGCTAAAGAAAGACTTAGTATACGAACTTATAGTAGAATTATTTAAAAGTAACACAGCTAACAAGCAGCTGACACACCTAACAAGCAGCTGACACACCTAGCAAGCAGCTGACACACCTAACAAGCAGCTGACACACCTAACAAGCAGCTGACACAGCTAACAATCAGCTGACATAGCTAACAATCAGCTGACAGAGCTAACAATCAGCTGACACGCCTAACAAGCAGCTGACACAGCTAACAATCTAATTATAAGCTCAAAAAAATCTAATTATAGGCTTGTTATTGAAATTTTTGTTTAGAAAAGAAGTTTGAAAATTATTATTTTGATTCCATTGTTCTCTGACTTCATTCCCTTGAGACATTTTGTTGATTTAAAATTACTATCAAGTAGTAAACTACTATCACAAGGTAAAATGTTGGTTGAATTCAATTTTTAATGATCAATTTGTTCAGTTGATCAGTTTTGATTGGAGATAAACAATCTCCCCCCAGGTGTTTAAGGTCTTTTTAAGTCATTTTTCAGTGTTTCAATGCTTATTTCAACATCAATTTCGTCTTTTAAGATTTCCAAAATAGAAAAAAATCTTTTCTAGCTTACTTAATCTAGCAATAATGACAATAATGACTTAGAAATAGTCAAAATAGACTCAAGAACAAGAAAATTCTTGTTTCAAAGTCAAAGTTGTTTCAAAGTTGTTTCAAAGATTGTTCTTCAAGTATATTTTGTGCTCGAAACACACTCTTTCTAGTCCACTTCTTAAGTTCTTTTATAGCAATCTTTTGGTAAATAGAATTTGAGTATACTAGAAAGGATGTGTTTTCACATTTATGCACAAAGTTCACCTTAAAGAAAAAGCCTCCCTTGTCTCTGTAACTCCCTTGTCTCTGTAACTCCCTTGTCTCTGTAACTCCCTTGTCTCTGTAACTCCCTTGTCTCTGTAACTCCCTTGTCTCTGTAACTCCCTTGTCTCTGTAGCTCCCTTGTCTCTGTAACTCCCTTGTCTTTACCGTATTTCTAAATATTAATATTACCATTGTGTAGCCCTTGAAAAGAGCTTTCAGAAAATGTAGAACATTAATAGTTTAAACTCAAAGACAACGGAGTTACAGACGCGTGAAAGTGACGATAATCGTTTTTCAAATATCATATTTCATTGTCCAGTACTGTATATCCTTTTTATCAAACTTTTTTAGGTTTGATCGGTTTCACTGAAACACGCAATGATGAGCTCATCGATTAAAATGATAATCCCATTTAAGAGACAAAACATTTTTTTTTTTGAGAGTTTTATGTTTCGGATTCGGACAATGAATGATTAACATTTGCATTTGTTCAGCGAGAAAGTAATGAATCAATAAAAAGAAAGAAATCGACAATTCACCGGTACAAAAAACTTTTTGTGTAAAGATGCAGAGAGAAAGAAAAAAGAAAATTCGACAACAATTCTATCAATTCTAGTAAGAGAGCCGATTTGGAGAAATTCGAGATGAAAAAGGAGATCATTCCAAACGTTAGTCGAATTCTGTAAATGTTTTCAATTAAATTTTGATAGTTTTAGCTGGAATTTATCTAGAGTGAATGTCTTAACTGAATTCTCACACCAGGAAAGGTTTTTAACTGGATTCTAACACCAGGAAAGGCTTTTAACTGGATTCTAACACCAGGAAAGGCTTTTAACTGGATTCTAACACCAGGAAAGGCTTTTAACTGGATTCTAACACCAGGAAAGGCTTTTAACTGGATTCTAACACCAGGAAAGGCTTTTAACTGGGCTTTCCCTGTAAACCAGACAAAGCTAGAGCCAGGCCAATCCCTGGATCTAGCTTGACCCATCCAGCCCTGCTTTGATCTGCTTGTCTCTTCCTGGTGCAGCCCAATCTTCGTCTTAGCCTAATCTAACTGAAACCCTCGGGTTTTAATACTTTTGTTAGGCTTTTTATAGATTTGTTGAAATTCTGTCAATCATTGATCATTGATCATTGATGTCGTTGTTGTTTTAACTTCAAAACTCACCCGTATATGGCTCAGACTTGATTTTCACAAATTCAGAGGGTGTTCTTGACGACGGTGTAACACCACTGAATCTCAAAAAGTCCAGCTGCAATTGACGCAATGATCCTTGATTCTAAAAATTGAGATTTTTATGGGTGTTGTTTTGAAAGTTTAAAAGTTTGAAAGCTCGCTGAAATCTCTTTACTTTAAAGCTAACTATTTGAATCATAAAAACACAAATTTAAATGGATAAATCTCCCCTTTAACTTAACCATTACAGAAATTTGTTTAAAGTTCTAGCATTTTAAAGTAAAACGAACCAAAGAATGAAACATGCACATGTTCGGTTCCTCATCTTCACCATTTGGACAATCTCGATTTCCATTACACAAATCAACCGCTCTGATACAAGGCCAATCAATTGGATCATGCGGCTAAATGGGAACATTTAAAATATCTATCTTATTCAAGTAATATCGGAACTAGCTCTGGTACCCTTCGAAGCACCACTGACACTGATATTGGTGCTATTTTCGGTGCGACTAATGTCGCGCTTCGCACCCCTCCGATCCCCCTGTAACCATAGCTTTGCTGCAAAGCAACTCAAATTTGCATACTTCATCTATACTTGAAAACATTTAAAGCAAAAAAAGTTTGGGAATCGAACCTGATACCCCTTAGAGTAGTCGTTTCGTAGACGGGACGCCAACCACCTCGACCACACCCCATGGGGCGGCCGACGGTAAAAAGGCGCATGGCTAAGTGGTTTTTCTGATTTCTGGTACCCTCCGAAGCACCACCGACATCTATACTGGGAGGCTCGGCGCGAGTAATATCGGAACTAACTCTGGTACCCTTCGAAGCACCACTGACAATGATATTGGTGCTATTTTGGGACACTCGCTGCGACTAACGTCGCGCCGAGCGCCCCTCTGAGACTCCTGTAACAATACCTTCGCTGCAAAGCAACTCAAATTTGCATACTTCAACTTTATGCTTGAAAAGATTTAAAGCAAAAAAAAAGTTTGGAACGGGTGGGAAGCGAACCCGACACCCCTTAGAGCAGTCGTTTCGTAGACAGGACGCCAACCACCTCGACCATCCCCCAAGGACCCCCAAAGGTCAAAAAGGATATAGCTAAGTGATTTTTCTAATTTTTTACAGGTTTTTTTTATGATAAACTTGTTTTGACCAATATTTACTTATTCATTTAATTCCCTATCGATTAAAAAAAAGTTTATCGAAATCGGTTCATGTGGAGCCGAGATCCCGAATGTGACGGACGGACGGACAGACAGACGGACACTTCTCTTTTATATATAATAGATTTCTTTGACTTGAATTACTTTTACAAGTATCCAAAAAGATCTTAAACATCAAAAACTCACTCTATGCGAAGGACAAGGAGCCCATTTTTCTGTGGAAAATCTTTCTGCTCGACACACTGAAAGATTTTTAGTTTTTTTTTACTTTTAAAATACTAAGCTGAAACTTGTTCCAATTTTAATCGTCTATATTTTAAAGTTAATAAATCTTAAAATATCTCTTATACAAACTCTATAAAATCTTATACAAATAAAATAAACTCTCTTATACAAATTGCTTTTTAAATTTGCTTTAAATTTTAAATTAAAATTGCTCTCAAACCCACCTCTTAAATTCGTGAATTTCAATAGCTTCTCCTTGTCCTGAAAATTTGAAATCATTTATTTAAAACCTGTGGATTTTACCTTGTAAAAAGAATAAAGCCAGAATCTACTGGTTTTCCTGTGGATTTTACCTTGTAAAGAGAATAACGCCAGAATCTACTGTTTTTTCATCGGATTTTTTTTTGCTGTTACTAAGCTAATTAAAAATTTGATTTTTAATTAATTTCAATTGTTTTTCTGACGTCAGTAATGGAAAGTATAGAAAAAACAGGTGTTATTTTTAAAGGAAAACATCTGGAATGACTTGTGATGAGAAAAAAAAGGAAAGCTTTTTAATTTGAATGAGAAAAAAAAAGGAAGAGATTATTGCATTGTCACAGATTCAATTTTGAGTCTAGACTTTGAAATTCCCATTGTATTGGATGGAGGATTGGAGGAAAACAAATGACAGAGCTGGGGATTGTTCGGGTTTTGTTTGGGTTTTGTTCAAGTTCAGGTTCATTTTTCGTTCGATTAAAGTTAGAGAAATAAAGAAGACAAATTAATATGCAAATTATCTAATATAATAGATTTTATTAGTGCGTTTTCGCACTTTATTTCTTTCTGAATAAAGTATTTATATAAATGATTTATTTGATTTATTTATAAATGATTTATCTATAAATGATTTATTTATAAATGATATAAATTATTCTACTAGCATTTATAAATGACAAACAAATCCGCACGGAAAACTAACGAAACAGCCATTTTTTGAAAACGTGAAAACAGCCATTTTTTGAAAACGTGAAAACAGCCATTTTTTGGCTCTGCCGCCCTTTACTAAAATAGCTGTAAAAGCTTTTAGAAAAGAGATATCTCAAAACGGTTTTTACCAATCGATCCGTCTTGAATTCAGCTTTAGGATGAGCTATTGGGTTGGCGACTATGACTCGGCGCCAAACTTTAAAGGGACTTTTTGCACACATAAAGCCTTCTTTAAATATACGTTTGGTTTCATCAAAAGGATCCACTATTTCTCTACAAAATGACTTTTGAGAGATTCCACAAAGCTTTTCTTTCGTGGAGTTTATGAACTTCCAAACGCAGCTGGTTAAAATGGCAAAGAGTCCGACTCATCATTTGAACAGTTTCTTTCACATAAACCTTCTTTGGTGTTTATATAAAAAAGATAGAGCACATTCAATTACTTCAGTTGCCAAATTTGCAGGAAGATCCCACCAATGGTTTTTTCTAGATGACAGTTTGTAGTTTTTGTGAAAAAATGGCTTTTTCTTGAGCGGAGGCGCTGTTTGAATTTTCTTTTAAATGTCGTTTTGTAGAGAATTAGTTAACCATTCTACTGATATCAAACGCATATTATTTGACGAAGTCGAATAGAAGTTTTAGACATTTTTTTGATTTTCGGCGCCGAGTCATAGTCCCCAACCCAATATAAAACGTCAAAATTCGACAAATTTAAGGTACTCTCCCAAAAAATCGGAAAGGACTTTTCCACCAACCCAATATCAATTAATCTAATGCTTGCTCTATTAGAAAGGCCTATTATTTTTCTACAAAATAAAGAAATCTTATGAAAATTTGTTTTTTAGTATTATTAGTTTAGTTTAGCATTAGTTTAGTATTATAAAGTTTATATTCTATAGTTTTTTTATGTAGGCATGAAGTCGGATAGTCAAAAAAAAGGCGACAACCCGAAGACGCAATTTAAGCGTTTTTTTGATTTGCATAAACCTTTTGTTGTCAATGACTGTCAATGCCAATGCCAATGTCAATGTCAATGCCAATGCCAATGTCAATGCCAATGTCAATACCAATGTCAATACCAATGTCAATGCCAATGTCAATGCCAATGTCAATGTCAATGTCAATGTCAAATATAGCCGAATTTTGAGAATAATCTGTTCAACCGATTCCTTTATAGAGGTTTTTATCGAATTTTACAAAGAAATTGGTCTCTTTGCACTTAAATTCACTTGGAAGACTAAAATCGAAGACTAAAATAGACTAAAATCCGGTTGAAATGATAGAAAAATGAATGGCAAAACATTTTCTATTTAAAAGAATTTGTGATTTTGTCATTTATAATGTTATAAATGCTAGTAGAACAAGATTACCAAGGTTACAAAGATTTATTGATCAAAAGATCATTGTAAACTAAACTTAGCCACTTAATCATTAGCATTAAACGATTTCTTTAAGATTTAAAACAAACTTGTGGAGCAGCTTCTGTAAAGATGTTGTGTAGAGTGATGAAAAGGATGAGAAATGACCAAGAAATAAGCATTCCACTTGACACCACAATTCTTTTACCCATTCGATCCTTCTGCAAATTTTTTTTTGTGAATATAGAAGAAAAAAAAGTTTAGTAAAATAAAGGATTAAAAAAAAGTGAGAAATGAGAAAATGAAAACAAAAGATTTGTGGACGGTGAAAGGAAGGAAAAACACAAATTTTGACTATATTTTTGGGTGAATCTTGTGATCTGTTGGAGACTAGACAATGAAGATTTGAAGACAAGAAAATGAGGACAAGAAAAAGTAATGTTTTGATAGGTAAGTGCACGAAATAGAAAGCATTCTTGAGATTTGTAAAGGTTTTTTTTTAAAAAATTCCTGAATGAGCTGAGCATTGTCTCAATTAGAAGAATTAAAACTAATTTTAGAAATAAATCAGAAGTAGTTCTTGAAATTTTTTGAACAAATTATTGAATTAATTGATTTACCAGCTTACACTTGATCAAGATTTGAATGTTATTGATTTTCAACAACAAGAAAGAACCTAGCGATTGGGTTTTGTGTTCTTTGCTGAACAAATCAAAGCTTTGCAGAAGAAATCAAAGTTTTGCTGAGTAAATCAAAGCTTTGCTGAAAAAATCAAAGCTTTGCTGAAAAAAATCAAAGCTTGCTGAACAAATCAAAGCTTTACTGAACAAATCAAAGCTTTGCTGAACAAATCAATAAATCATTGAACAATAAAGCTTTGTTAAGCACTGTAAACAACTTCTTCGAAAAGTTTAAATCAATTAAATCCAAGTTCTAATTGTTTTAACTCAATTAAATCAATTAAATATCTTCAATCAATTCTCCGACCGTGAAAACCTCCGGGTACAAATTCACGTCTGAATATCTTTTTATACCATTTATAAAGCAAGGAGAAATCAGTAAATGAGTGAAGAGGTGTTCTTTGTGCAGCACCGTAATCACTCTCAATCTGGTAAACCGCTCTAGTATAAAAAGGCTTTCCTTTCCGTAAAGGGAAAAAAGCAGCGAGCGAATGAGCGAATGAGCCGATTTCGCCGCTTTTTGCATCACTATTCCCGAATTCTTGGAACAATTTTTGCCCTAAATATGGCTGTATTGTTACTACAAATTCTACATTCCTTTAAACCAAAACTAGCTGAATAATCAAGCCTGAAACGATCAGCAAAGCTGAAAGCAAGAATTTTTGATTCATTTTTATTTCAAAAAGCCCGGGATTTTGATTCATTTTCTTTTGAAAAGCCGAGAATTTCTGATTCATTTGTTTTTGAAAAGCCAAGAATTTAGATTCAAAGACTTGTCCGTAGGGAAGTCGGCAAAGAGCAAAGCAAAGAATTAGCACGATTCGAAAAAATCAAATCAAACCAATACGAAGCTCGAAATGAAAGTATACACTGGTTTATTCAACTAATTCAATCAATCAAAATACAGAAATAAATCCTATTGAAACCCTAACCTAAACCAAACTGCCTAGCGCCATAACAGGACTTCAAACTCTTAACTTAAGCATAACTCTTGAAAGTCAATGATCATTATTTTGTGGAGTGACGATGCTGGTCAATGAAAGAAAATTTACCATAAATACTGTAATAGTACCCCACCGCCCTACCGTACAGTCGCGTCGTCGCAAAAGTTTTTTAGTATTTCATTTTTTGCAAAGCACCCGTACTTTAAAAAAATGCGTCTTTGATATCAAAAAATAGCTGAAATTCAGGGCTATTTTATGATACCTAAGCGCGCATTGTAGCATAAACCAGTGTCAAGAAAAACTCGTTCAAAGCTAGACTCTCCATAATGATGGAGGTACAGTCTAACTTTGAACGCCCTGTTCTCAGTGTTGCTTTAAGCTACAGTGTGCTACACGATGTCAAATGATAACCCTTGAAATCTAGTATTTTTTGGTATTAAAAGTGTAGTTGGGAGGGATCTAGCGGCTGAGAAAAAAAATGATTTTCTAAAAAGAAGTTAGTACGATGGGGTGACATTTTAAAGTATTTACCGGAAATTTGTTTTTTAAAATCTCTATGCCTAGGGTTGTTTCTAGACCAAGTTTTCAATAAACTACCGTAAATACTGTAATAGTACCCCACCGCCCTCGTACAGTCGCGTAGTCGCAAAAGTTTTTTTAGTATTTCATTTTTTGCAAAGCGCTCGTACTTTCAAAAATGCGTCTTTGGTATCAAAAAATAGCTGAAATTCAGGGCTATTTTATGATACCTAAGCGCGCATTGTAGCATAAACCAGTGTCGAGAGAAACTCGTTCAAAGCTAGACTACGCAACACTCCGCACCGTCATTATGGGGGTGGGGTACTATTACAGTATTTACGGTAGGTATCAAGACCTGTTAGCTTCTAGAACTTGGTGAAGACAAATCGATTCATTCATAACCATTCATGACTTCAGATTGATGAAAAGAGAAAATGTATCAGATAATCTGATAAAAGATAAAGATTTCAAAGAAAAAATCAATTGAAATTACTGTAGAAGTTAGCCAATTTAAACCCACGAAAAGTGACAACAAAAAAAAAAAGTGATGCGAAAAGAATTTGGCGATTTACGCATTTTTTCTAAATCCCGGGTGAGTTGGAAAGAGAAATTTAATAAAGAGATTTTCATTATAATCTTATTAGTGTAATGTTGAAGAGATAAAAAGCTGAATATTCTCGGAAAAATCAACAGGGAATTGTGAAATTGGTGGTGTTTTTTTTGCAGAAAAAGAGAGGGGAAAATGCTTGAACCACCCCCACAAATTTGGAAAGAAAATTGGAAAGAAAATTGAAATAAAATGAAATAGAATGTAAATTTTTTTTGTTTTATTAAATTAAAAGAAAGTAAAATTTGAGATTTTTGATCTCAAGGATGAGAAAAAATTGGATTATCAAGAAAATAGAAAGTAAAAGCTTTTCGATAAACAATTGTGACTAAGAAATAAAGGAATGATTAAGTTTTTGAAACATTAACGTTAAAAAGAAAAGAATAGAAATGATTCATTATTGTTTTTATGATGTTTTTTGAGTTTTAAGTTAATAGATTAAGATTTATTATGCGAATCTATTGAATGATTCAGGAATTTTGGGGATTTTTGTTTCTTTCGTTTATTGAATTTGATTGTGTGTGAATTTGGGTACTTTGTATTAAAAAATGTAAAGAAATGCTAAACAACTAATCAGCTTTTTGACATAAACAACTTCTCTTACCGATTAGAGTTGAGCTTTAAATTGATCTTTTTCTTTAACTTTACTTTTAACTTTAACTTCAAGAATGTAAACGTATCATTGCTAGAACAGCACTCCAGCATCTTGTTTTTAACTTGAACTTGGTTTTAACTTGAAGACTTTTAAATGTTGGCTGGCTTAGAAAGCTGGTTGGCTTAGAGAATCGGTAAGAGAAGTTGATTATGTCAAAAAGCTGATTAGTTGATTTGCAAAGCAGGTAAGTTGCTTTCTAAGCCAACCAGCTTTCTAAGCCAACCAGCTTTCTAAGCCAACCAGCTTTCTAAGCCAACCAGCTTTCTAAGCCAACCAGCTTTCTAAGCCAACCAGCTTTCTAAGCCAACCAGCTTTCTAAGCCAACCAGCTTTAGCCAACCAGCTTTCTAAGCCAACCAGCTTCTAGCCAACCAGCCAGCCAACCAGCTTCTGCAACCAGCTCTAAGCCAACCAGCTTCTAGCCAACCAGCTTCTAGCCAACCAGCTTCTAGCCAACCAGCTTTCTGCCAACCAGCTTTCAGCCAACCAGCTTTCTAAGCCAACAGCTTCTAGCCAACCAGCTCTAAGCCAACCAGCTTTCTAAGCCAACCAGCTTTCTAAGCCAACCAGCTTTCTAAGCCAACCAGCTTTCTAAGCCAACCAGCTTTCTAAGCCAACCAGCTTTCTAAGCATAAACTCAAAGCAAAGCAAAATAACCTCAAAGGTGAATCCAGCAATTAATGAAATATCAATACCTAGGAAACTGTGAGCAGACTGAACTCAGAATTTCTCTGACTCTTTATAATGCGTCTTATATAGTTAAATAATTGATGTAGTTTCGTGAAAAGTTTGCAGAGTTCAAAAAGCGATGAATCTTTTTGAGATTGATTCTTTTCACAATTCACGAAAGAGCTTGCAGATAAAAGGCTTCCTGGTACACATCTTTTCTAGTTTTCTAATAGAAAACTTTCCGGACCTTTAATCGATCATTCTTTGGTTGAACAAAAGACTTCTTTAGTCTAAGTCTGGCTATATTTTTTTTCATCAAGATCTGAGATCAAAAAATAGACTAAAAAAGAAAAAGGATTTTCAAAACAATACAGATTTTCTCATTTTGAAGACTAAGTTATTTGGATTTTTTTTGAGAAAAGCAAGCATGCTTTTTATAGAAGAGATTAAGACGTCAAAGAAATTTTTGCTTATCTTTGAGTTTTGCGTTGAAAAAAGTGACGGTATTGAGATAAAGAATGAAACAATGAAAGAGATAAAGAAAGAAAATTTTTGGTGGAATTGAATGTGAATTGAAAACCGAATCTTTTTGGAATCATTTTCGAGAGTCTGTATTTGAATTTGTGACGATTCTCGAGCAAAAAAAATGCACCTGATTGAAAGTTTGGGTTTTTTTTTTGTATTTTGGAGAATATAAAGCCGAATAAAAAGAAAGAAAGGTGATTTTCTAGAAATGAATTTCTTTTGAATCGCTTGAACTTGTACTTGACATTTTCAAGCCAAAAAATGCTTTAGATTGGGGAGAAAGCTATAAATGTGTTGACGAGCTCTCTACTTTGTGTTTAAAGAATGAAAACACATTCTTTTTAGTATCCTCAACTTTCATTCTATCTTTATCTGAAGATTTCTGTTTGATTCTTAATGGAAAATGAGATTTTCACGGTTACAGAGTCTTGTTTTGAGTCTAAATTTGTTGAAGAATGATGAAGAATGATGAAGAATGATTGGTTAAGTGTGCTAGAAAGAGTATGTTTCTAAAGTTGATTATAAAGTACATCTTTGAAAGAATTGAAAAGGAAAATAAAGACAAATCAAGATTTAGATGACTG